CGATCTCAAACTAGGGAATTCCCTGTACTATGAGTACCAGAGCAACGGAATTCACTCCGGGGCACTGCCCAGAACACCACTTAGAAAAGAGCATTTTCCAAATAAGACCTCCGCATCCAGCGCCCACAATGTAAACCGTTATACCACCGAGGTCGACGTCGTAAAATAACCTGAACGTTGGAGAAGATTCAAAATTCTTCAAAAACAATCTCCAACCAATCGTCGAATCCGACGCGGTTGGGCAGCTTTCGGAAAGCTCCGAGACGTCTTCTCGACGGCAATACCGCAATCCTTGAAGATAAAAAGTCTTCGAGCAGTGCGTGTTGCCAGCGATGACCTACGGCTCTAAGACGTGGTCACTTACAATGGGCCTCATAAAAAAGCACAAAGTCACTCAACGAGCAATGGAGCGAGCAAAGCTCGGCATTTCTCTGCGTGATCGAATCAGAAATGAGGAGATCCGTAGAAGAACGAAAGTCACCAACATAGCTCAAAGAATTAGCAAGTTGAAGTGGCAGTAGGCAGGACACATAGCTAGTAGAACTGTCGGTCGTTGGGGCAGAAAGGTTCTCGAATGTAGACCACGCACCGGAAGGCGTTCTGTGGGGCGGCCCCCGGCTAGATGGACGGAAGACCTGGTAAGGCAGGCGGGTAACTGGTGTATACACGTCGCGTCCGATCGGCTAGTCGAGAAATCTTTGGGGGAGGCCTATGTTCAGCAATGAACGTCTTTCGGCTGATATGATGATGACGATGAATCTCCAACCCATGACGGTATTTAGCGTTATGACCTGACAATGGCCTAAACCCTCACCTGCGAGGATACTCGTGTCCGGCAGTGGACGTTATTTAATACAATAGAGTTGAAGCGGTTCACTGCTCTCTAAAATAAAGATGAGTAACAGATTTAGTAGCAGTAGAGCTCCTGGCACTTTACCTTTTTCTGCCGCCAAGCAGTAATGTGCACATTACTGCGTTCCGGTTTCGAAGGTTAGGGGTGCTGGTGAAATTACAGGCACATGGGACTTGTCAACTTATGTCTCAGGGTGTCGGGCGAAGTGCCCCTCAGATCTTTGTGATTTAAAGGCAACAGTTAGGGACAGGCGTGTCGCTTACCGAGAGTCACACGGCATGGTTCGTCCCGACACTAAATATTATAAAAAAAAAAGGTAACGCCTTTCCTGACCTTTGGTGATGTATGAAAGGTCACTTCTTCAATACCCGAATAGGTATAAATACACGGGTCCCATCTCCGAGCCCTCGGGGTGCACACCCCTTTACGCGGCTGTGTGTATCCGGCAATACTCATCACGCGGTACATCAATAACATTTGCACTGGACCTTCCACGTGTCCGCCCCCTCCCACAGGCCCTCCACCCCTTCCGATATCCCCCTTGTCCCCCGCGAAGTGCGCAATTGTTCGTACAAAGGTTGCGGAACAATAGCGCTGTGATAATGCTATCCATCGATGGATGGCTACGTCCACGTGTAATGGAACACGACAACGGACAGTGAAAGTGACGTCATGCTGCGCTATGAAAGTCGTCTGTTAATTCATGCTTGCCTATCCCATTACTAATTATATAACATTTATGATCAGTATACTTTCTCGTGATGGAAGACGGAGCTCAAAAATATACAATGCCCCTTCGACTGCGGAAAGTACTTTAGTATATACAGTTTCGATTAAAACAAATCTTCAGCTAAACGAGTGTTATTTGAACACCACTCGGAGATACCTCAACGAGCTTCCCATAAAACAAAAGAAGTGAATGCACATAAAGTGAGCGAAAAGTGCGGAGGGCTCATTACGATCTCTGTAGTACGCGACACCTCTCACACACACAACTACAGGATCAGGACGTATGTTCACACGTGAACCCGGAATATAAGACACATGTCAATTGCTTTATTCTTAATTCATCGCTCGGTCAGAATGGCTTAAAATTTGAGTAATAGGTAGTAAAAACCGGTCAATGTATCGAAACAATTCACAAGCTGAAAACTTTTCGGAGGAATTCGGTAAGTGGACACGTATCGGCTAAGAGAATAACACAGTGGAGTTCTTCAAGAGCGTCGGTACGAACTTATTCGGGTGGTATTTATTGAAGCACCTTAGAGGGCATAACAATTTCAATTCAAGGAATATGGTGAAAATTTTGGTGGTGAATTTTCGAACAAGATCATGTCAATTTAGAAACTCCTATTTGCCAAAAGTTGCCATATTGCAACTTTTATAAATGTAATCAAGCCAGGCAGATCTTCAGTAGATGTCCGTAGTCTCAGTCTAAGCCCCGATAAGACACATTTCTACACCCATAACTAGAGCATTATGAGTGTAGATATGTTTTGGGTATGCATTTCGTAAATTGTGAATTCGCGTTTTTAATTTTAATACTTATGTCGCTAATGAAGCATTGGCCGTTTGTCAGGGCCACCGGTCGCCGTGATGGATAAGCGCGCGACGGGGGCCTACAGGGGGCCACGGGGCCAGCGGGGCCCTGCCACCCCCGGATTACGGCGATGTAGCACGACGGTCACTTGGATTTGCGAGGTTTGAGCAAGGATTTACCGGACGCTATCGACTTAGGTTTTTAGTTTTATATTGGTACCTATAGAAGTATGTTAGGTCATTTTTGTGCCATATATATATTCGTATAATAGGTAATTGTGTACATCACACTTAATTTTCTTGCTCATGACAAAAATAATTAAAATGACAGATTCATTAAATGCAATAAAACAAGTGCAACTAGGTATATGAGCGTAATGGTAGTTTGTCTTCTGACGACAGGACTCTTCAAATTAGCGATTTGCGTATCAAGAATGCAATCTCATAGCAGTGCAGAGGAGACATGGCGGCGGCGTCTGAGCAGCGGCAAGGGGCATGGGTGCGGTGCGCGGGGGCCCGGACGCCGCGCAAACAGCGCAGTTACACCGATTACTCCACAACTATCATTACGCCACTATTGATTCCTAATCCGCACTTCCGGATGTTACGTAACCCTCCTCCACCCCGCACTCGCCCGCGCTGCCCTCTTCCCCCTGCTCCCCTCCCGCACCCCGCCTGCAAGATTTACAGCCGGCCGGGCGGTTGACGAATGATTGGCCGGCCGCGCCGCTCCCGAAAGCCTTTAGGGATGTATTGTTTGGCTCCTAATGTATAAATATCGTGATAAAGGCCGCCCGGGAAAGTGCTGCTTTCTTTCTACACTATAACACGTACGGCTGTTTTTCCTTTTTCGCCGAAAGATTCTGTTTCGTTGGTCCTTCGGGACACGTATAAAGTTTTATCGATTCGGTTAAAAAAAAAATTATGAGTAATAGATTTAAATTGCAAAACATTAATACAGTTCTTTGAATACGTACCTACATTCAAATATATTAATACCTTACTTATGCATGTAATAATCCCTAAGAAGTTTCTTATTTTCATTTATGAATTTGCGACGTTAATGCAAGAATTGCAACAACAAGCATCTCTTCGCAACCCAGTATGGCCGCCCTAATTCCTCAGGAAAAATCGTTACTACTTTACAGACCTTTGCCTACCGATCACCCCCATTCACATGTTTTAGTAAAATCAACTTAACGGCTGAAAGAGCTTAACAACAATCTATTAGGTTTTCTAGACAAAACAACTCACTAATACCTTAAAGTACCTACACTGAAAATGCCAATACGTAAATGTCCAATAATTTAACTTTTCGTAAGCGGTACGGAAATATATGAAACCGACGATAAATACGAGTCAAACAGCTTAGTGAGTGCCCACCATTTAGTAACACTAAGCAGTTTAGAGTCCACAAATTCGCATCAATTTTCTAACATAGAATAATACCTAAAACTGTAAATAATCGATCATTGGGTGAAAATTATATAAATATCGGCCATAGCAGGCGACTATTGAAAACCAAATTCGAACTGCCACTGTTATGTAGTTATTGTTAAAGAATATTGAAATTTTGACAACGGTAAACTCTGGATATTGCAAAATTTGTCACAACCCTTTATCTAAAGTAACAGATTGTCCTCATGCGCTTGCCGATGGCCGCCCTATGCTACACCAACCAGTCCGTGAGGAAATAGGAGGCGCGGGCCACTGGACACTATAAATGTATCATGTATAGACTTGAGAGAACTAATCTACCGAGCTTAGAGGCCCGGGACTACCGACACAGGCGGGACAAGTCGATGTTATCATTTAGCACGCCACCGAACGGAATGTATTAATTATTGTTTTATGCAAAATTATAACTTAAGCTGTGATTATTAGGTGTGAAATTGATATACGGCCGTGCGTTCCACCTGCAAATTTTGAACTTCCGCTGTACTTTCCCATGATCCGAGTAACTTTTAAGTAAGATGTAATCAGGCAAAACACGCATGACTATTAAAGCCAATACGATGCTAATGGGATTTCTAATTAGTTGCCTAATCTGTGAGTGGTGTACCTAAGTACCGTGATTGTCTAGGCTGCGTCGAAATGTTATTAATTTGCAATTTTTGATTAGGTATCTAATATAGATTAAGCATCTACAAATGTGCCTATATTGCTTTTACCAGTAGGCAAGTAATCGCTTATGAAACTAGGTTGATAAAATAAGCTGAACAACGTTGATCATTTAGCAGGAAGCATAAGCAACACCAGCTGCGGCGCTGGTGGAGCAGCGCGCGAGCAGCGGCGGCAGAACGTGTGGGCGGCCGCGTCAAGCGGGCAGTGGGCTGTGGGCGTGCAGTGGCAGGCGCGGCGGGCAGCTCCCGCGCTGCACCGCCCCGCCGCCCCGCCCCGCGCCCGCTGTTTATTCTCGGCAAGTAGCGGGGCGCCCGCCCGCGACAGTCACCCGCGTGACGCGCCGCACAACGCACGCGTGCGTCAGGTACTCGTTCACTCTAGTCGGTCGAGCGGTGCATTCGGCGCCGGACATTGCAAAAAAATAACAAAACTCCAATTCCTCCCCAAATCGATCGCGTGTCGTGTGCCGAGTAAAATGTGAGAGGGGTGCGGAAAAGCGGTGTCGCGGAAAATGCATTTCCCGGTGGTGCAAGGCGCAGGCGGTTCGCGCGGGGGGAGGTGCATGCGATGATGGACATCGTATTGATTTCTATCTGCCCGCTCCTCCCTTATTGTAGCGGTGCAGGGCGCGCCATCGATCGTTGCACCGGTTTTTAAATTAACACCCCGTCATCTGTGGCTGCGGCCTCTTGCGCCTTCCACCCTCGCGCTCGCGCGTGCAGTTGTTGCAGCGTGCATCGCGCGCCACACGCTGCAATTGCAGTTGCAGTGTTAAGTGAACTGTAGTGAATTTTTATTTTATTTTGAACATTCGAAGCAGCTGCGTTACGTGGCCGTCTTTTACGGCCTACGACGGTATCTACGACGTGTTTATTGCACTCTAATGATGAGCCACTGATGAACATTTCGTGGAAAAAGCCATTAGTCGAGTGACACTATTTTTAATTAAATGCATTTCATTTTTTAACATGTGCTCGTAAGTGCCATAAATTAGCTTTAAATTATTTTTGCATTAATTATGAAACCTAGTTTTATTACTTAGTAAATTTTAATGAAATAAATAGTATTGGCTATAAAGTTTATAAGACCGCGTCGATTACGCACCTATCGCTTAGGCACCCTTCTCGGAGTTACATAATGCTAAAATCTCTAATGCACCGACATCGAATTCGACTCCGCGATTACCGTCGCCGTATGCGTCCCTCGTCCTTCCGCGTCATTTACCTATCTCGCAAATAATTTCGCCACTTTTGGACTTTGTGTAACGTATCACTTCTTCCAGGAATCAAAACACACAACCAAAACGCAATACTCAAAACACAATAACAAGCTTTAAAATAAAATAATTCGAAACAAATAGCAATAAAGGAGACAAATAAAGCGTGGTTATAAAAAAAATTAGAAAAAACGCGAGCGGTGACGCAGCTAAGCGAGCAAGCAAGCTAAGGATAAGCGTTAGAAAAGCAGCAAGAGTGGGTGATTCAAGAGCAGTAAGCGTGGAATGCGCAAGAGTGGAGTATAGCGCGCACGCACCTAACGGCCCCGCCGTGCCGCCCTCAGAACACCCGGCCATGGCGACCGAAACTGGTAAGTAATTTTAAACAGAACACGAGTTTTACGGAAAAGGTCCAGTACAATTTTAATCCCGTCTAATCTTAAACTAAAAATTAACATCTAAACTATTCAGCTACAGCTTTGATTAATTAGTTAAGTATGCTAGTGACTTTCTGATGTCAATATCTACTTGTTTTAAGACAAAATTCCCATAATTCATATGTTCAATGTATAGCTGAGTATTCTTAACTGAATATTAACCTTATGCTAAAACAATTTAAGGTACACTTTTAATTGAAGTGTCTTGTGTAACAAATACATTAAAAAGGTCAAAAATGCAATCGTTAACTTCCGTAAAACTCGAATGGCTACGAAGTTGGGAATTCTAATTAAATAGTATAATTTTGATATATATCAATTTCAATATTGTTTATAATTAAAGTTTATCTATCTTTACAAGAAATAGTGTGAACAACTGCTCGTAAATTGCACTTTTATGTACAATTGCACCTTACTTTGTTCGATAAAAATTAAATTAAGTTAGGATACCTATGTGTAAATGTAAAACGGGTAAGTTTATGCAGCTCCGCCATGAAGTTCTCGGACCTAGCAAGGTTCCTCAATGGATGTAATGAGAAAGATATTTTATCTAACTATAAAAAGTACGTTTAAAATATTCTTTTATCAGCATCTAAATAGTTACTTCTTAACTTACTCACTGTGATTTTTTTATTGTCACAAAAATAAATACCGAAGGATGAAAAATGTATCGACTCAAAAATCAGTATTTCTAGCAAGAAATCTATACGTCTTTTAAATCTTATAAGACAATATATTTTTTCAAATAAGTATTCTGAAATCGCAATCTGTCGATATTGTCGCACCGTACAGATCACATAAGTACCAATCTGTCGATATTGTTGTACCGTACAGATCACAAAAGTACGAATCTGTCGATATTGTTGTACCGTACAGAACACATAAGTACCAAACTGTCGATATTGTTGCACCGTACAGATCACATAAGTACCAATCCGTCGATACTGCTGCACCGTACAGATCACATAAGTACCTACATATCCAACACCCAGCAGATGTGAACAAAACGCGCGAATATGCGCTGAAAGAGGGAAAAGCGAACCCGAAACAAAAATACGGCCCTCCATTAGAATATTTACGTAAGACAAGTGAATTGTTTACTAACAGAATCTATAGTCGGCCTCACGCGTGTCGTCCACCCGTCACACGTACCATGAGTTCGTTGATATTCACCCCCTCAGCCGACTTGCACCCCGTCTCACCCCTTGTCACCCTCTGTTCCCTCAGGATCTCCTCCTCCCGCAGGACAGCGGGAGGGGCGGAATCGCCACGGTTCTTGTTTAATGATGTTGCCGGCGGTCGTTTACTCAAGATTAGGGGGTGTGATATTTTATTTTTCGCGATGTTTTCATTTGGGAATCGGATTGAGACCACGATGTATTGTAATTTATGTTTTAAAAAAAAACCGAAATCGCGTCATATTAAGTTGCAGTTGTCGGCGCAAATTAACCTATACCTACACATATAAATTTTGCACAACACACAGTACTTATAAGAATTCTAACATAATATGCGATCAACTCTTAATTGCAATTGTCATTGTAGAGCACTAATAAAAATGTGTACGTAAGCGCTTTAGTCGGCAGAAAGAGCGACTCAACAGTAAATTACGTGAGGTTTATCAAATCATGCAAATCCTGAGACTTGCCCCTCCGTGGGGGAGTGTAACGCGGGATAAAACGCCGAGGTCGCGGGGTCAAACAGGGCTTCTCGTAATGAAAAAGCGAATATTCGCAATAATAGTGTGATTATTATTTACTACATTTCCAGTAAACATGCGTAGATATCATTAAAATTGTGAAATATAAAGAATAGCAAATTATAATAAAAGAATATGAAGGACTACATTTCCCTTCATTTCAATATATTTCAAATTATGTTCCATAATTAATTGACCGACGAGTCGATTCATAGATTTAAGTTAAACAAAAGATGAGACTACGTCTCACGTTGTAATTGCCACAAGTTCAAAATGACAAGAACGCTAAAGAATAAACGTCTCATCTCTAGGAAATACTTGTATGACACTAAGCAGTGCAACATGAAAATATATCAAAACAAAATGGCCAAGACAAGCCATCCAAATACTGATTTAATAATTACACTGTAGACTTGTAAAACACCCACGCGCCCCTAGCACCGACGGGGTGTAACAGTGTGTGGCAGCAAACGGTGCACCACGTCGCGACACGTTTGAGGGGCGGGCCAGACAGTAATCTCCTGCAAGCTTTTGTCGCACGAGACGCAAGGGCACGGATCTTCGCATCACTGTCAAACACTGTCATAATTTTTGTACTTTGTGCTTGCACTAGCGATCACCTTCAACGATCGATCTATTGCATGAATATATTTACATGAACAAATGTGGTTGGATTGTTGAATGTCACGGTTCAAAATATTATAGGTTATAACTTATAGGTTCCAGTTGCTAAACGTTTTTGCTACTCTTGCTCAAAGTTACGTAAGTATCACTTTATTTTAACGAGAGTAATTTTCCGAATGTGGATTCACACGATTTGCCGAGGCTACCAGATAAATATCGCGACGTTTGTCATGGGACTAAAATAACATTTCACTCAGTTGTGTACTTCTGCAGTATTTTTAGAAGAAACGTGTACTAGGATATTGCGAAAGGAAAAGTTATGAGCGTGCATGCAAGTGGGGTGTGGGAAGCAATGTGAGCGATAACGCATCGGGAGGGTGGGTGGTGGGGAATTTCACGCGTTGCCTCCCGCACGAGACTTATCGCTTTGCATCGCGCATGAATACATTACAAAGACAGTTCGCATACTTCGAAAAACATTACAAAATTATCAGTGTCGCTAATTTCAGAATAGACAAAAACACCAAATAGCAACTGAAGCTTGTTTTGTTACCCTACCGCACTGATTTCCATGTTTTCCACTTCAAGTAGGAGTGATCGGTTGCATAAATAGGCAGGATGGTTACCCGCGGTGTTATTGGCATAAGCTAACGGCTGAGACAACATGCATAATGCATGCTCGTCGATGTGCCGAGATTTTACTTGTAAAGCGCTGTTTGCGAAGATTCGCGCCGACGTGTTATAAGTACTTATACAGCATCAACGTATTACAGCTGTATACGGACGAATGTATTATACATGACACTGAAACTTGGCGCCTACTGTTGCAATTGAAACCGTTTACATATGTTAAAACCTGAAGACGAGAAAACTTTTGAGTGTTATATTTTGCTGGTACATTTCTCGCGTAGTTCTATCGACTGTCCATATCGATGGCATGCTAGAATAGTAGCTTATCTTAAAATCGACACATTCATCAGGAAGATGGTTTAGAATCGACTGAAGCATATCTCACGTTCAAAGACGACCAAACTTACACTGGTCCATGTCGTCACTTATTTATTTTAACCAATTAAAAGCTCGGTATGTTTTCTTCACTATATTCTTCAATAAAATTTTGGCACATGTTGAATGCATTTGTGTTATATGATTAATATGAACTATTTTGGTTTGAGCCACTATTCTTGAAATATCTAATAATATATGTATATAATGATGTCATAATCTGTCAACCAGGATTATGCCACACTTAATCTTGAAAGAAAAAATTACAGCAAAAAAGCATTCTTAAAGAAACAGTAATACATACGTATGTGATACAATATTTAGGTACCTTATTTATACATGGATGTTATGCGCAGGCGGCGCCGCGGTCGGCGCGGGCGGCGAGCAACAATACTCGCTGCGCTGGAACGACTTCCACTCGGCCATGGTCTCCTCCTTCCGGCGCCTGCGCGACGAGCAGGACTTTGTCGACGTCACGCTCGCCTGCGCCGGCGCCACCTTTTCTGCACACAAGGTACAACGTCAGCTTCTTCTGGTGGATTCAACTTAAATTTTTGACCACAGTGACCCAGATTACGATTACCACTGGGAATTGAAAAAATACTTCATATAAATATTCCGTTCCCAAAACATGTTAAAAAAAAGTTATATTAAAATCTTTGAAGCAGTAAATAAACATTGTTCGCTGAATTGTAGTTATTTACATTTACAACGTTTATTTACTTTATACATAAATATTTTATATTCATTATCATTATTATTAACAACTTACGATTATTTGACTAGGTGGTTCTATCAGCGTGCAGTCCCTACTTCCGTCGTTTGCTAAAAGCCAATCCTTGTCAGCATCCCATCGTCATCCTGCGAGACGTTCACGACAAAGATATGGAGAGTTTACTCAGGTACCGTTTGCATTTCAACCAATGTAATCATTCGTTGTAGGTACTACTGACTTACAGTAAGTACCAGGCTGTAAATAGGTACTGCACATCGGGACAATCCAGAAGTCACGAATATTTCCGAATGCTGTTGTGTTGCCGCGCTATAACTTATTGCATTAATAATTGACATATTTACAAAGTTAATATGAAACTTTATTTGGTTTCCAGTCTTTTTTTTTATAATATCAAGTGAAGGCACGAACAAGTTGTGCACTTGATAGTAAGCTACAAGCCTGTCCATAATAGTTGCAGTATCACTCAGACCTTTAAATCGCAAAGATCTGAGGCACTGCCACAGGGCCAATCACCCTGAGACATAAGTTGACAAGTCCCATGTGCCTGTAATTTCACAAGCAATCCTACCCTTCAAAACCGGAACACATTAATGCTGACATTACTGCTTGGCGGTAGAAATAGGCAAGTAAGGTGGCCGTACTAACCTGAACAATCTCTTTCACAAAGAGTTCTGCTGCTGCTAAGTATAATAGGTATGTCTAAGTATATACATCAGGGAATAACACGATAACACATAGATGCGACAACAGCGTTCGGATATAATAGGGGTTAAAGTATGAAATTGCCGATTTGTACTGAAAATCTAAATTGTTTATTTTTTAAATTTTTAACAAATTTATTTAATCAAAATAGTTGCCATTATTATCTATACATTGCTGCCATCTAATGGGAAGGTTATTAATGCCTTTGCGATAGAACTCCGACGATCTAGACTGCACAAACTGTGTGAAAGCATTTTGTACCGCCTCCTGGGAAGAAAACTTCTTGTCACGTAGATAATTGTCCAAATCACGAAAAAAATGGTAGTCCGTTGGAGCAAGGTCTGGTGAATACGGAGGATGACGAATGGTTTCTAACTGCAGTTCCTGAAGGGTCAAAATGGTTTCTCGTGCTGTGTGAGGTCTCGCGTTGTCGTGGAGCAATAATGGTGAAGATCGATTCATGAGTCGGGGCTGTTTTACTGCTAGTTTTGTCAACATGGTTCGGAGTTCGGCACAATAGACATCTGCCGTTATTGCTTGACCAGATCGGAGAAAACTATAGTGAATAACACCATGCTGAGACCACCAAACAGTTACCATTACCTTTTTATTGGTAAGTTTTGCTTTAGGACACTGTTGTGGCATTTGACCTGGGGTCAGCCATTGCATTTTTCTTTTCCGGTTATCATAAAGAATCCACTTTTCATCACATGTTACAATTCGATCCAATATTCCTTCATTTCTGTACCGGTTCAACAAGGCAACACAAGTTTCAACACGCGTTTCTTTCTGCAGATCAGTCAAATCATGAGGCACCCATTTTTCGTATTTTTTTATTTTATTGATTTGACGCAAGTGAGTCAATATTGTGGGTAAGGTAACGTTAAACCATGCCGCTAATTCCTGGGTAGTTTGACTAGGATCGGCTTCCACTATCTCTCTTAATTCATCGTTATTCACCTGTGTGGGCGGTCTTCCTCGTGGCTCGTTCTTTAAGTCGAAATTTCCATCACGAAAGCGTTTAAACCAAAATCGCACGGTGCGTTCATTAGTAGACCCCTCTCCAAACGCAGCATTGATATTGCGGGCTGTTTCTGCCGCGTTAGTTCCGCGTCGGAAATCGTATTCAAAAATCACTCGAATTTTCGCAGTATCCATCTTTCTTGTCTAAATTGAATAACAAAAACAATTGAAAGTCGATATTCAAATGTTTCAAATTTAAAAAAAAAAATCACAGAAACCATTTGAAAAAAGTTTCATTCGAAAACCTCAAACCATGAGGATTCTATGAAAATTCAAAGAACCTATTGCAATAAAACGGCAATTTCATACTTTAACCCCTAATATTTCCCGATGTGCAATATATAATATATTAATTTTGCTATACTTAGTACAAAGTTGCTTACGACGTTTTGCTTCACTAAGGGTTTATCACTACACCCGGAAAAGTAGTCTGTAATATTCAAGGAACATCATCGTAATGTATGTCATATTTACGCAGGTTCATGTATCAAGGCGAGGTGCACATCGGGCAGGAGCAACTCAAGGAGTTTTTGCGCGCGGCGCAGTTGCTTCAAGTGCGCGGGCTCACCGATGTGCCACCGCCCGCGCCGCTTGCCACCATCGAACAAAAGTCATCACCGGTTAGTATGGTTTCTATCACTTCAAAATTAGTAGAGTCTACTGACTGTACATTGTTTCGCCTCTTACATAGATCGCGTGTAACAAAGAATTTATTAATTAATTTATTCATATTATATATTATTAATTTATTCAAGTAGCAGTAGAGCTCCTTGTGAGAGTTCGTCCTTGTTCGTCCAGGGAAGTGCTGCCACCTTACCTATTTCTGCCGCCAAGCGGTAATGTGAACATTACTGCGTTCCGGTTTTGAAGGGCAAGAATGCTGGTGAAATTACAGGCACATGGAACTTGTCAACTTATGTCTCAGGGTGTCGGGGTTAGTGGCAGTGCCCCTCAGATCTTTGTGATTTAAAGCTGTGTGGCACCGCAACTGCTATGAACAGGCGTGTCGATTGCCTCCAGGCGCACGACTTGTTCGTCTTGTCACCTAGTATCATGAAAAAAATAAAACAGTGAACCAATGCTTTACCAAACTACTAACTTTACGTTAAGACGAAGAACATTTGCGCTTTGATATAGTATATCTCCATATTTTGCTGTACGACCACCAAAGGGGTTGTACAAAACGCACAGGATTTGCACCCTCATTAATATCAAAACTTTATTATTACCGTAATGTATCCAGTGTTGCCAGGGCCTTTGGGTCGAAAATTGCCTTTACTAACCTCGGGTGTACTGTCGTTCTCCATTCGACATCTGTCCGAAACAATTACCGTCAAATAAATAATGCTCGACCTAATTAAAAAACGCATGATGCGAATGAAACGTCGTACTTGAGAAAGTCTTTTAATATGGTAGAGTATTTGACACATACTTGCCAGTCATTGTTTCGGACGGACGGACTAGAACTCCTGAAAAATTACCTACGTTTTTGCCGCAAAACTTTCATTAAGTAATAAAGAATACACTTAAAAAAACAACGCTCTTATCGATTATAAGCACGTCAAACTTTGTCGACCTTAAAGTATAAATATTGAGATTGCGAAAAAACATTGTTTTACTTATACAGATATGTGCAAAACAAATTGCGAAGTGGGAAAGTAAAATCGAGCTTTAACCCGCAATTGGTGCATTTTTGTTATTTTATTAACCGACTTCAAAAAAAGGAGGTTCCCAGTTCGACTGTATGTTTTTTTTGTATGCATATTACGCGATAACCCAGGCATTTGTGAACCGATTTTGATGATTCTTTTTTTGTTGGAAAGAAGGTACTTCAGATAGATGTTCCACCTGTGAAGAAAAAATTCCATCTTCTGAGGTAGGTTTTTTTTTACTACTCTGTACTGAGATTGTTACGCATCCTATTCGACGCCATCTCGGAGTCACTTTATTGTCTAATTTGAGTGCGATAACAAATATTTTAAAAATCTCAACTTTAAAACTCCCATAAGCGTCGATACAACCACAGTTCGAATTCAAATATTTCCCGTAGTGAGTCTGACCCTGGCGTTGTCAGATTTTTTTTGCAAACAAAATTGAAGTACCAAAAAATAAAGTCGTTGAAAAACCAAATACAAAGATACGATGCAAGCACATAGAAAAATTCGTGAGGTCCGCTGGTTCGTTCCGTGGTTTAGTTGGTATAGCGTCTAGCACGGTATGCTAGAAGACGTCGGTTCGAATCCGGCCGGAACGAAGGATTTTTTTCTGAATGTTCGATCTTTGCATTAATAATTATAATAATCTCAATACAGAGAACTAAAAAACCGACCTCAAAAGTACGTGGAATTACGTCTATGTGCCAAGTTTTATTGAAATATCAGGGGATATTTACAAATTCGCCACTATACGGGACTTGACACAGGAGATGATAAAAATCGGTTCTCACTACTCAAAATCGTTTTTCTTTCTCAAAGTATATTGTGAGAAAAACGCCTTGAATTGGAGAATAGCAAAATCAACCATTATAATAATTGCTCCTTATAATACAATGTAGGCGCTATTTATAGAAATGAATCTTCATGCGTGAACAACCACCCTTAGAGGTGGATGATTTTCTTCAAAATGAAATGGGAGCACTATAGAGGTACCCTCTTTCCAACAAAAAAAAATCATGAAAATCGGTTCACAAATACCGGAGTTATCGCGTAATATACACTCAAAAAAACATACAGTCGAATTGAGAATCACCTCCTTTTTTTTGAAGTCGGTTAACAAACTAGTAGAGTAATTTGATATAAAAATAATTGAATATTAATTCAATAAAAAATTAAATGCAATGAATAGCGACATCTTTAGCCGGGACTGGTAGCTGTAAAGGTCTATCTAACTGGGTGACGAAATATCATAGATTTCTCATAGATGGCGCTACGACTAAAAGTCGTTGAAAAACCAAATACAAAGATACGTACGACGCAAGGACATAGAAAAATTCGTGGGGTCCGCTAGTTCGTTCCGTGGCTTAGTTGGTATAGCGTCTAGCACGGTATGCTAGAAGACGTCGGTTCGAATCCGCTTGGATCGAAGGATTTTTTTCTGTGTGTTCGATCTTTGTATTAATAATTATAACAAAGTAGTGGAGTAATTTCACATAAAAATAATTGAATTGATATTCAATTATTTTTATGAAAAATTCAAGAAACATTTAAATTGAAGTAATTTGAATAACGTATATCGTATACTATACGCATTGACTTACAATTATATGGACGTCGGGTCTGCGCTAAAAAGTGTCCGCACTTGTAAGGCGCTAAAATCGTATACAGAGCGCGACACTCCGCTTTAGTCTTCATTTGTTCTACGGACAGCGCGATACTGCGATGACATTACAATTTAAATTTCGAATAGGTTGACTTGGGACATTTTTTTCGTGGTTTTTGTATTAGACCCGTCGTCCATTTATTTGTAAGTCAATGATTATACGTATTCTATTTAGTTCAGTTAATATAAAAAAAAAATTGTCACAATCAATCAATTTCGAGGTAAGTTTGTGTTTTTTTTTCTATCGTGAAAATGTTTAGGAATCGTGTTTTGATACCGTATACTTATCAGAGTACATATGCTCAATTTTACTATATATTTTTTCCATACTGATTAATTCAACACTTCCACTGTTTTGCGGAATCAACCAAAACCATTTGAGGCATATTGAGTCTTAACAATAAAAGTTACATATTACGCGAGAGGATCAAAAATTACGAAACATGTAAGAACTGTATCCATTTGGTAACACTAAATATATCAGCTCAGACCTCGATGGCCCAATGAGCTAACACTATGGGTGCTAAATAAGGAGGTCACGGGTTCTATACCCAGTAGAACCAATTCGGGAAATGAACATTTCTAAATTAGTTGAAGTCTGGGTGCTCTGGATTGTGCCTGGGAGTGAATTTCGTTGCCCTGGTATTCATAGTGCAGGGAATGTCTATTTTACAATGTTGGTTATCGTCTAGGAACCGGAGCCAATAAAGTATAAAAATTACCTATTGTGTTTGGGTGGCCGGAATGGAAGCAAAAGACAAGGCTAATTTGTCCTTTATTAAAATATAGAAATCAGGTCAAATGTACATTTATTATAAGTGTCATTAACATAAATAAATGTCTTAAATATCAAACATACATAATTATAGAGTATTCATTGGTCTAGTGAAGAACATTACGATCTATTTCGAGACTATGTAGTTGCTTTGGTTACAAGATACATTTATTAACGTTTAAAAATACAAATAAGTAGTATATAAGCATTTAATATTACTATTTACGTTTTGTTATGTATTAATAATATTTGTATGTGTATATCTACATATCTACGTATATGAGTGTGATAATAATTACTAACTAATGTACTTAAAATTATATTCTTTGGTTGCACCACTTTTGCATAGCCCGAATTTCTACCCTAAGGTTGCCTGGAATAAATCGGTAAATAGCAATAAGGCCGCCCGTTGCACATTAACTTACTATTATTATACTTAAGTCCTATATTAGCAATAAAGAATATTTCATTCATACATTCATTCACTCATTCACAAATAAATAGAGAAGAAACTGTAATTTAAACTTTCACGATTTTCACACATATTTGATTTTAAAGTCAAGACTTAATCGTGTCTTTTATTTACCATGACGTCTTTTCGATTACCATGGACGTTGCAACACGTCCGAAACGTCGAGGCAAATTAAAAAAATGTTTATACACAATTAAGTCGCGATTTTATAATCAAATAAAGTAATTGATGAAACTAACGGTCAATTTGGTGGCAACAGCAATCGGCATCATCATGGACGGAGAGCGGGTCAGTGGCATCCCGTGAGGGCCGCGAGGGCCGCGAAGGAAGGGACCGCGAGGGCCGACGCGCGCGCAAGCCCGACGACGCCGCTGGCACACCGCCGCCTAAGCGCGCGCGCTCCTCCGATCTCTACCAGGCGCAATTGAAGAGCAGGTAAGACACTACCACTGAAATTGCACTCCTCTATACAGGGTAATTTGTAAAATGCAAACAACCTATCAAACTATATTACTAACACCATAGACAACAAGTTTCGTTCCATGACTTCTAATAATTCATCAGAATTTATTTTCGTATAAAAATAAAAATATTTACCTAAACAGATCGCTCTAGACGGTAATAACCAGTGATCGGAATTGGGGGAATTAATTTAGATAAACTAAAGAATAACATAACAACAACAAAAAAACATCTTTTAAGAAGCGGCTTCCATACTTTGCTTACATACTAGTAACTGCCTGCCTCCGTAACCGAACGGTTACCATGCTGGGCTGCCAAGCAGAGCATTTATTTCTCTCGTGAGTTTGGGTGTAATATGTGGCCGTGTATGTATGTGCATGGCACCCGTGATACAGAGTCTTCCTAGTGCGGAGCTATGAGTTCGTTATGTTCTGCCGCCAAGCAGTAATATGAGCGTTATTGCGTTCCGGTTTTCCATGATAAGGGTGCTGGTGAAATCACAGACACATGGGACATGTCACTGTATGTCTCAGAGTGACAGGCACAGTGGCTGTGCCCTTCAGATCTTTGCGATTTAAAGCTCTGAGTGGCACTACAACTGTTATGGACAAACGTGTAGCTTATCACCAGGCTATATGTGACTTGTTCGTCCTGTCAATTGATATTATAAAAAAAGAATAAATCAATTCAAAATACGACCTCAAAAAAATTGCGCTACAATTTCTTTCAATGCTAATTTTCCTGCCAATAAATTGTTTTGCAAATCGAATAGCTATTAAAAATTAAAGGAATGTAGTTATAATTTAAAATGCAATTTGTTGTTTGCAAGTGCAATTGTGGCCAGTGTACTTATAAGCCGTTGAATTCGCTGGTGTAGGACGGAGCAGCTTTTGGTCGCGCAGGGCGCGAGCCCCGAGCGGCTCGCCGCCAACGGCCACGAGCTCATGTTTGGCCAGTCACTCGACGCCTCAAATCCGCACCTTTCTACTTCTAACAACTTGGTAAGTTGGAATAATGCTTGTCGTTGTTACTGAAGGATGCAACAAGGTTCAATAATTGTCATATGATCATTTGACTTTGTCAAACGTGCATTGTGTGTCACGCAGTCAGGCGACGGCGAGGAGTCATCGTCAGATGCAGGCGCGAGCGATACGGAGGGCGAACCGCGCGCTAAGCAAGAGCCGCTCGACTACGACGACGCCGCAGCCGCTGCGCTACCCAACTCCAACGGTGCTCTGCCGCACAACTTTCCCAACCTGCTCAATCTGCCCGGTATGTCACAACCCTAAGTTCTGTCTCGTCTACTTCTAAATTATTGTTTCCGTTATAGCGAGCTTTTTAAACTTGCAGGATTCCCAGGACTCCCAGGCCCTTCAGGAATGCCAGACAACTTCGGTAAGTGAATTACTTTTGCACTAACCCTAATTTACATGTTCGGCCCACGTGACTCGGTAATGATTCGGCGTCAAATTAATTATTTCAAGTGGAATCGTACTGAATGCGGTGATTAAAGTAATGCGCAAAGATATCACAACACGTTTGAAACAAAGAACTGGCGGCGTCATTAACCGAACATTACCGAGAGGCGCGCGGCCGACGGCGATGTCACTAATGATTAGTAACGAGAACGACACCTAAGCGCTCGACCACTCACACGTTCCCCACACGCGTAGACACCCCGAATGAATCACGAGCTAGGCGTCACGTAGCAATGATGGAAGTTACCGACTGTAGGCGCGCGAACCGACGCCGCGACAAACGAACGTTAGGCAGCGGCCAGGCAGGCCAGGCACTGAACGCGAACTCCGTCTGCCCAGGAGCTGGGTGGGGCGCGGAGGGGCCGGGTGTCGCGGAGGAGCGGTACGCGCCGGGTGCGCAAGCCGCCTTCGCGGGCGCGCAGGCGCCGCTGGCGGCCTTCGCGAACGGTGAGGCGGCCAAGCCTGCGTGTCCCGAGTGCGGCAAGCTGTACAGCAACAACAGCAACCTCAAGCAGCACATCTTGAACGTGCACTCGGCACGCGACCTGTCACATTCGTGCCCCGTGTGCGGCAAGGCCTTCAAGACGCGCCAGTACATGCAGATACACATGAACTCGATCCACGGCGTGAAGCAGCGAAGGCGCGAGCCCGCCACCCCGCCCGCGGAAGCGACGCCCGCGTGCGCGCGCTACTCCCACCTCGGCGCTTAGTGTCGCTCCTCGTTCTAACCGCCGCCTCTGTGTTACAGGGGCGGCCCTCGCGGGCGGGGCGCCGGGCTACCGGCCGCAGTGTCCGCTCTGCGGCCGCGTCTACTCCTCCACCTCCAACCTGCGCCAGCATATGCTCAATGTGCACTCGCAGACCGACCGCGACCAGTGGTTCCCCTGCCAGCACTGCGGCAAGCGCTGCAAGACCAAGCACTACCTCATCAACCACCAGCTGCAAGCGCACGGCATCCGCCAACGCCAGAACTCTTAGAGACGGCGCGACACCGAGCGCGTCTTCCCGCCCGCGCCCGCGCCGCCGCCGCTGCCCGCGACCGCGACCGCGCCTGCGCCCGCGCCCGCGCTCGGTGCCTGGTGGTGATCCCGCGCACTCACCGCCTGCGGAACTCGCTGTCGAAACCGCGACCCGCGCATCTATACTACCGGTGTAAATACGTGTAGACGGTACATGTGCCAACGGAACTACGTAAACGATGACGTAAAAGAAGGCCGCATATTGCATTTATAAAACGTAATATTTTTAGAGAGTTTATTATTACGGTACCCATACGCGAGTAGAGGCTAGGTCCCGTCGCCGGTGTTGCCAACCGCCCGGACCCAAGTAATCGATGGTGATGTCGGCATTGCAGATGCCGCGGAGCAGGGCGTGGGCGCGTTGGCAATACCGGCGATAGGCGATAGCGGCGGGGCGGGGCTGTCGCTGCACTGCCCGCTGTGCGGCGGCGCGCTGCCGTCTCTCGGCGCTGCGCGCGCGCACCTCGAGGCGCACTACCCGCGCGACAGCCCCGTCTGTCCTGTGCTGTCGTGCGCGCGCTTCTTCGCGCACCCCAACTCGGTTCGCAACCACATGCGCATCAAGCACCGCCGCCAGTGGGAGTCAATGAAGACGCTCAAGTGGAGCTGCGGCTGGACCACTTGAGCGCTCTCGCTCGATAGAACCGCGACTTTATAAGCATTAAGATTTAATAATAAGGGCTGTGAAACGGAAAGACGGACGACCGGCTACGGTGTGGCTCGTTGCGACCGATTGTACCCACGTGTAGGGTTGACCTGCAATGCATTTGACGTTCGCCGCTCGCGCCGCGCCTGTGCGGGCGGCGTGTACGCGGTAGAGTAAGTCGACTGAAAAATATTTTTGTAGTAGAATAGACTGATATCGTAAGGCATAGTTTAAGCGCATTATAACATGTGATGATTGGTGCCATTGATAGGTTACGGAGTACTATGAATGTCGATCGTTCTCGTCGCTTCCTGATGTGTCTGTAACTTCCATTGTTGCTTGAACACTTTATTCTTGCCGCTCGAACTGTGTTAGCTGTTCCTCTGCCCCTTTCCAGCCGGCTGTCCTCGTAACTACAGAATAATGTGATGAATATATTAAAATCGTTTTTACCTAGGTAAGAGATATAATGTGTTCACTTTTATCTGGACGGCCGGACTACCTAATCCCTAACAGGAGTGATACAGGTTCTCTCGTCATTCCTATACAAAATAAGCACTTCCAACTAGAGTGAGAGAGCCTGTATTGTACAATGTTAGCTTCTTGTATATTTTCGACCATAGATAAGACAATACGAAATAGAATATAAAAAAATGGAATGCCTTTAAATGCAATAGTTAAGGATACGTTTACTTCCATACATAGAGTGATTATTTTTGAAGAGTTTGTTGTGAGCCGGCGGCGATCGCTGAGCATTAAACATATCTAGTCAGTAGACAACGTAACGTGCTATACGCCGTACACGGTGCGGAGCAGTGTTGTAGGCACGCGCCGTCACCGCTTATTAACTTGTACATAAAGCTATGCCTTTCCTTCGCACATACTTTTTATCCGGACCATCAGAAATTTAAAAAGTTAAACAGTGGACTGGACAGTTTCAAACGTAGAACCATCATAAAGCAAATGTCTAAAGATTTTTGTTCCATGATCGAGTTTGTGCCGTTCGCGTTCGGTGAGAGTACATATGTGCAAAGGTAGGCCACATATTCCTAGATCTCGAAAATGATAAATAATTATCGGTAACCCTAGCGAGTAGTTGAAATTGTTCCTGACGCCTCAGAGGCAAGATCGTGTATCGTAATATTATAAAATATTTTAAGCGTACAACTTAACTTACTTAGTATCTCAATAACCAAATGTTCAATGTGAGTAAACGATTCTAGTTGCGATTGTATTAGTGATACAATTATATACGTAATAATTTAATTTTTACCCGAAGAGAAGTGTCTGCTTATTTAAATATATACATAAACAATAAAACTACCAAGTAGGAAAGGGTGTCTATCATTTCTTACCTTTTAAGTGTCCGACGTAAACTAGAGCAAAGTACTAAATATGTTTTGTACTACAGGTGAGCAGACAAAAAAGCACAACTACTTTTATTACAGTAGATTAAAATGACGTAAAAGAAATCCAATAGTTTGTATCGATTCACTAGTTGGTTACAAATTTCCTATTGTTTTATAATATGTCCTCAACGATCTTACGTCATTTAAATCTACCATATTCTACGTGTAACGGTGAGGCAGGTATATAACGTGTCGTGTCGTTGCCAGGCGCATGCCGTCGGACTCAGGACCTGCTGCGCGTGCGCGCCACAGACCCACGGCCCTGTCCCAAGTGCGGTAAGATCTACCGCTCAGCGCACACGCTACGCACGCATCTCGAGGATAAACACACCGTATGCCCTGGATACCGGTTAGTAATGTTTCCCTACATTCTATCTAGATAAGTTCTAGATCCATCACAAAACCCATTTAAATCAGTATATCCAAAATCCCATAAGATTTCTTTCGCTTTAAAGATTTTTCCCTGTGATTTGGCACAGATGCGTGCTGTGCGGTACGGTGGCCAAGTCGCGTAACTCGCTGCACTCACACATGTCGCGGCAGCACCGCGGCATCTCCACTAAAGACCTGCCTGTACTGCAGATGCCCACGCGTTTCGACCCCGAACTCGCTAGCCAGTCAGTATCAATAACTTCAAACATATATATTTTTTAATTTCAATTACCTACATTCATGTCGTCTATTGGGAAAGATGTGGGAAACTAGTAACATGCTGTGTCGCACAGGCTGCTGGCCAAGGCGGGCGTGAAAGTATCTCCGGAGCAGCTGCGCGCACGCGCGTCACCGACAGGCCCGCGCCGCTCCGATATCAAGCTGGACGCCAAATCAGCTGCCTCAGAGACATCGTCGCTGTGTGGCGGCGACGACCACGACGACCTTTCCCAGTCTCGCTACCAAGACAGCTTACCCGTCTCACCACCACGTAAGACGCACACACATAATAACACCTACATTGTGCATCGATCATCTACCGATCGTTACAACAACCTCTTTATCTCCAGATATAAATAGCCTAGCGAACACGACAATCACCAAAGTGCCGGCGGTGCGCGCTGTCACCGCCAAAGCTGTGGAGAGCCTGCCGCACGGCCTGAGCGGTCTCGGACCCGACGACTACCGGCCCGGCTTCGGCGCCGGTTCCGCACTACTCGACACCTACCTGCAATACATCGGGGAGAACCTCGGTACGTAACAGGAGACCGAATCAAAGATTAGCGTTTTCTGGACATTAGAAATAACCTGTCGGTACGTCAGCAGGCATGAACGCGGCGAAGTTGGCGCAGATGAACGCGATGCACATGGATCGGAAGACGTACGACGAGCCTTCGCCGCAGATGGGCTCGCTGCCGCCGCCGCCGACCACGCTGGCGCATCAGCGCTACCTTAAGCAGATGCAGCGCCAGTACACCGACAATATGAGCAAACCGGACATCGCGCGCGACGCCGACGAGCCGCTGGACCTCGGCAAGGAGCGGCCGCGCAGCGCAGTGGTGGGCGCGGACGGCGAGGGCGACCGGCACGAGGCGGACAAGGAGGGCGAGTACTACGGCAAGGAGTACGAGGAGGGCCGCGCCGCCAGCGCCGAACGCGACCTGGATCGCCACGAGTCCGAGTACGCGGAGGAGGAACGCGCCCACGCCCGCGCCGCCGCCTCGTGAGCCGCCTCGCGCCTCACCACGCTTTGTTGAAGATTTCAAACGGTGCTTGAGTGTTATGTTTTATGGCCGCTAGCCGGCCGGTTCGTTTTGCGATTAATGTAGTTGCGGTTTCATTGTTGACCCGTGGAATGTCGTTGGTGCCATTTCCGATATTGTAATGTAAATTAAACTTAGTATTTAATACTTGGGAGGGCCCGCTCCACTCCCCGCGGCAAAGGCCGCGGCCCTTTCACGAGTAGCCCCTCACTCACTGTCGTAGTCGACGCCACTCGCGTGCGGAATGTAGTATCGTAAAAGACTAGCGTAGTATTTTGTAACGTGTATGTAAGGTCCCCCTCACGTAGCTGGACCTCTACATAGTAATTCCATCCATCTACCTCAGCGACCGGGCCTTAACGGCTGCGTTATTATATCCACAAAAATTGTGAATTCCATCCATCTACCTCACTTCAATAGATTTTATTTAATATTTTATACAATTTATAGATATAATAACTGTTGTTTTATGCATTTTGCAGATGGCATTTATATACTATATAGAGTATATCGTAGGTAAATATATGCAAGTCAGTAGGTGATGTTAGTGCTGCCCGTAGACACGTCGTGTACCGTTTGTTCAAACGAGTAGAGTTCGCACTCACTAGAGGCAGTCAGTAGCTCACAGTCACCGCCGCGCGGGCGGCCGCGGCAATCGCCGACTCGCAAGCCGCGAACCGCCGCCGCCTACGCGTTCTCATCTTGATCAACGCACTAACTTTTATGTGTAGACACATAGTTATCTTTGTATACGAACAAATATGACAGAGCTTAAATTCGTACTGTTATTGATTACTATACTTATTATAAATCGATTCATATAATGACGTTTGTGTACCTCTACGTGTAGAGAATCGTTAACTGCAATCGTTTATTAAAGTACAACGCGACAATTATAATATTATTACGATTGTAGTAAAATTGATACAAACAAAAAAGAAACGTAAAGACCTATACTGCCTTGAGACTGAATAAGATATTCAAGGGCCAGCCGCGCGGCTCTCCCGCGCAGCGGATTTAAAGTTCAAAATGAGAACAAAAGGGACGTTGTATATAAATTGAGGTGATATGTAAAGTACCGTAATGATAACAAATAGAAACAAAAGCAATAAATAAAGTATACCTTGATGTTGCCTTCGATTGTGTATATAGGACGTGTAGACGAGTTGTATTGGTTTGTGACGGATGAACCTTTTATTGTATTGTAATAGACACGAGGAGGATTACTTTGTAGAATGATAATGATGTGGGCTCGTTACTTAAATAACAATTACTGTGATTACAATCTCATATTAGCCTTCATACTTTATACATATTTTTTAGAGTACAATGTTATAGTTATTTAGTATATCGTAAGAGTAATTGGTAAGCGAGTCACAAATTATATTTACTTCCCTGAACTTTAGGATTCACAATATTTAAGTAATTAGAGCAATAGGTGAAGCATTTAATCTTTTATATGAGAGAACGTGTGCACTCGGCGGCGAGCCGCGGCAGCGGAAGCGCACGCCTTTCGCAACCGAGCCCGTGCGGCGCAGCCGCCGCTCAGCCGCCGCGCGCGCACCTAGAATAAGCGCTACGGGTTGATCGAGTATAATTTAGTATATTAGTGAGATTGACGAGTTGGACAGTTTGGTTTGCGTTTCTAGATTAACCTTGTTGACAGTTAACAGTGTTGCCATAGTGAGTAATTATTTTTGACAGTATTTAAAATAAGTTTCGATTGTTTAGAGAGACGAGTGCTTCGTTCGTGTTTGATTAGTACGTTAGGTAAAGATTAACTCTGTATAATATGTCGCCGCCCTGCGGCCAAAGTTCCGACCTCGGATGCACGTATACCTTACAAATAGCATTAACCAATAGCAGTTACCAGATTGTATCTAATTAAGCAGAAGTATATTTTTTCAAAGCACACATAGATACGCAGATGAAGAGCAGCGGGCGAGCACAACTCGCGTCGGATGGAGACCCCTCTACCTTTCACCCCTGAGCTAACCGCCGCCGGGACTTTTGCCCGACCGCTGCGTCGTTATTAATACAAAATATTATATACCAGTGAAGATATATTAATTAGGACTTTAAGTCGATCATTATTCTCTCTGTATTGTATAAATTTTACGTTTAGTTACCTCTTCGCGAACTTCGGAAGTTCTATTATGTTTTTTCTTTTATTTTAAATGCATAATAACAATGTCTGTACCTCATTAGCATGATTACGTAATAATTGTATCATTTATTTGCACACGCATAGCACTGTAGCACGTCGCCTTAAGGCACTGTAGTGGTCAATAAAGTTTCCATGAAATCCTAATAACGGGATTTATGCTACTTATTACGAGAAACGGTGACCTCTAACAAGTGCTACGCGAAACGCGACAATGAAGCAGTGCGACGGATGACCAATTCTCAGTACACTGTTGACGGTTTTAATAGTACCAAAAAAATCCATTTTGACTATTTTACAAAGAACTGTTAGTTGTTAGAAATCATATGGAACATAGATGTCTGTGTTATCTTACCATCTAGAAGTGCTAGTGAAACCGCGAACAGGTAAAAAGTAATAAAATACTATAAAAGCACAAAATTATAAATAAGTTGAATCTCAAATCCAATGTCAAAATAGCTGTTAATTCCGCGTTGCTCTCACCGGCTCTTGGCGTCAGTTTCTTAAAACCGTGTTTCACGTTGATTTTATATATTTAATTTGTCAATCAGTAGTTCTACTTTAAAATTCGCTTATTCAATGTACTTGTTACAAGGTTGCAATAAGAAAATGTAAGCGTAGCTTTTTGTTTATTGACAGCAGTTCAGGGGCTTGACCATCTAACCCGAAAGTCAGCCATTATATTCAAAGTGAAATGTTGTCATTTGAAAACCCATTTGCTGTTTCAATTTCTAAAGTCCATTCATGCTTTTAGAAATTGTAAAGGATTTAAGATTTCCCTCTGAACGCCGAGCTGGCTTTCAATTTTGGTTAGGGAGCTGTTGTTCTTTGTAGGTTTGTTATTTGCTCCTGGATACACGGTATTCGGCTGGTCGCGTTGAATACACTAGCGCCACAACCTCACATAATACGTTAACTGTATTTACATCCGACACGACTTTTTACTAACAAAGGTATACAAAATAATTCATATGATAGTTCTTATGTCAATGTCAAAAATCGTGTCGGATGATGTGAAATCGGCTTTTTGAAATATTGTTTTGTTTATCGATTCGGCCACCGCGCCTTCGCCGTGTACATTAGTGTACTAGCTGTACGCTGCTTTACTTCATTATTATACAACAATAAATAAAATAATTGTTTTGAAATCAAGTATTTTTATTTACCCCAAAATTCTCACAGTATAAAGTATTATTTATAATTATCATAGTCATTAGAAAAGTTGCAGTGAACAAGGTTTACATCACTTAGAGAGATGTCGCAAGAATACATAAACGCGAAAGATAATCCTCTGAGTCACGTTGTTATTGTTGGCAATAAGCGTAAATCAAAATAATATGCGACGTCGTAAAAACCAATGGACAATATCACTCGTCGATAAAGTTCTATCGAAGTAAGCAAACAAACTAGTGTGCCCACTACTCGGTACTGTCAGGAATAGTGCGACAAAAAACTCACGTAAACCGAAAATTCGATATCGAATATATTTCACACCGTTTGAATTTAAAAAAATGTTTCTAAGACAAAAACTATTTATTTAATGGAATCGCTTGACAAAATTGGTTCTATATATTAATCATCACATGCCCTTATAAATAAAGTACTGCCTATAACTATAATAAATACATTACACATATCACTTCACTAACTAGACCTTGCTTATATATAAACTACACTACGACAGAAACGAAATTTTATTAAACGGAAAGGGTAATTTCTCTTTACAAAGTAAAATTTAATTGTCATTAATTATTTGTTTTGTACAATGTGTATATTAGAACTAAAGCCATGTGAAAAATGTCGCCAGAATGGGCGTGTTTCGTGTACACTGCGCCGTCGCTACTCCTGACTGGGGCTCTTCTTGACGAAGAGGTAATGAACACCAAGAATGGCGTTCATTCTGCAACAACACATGCATGTGTTCACCTATCATTGATTCTACTCTAACTACTAAATATAATTACATCACACCCCAGTAATCAACTCTGGAGTGTAATTGTCATGGGTGATACCTTTACCAGAAATAGGGAAGTACAGTCCAATATCAATGGACAAATCAATTCTTCCAAAATTAGGTAATATTTAAGAATATTATAGTGCTAATAATATTATCAGTATTCACGCAGAGTTTTTTTTTTTTCAAGTAAAAGTTTGAGTAGTTTACTTTATTGTTATCATATCACTAATCAAGATTTTATCAAATTTATTTTCGCTTGCTCAGAATAACCTGCTTGTTAACAGCTAACTTGAAAACCAATACAAACTTCAGCATGAAAAGTGAACTCCTATACATCTTAATTATAAAAAAAATAACTTGTGTAGTAAAATGTTTTAATGATTTAGAATTGCATCAATTGAATATAAAAAATTGGCTTTATCAATAATCATCAAAATTATATATACACATTTGTTTTCCACAATGGTTAATTGGTGTTTAATAAAGACCATTAGTAGGGTAGTATCACCAATGACATCAACGGTAGACTGGTAGAATGTACTTACAGTAACAGCCAATGCTATTTCTTGGAGGCAAGCGCGATGCCAAGCCCAACGAGGCCGCCGAGCGCCAGCACCGCACCACCCGCCACCGCCATACCGATCAGTCCCTCTTTCTCCATTCGCTTGTTTATTTGACGCTGGAATATACAAATGATACTAAATATGTATATGTATGCATATAATACTAAAATACATCATTATTATATATTTGGATGCAATTTTCCTGTATAAAAAATAGTTCACTGCCTCCGCTGGGTTGGCACACAGAGGTCCCGGGTTCGATTCTCGGGCCGGGAGAAACATTTGTATGGTCTACATTTATTTTTTTAAATATATATATCAAATAATATCAAGTGATGGGACGAACAGTATCTTGCGATTTATGTCGTTCTCGCGCTAGTCGCGTCCTATCGTGCTAGCCCTTCAGGTATTATAAAAAATATGTGTTATTCTAGTACAGCAGTACAAAACCTCCTTCGATTTTTTCGGCATTAACTCCTTCTGCAGATGTACTCTTAAGATTGTTATGTTCCACTGCATACATTAATTCTCTTATTCCCCGTTCCTTTCTTACCAATATGCCACAATCTTACATTACTTAGATATAATTTTATTGACAATACTACTCAACAATAACATTTCTTGTGCAAGGAAACATGATAATTTTCAGGATAGTTTACTCTACCTAATTTCGTTGACAATTCTTATTATTTAAATGTTCTAGGGAAAATAATAAATATTATCATAAAGTATTATTTAATATGCAAGTGTAGTATATTTCTTGAAATATTATTTCTTTTCCTGTCAAATGTTATTGAATCGAAATAATAGATGGGGCCATGACATTGTCATCAAACATGCCAACGTCAACTAAAAATTACTATGTACAGTAGTTTTGTACAAATAATATAAAAATTATGGCGGACGTCGACATTAGTAAGTCCTGTACGTCCCATAAACCCGAAATATTATTTAATATACTCGAATACTTAAATAATAAAAATTGTCGCCATAACTAAATAGAGAAAACTAACCTGAAAATAATGCACACACTCATATAGCCCCGCACTAGGGAAACTCTGTATCGCGGGTGCAATGGACACACACATAGACAACCACAAAGTATACCGAAACTCACGAGAGAAATAAATGCAGACCAAACAATTATTTTTTCCCAGTCCCAGCCCGGGAGTCGAACCCAGTACCTCAGCAAGGCAGTCTAACATGATAGCCGTTCGGCCACAGAGGCAGTTACCATTACCCTATTATTTCCTTTGTACTTCTTTGCACTGAAATTGTTGTTTTTAAAATAAAGAACTGAAGACAATTGAGCATGTTCTTACCTCAAGTGCTACAACCTGTTGGTTCGCAGGTTCAATTTCAAGGAATGCTTTCACATAGTGCAGTGCCTTATTGTACTCCTTGATGCGTGCGTTACCAATCGCCAGATAGAACAAGTAGTCGCGCTTGCCGTCCGGGTGCGAGTTGAACAGCTCTTTAAGAAGTAATATGCCCTAACAAGTAAGAAAAATATTTTAAACTTATCTACCATTCATCATAATTCATTAATTTGTAAATTTATTTTATTTACTGAGCCTTTTAAGCCAAGTTACAACTCTTAACTCAAAGGGCCTCTTAGCAGAGGACGCCTCCAGATCTTTCCAGTGAGCTCTGTACCTACTCTTCTCCAATAGGGACCTACAGTGAGCTTCACCTCGTCCTCCCATCTTCTATATTAACACCCTCTGTAGCATTTTCCATCATTTAATAATAATAATAATAATTCTATATTTCAGTAACACAATTAACATTACATTAACAGTAGATGGTATGAATAGGAGGTCTATTATGCTTATCAAGTCTGTTTTACAAATCATTTGTGAATAACAGGTTATATAGAAGCTGACATGTGCATGTAATAACTGTTGTTTCACTGTTGAGTTTTTCATCATTTAATAATAATAAATCTTTATTTCAGTAATACAGTCAACAGCACATCAAGCTATACACTTTTGTTCAAATACCACCTCCAGTGCAATTAACTTTACATTAACAGTGAATGTTACCTACTATTAAGCTTATCAAGGCTGTGTCAGGAATCATTTGTGTGAATTTGTGAATAATGCAGGTTATACAGGAACTGACGTGTACACAATAAGTATAGTTCCACTGTGTGTGCTCTGTGGCAAAATCTACACTCTCTATCCTCTCTCTGCCCAATATTTGACATGTGCTTGTTCAAGCCACAGTATCCTGTTAAAAATCTAGTAAGCATTCCAATGCCATTCCTGTCCAATGACAGAGCTTCTCTAGTGTTTTAACAAAAATTAAGCATACAAATATTGAAGGTATATTATACATTCACTCACATCCAGTTCGACAGACTAAATCAGGATTTAATAAGTCAGTCAGTAATTTCAATGTGGTGACAGTTATATGTTATGTGTTGGTATAGTTATTATTATTATTAAGGTGGCTTCATTCGGGGCATACGCAGCCTCTCATCACTGTGTCACATCACTTCAACTGATCTATTGTGATCACCACTAATTACAGTTCAAAGTCAAGACCAACAGCATTGAAGAACTGAAGGACTTTCCGGGCACTGACAGATTTTAAGTCCTCTGGTTGTGGCTATACCTTCCTGAGTATGGAGCGTCATATGCCCATCAGGGGGTAGCATTGGGTGAGAAGATGAACAGGAGTTTCATCGACTTCGTGGCAGAATCTACACTCATTCTCTCTCTGTTTAACATGTGCTTGGTCAAGCTACGATATCCTGTTAAGAATCTAGTTAACATTCCAATGCCATTCCTGTCCAATGACAAGGCTCCTCTTATCGAGTATATAACCAGAAATAGAGATGAAATAAGTGCCATATATTCCTGGTAACACATCAACGATACAGCTCTTATAAATATCAAGTCTTGTTTGCACTGAAATATAGACAGGCCAAGTACTGATCTGTATGTACGTCTCTGTATATTCCAAAAAATATTCTGTATTTATTGTAATAAAGATTATATCTCTAACAATGCCGTTTATTCGGTAGTATGGGAAAAACAGCTAAACATCTAATCACAAAACAAACAGAATCACATTTCATCGGTAATTAACCCTTAATTTATCTGTTAGGTCCGTGGGACCCCAAGTAATATTTGTTTTTGACGTAAAATCTTTTATATCGCGGTTTTCATTTCGGGCGTCTCGGTACTTTCACCCAGTGTGGCGCAAGACGCGGGACGAAGAGGACGTGCGCCTGCGATGCTTGCATAGGTGAGTAATGGCATTCGCGGAGTCCGTGGGACTCCACCGGAACATTTGTGTTACAAGTATTGCATTATTTATTCATTACAAATATTGTTATGAACGTATATTATTAGTATTTATTTTTTGTTTTAGGGTTTAAAATGGCGTGTCATAGTGGGTCAGTCAACCTTCTTCAAGAAAATGACGGTTTTATACTTCAAGAGTGGCCGTGAATGTATGAGGCCGGTATGCTTAGGGTGCACAAAGAAAGTCTGTGTTCGATGCGTGAACAGAGATAAGGAGTAAGCTCTGCATGTTTCATTTTTTTGTATGGACGTGAATATTTTTATTTTTCTTTCTAATTTTTTGATTATATATGTAATGTACTATAAAAATAAAAATATGTATATAAAAAAATAAAAAATATATATAATTTAACCTTTGGTTAGGAAGTTGGCTCTTGTTTTTGTTCGAATTTTTTATTGTCTATTTGACTTTCATATTATAAAAAAGACTGTTACGTATTAAGTACAAATTGTGATACACAAGACTGTTAACATAATATTCCTTATTAAATTAAACGATTTTTTAACTTTGCATTTGGTTTTATTTCAAACAAAATTATATTTTTTTCAAAAGGAGTCCCATGGACTACATGAGGTAAATTGTAAGGGTTTTGTTCACCGGGTAAACTAAGGGTTAAATAATAAATATGTAATTTTGCTATTTTCACTCATTATAGCAATGCTCAAGTTAACTGGTTGATTTGAAGTGAAACAGTTGACGACACACATCAATTGTTTCGAACTCGGGCTAGCCAATCAGAGCACAGTTGTCACGGTAATGATAGGGCAGAATAGTTTTCAAGCAAATTAAATGACATTTCATCTCTATTTCTGGTTATATACTCAATGGCTTCTCTAGTGTTTGGCACTGTAGGCAGCTATCAGGGCTTTTGAATGCTCAAGACCTGATATAGTTGTAATTTTAATGATAACACTTTTACATAAATAATACATAAATTGTCATTTAGAAATTTGGACACTGCAGACCTTATTACTTTCAGTAAATTGTTGTAAATTATTAAAATACCTTTCTGCATGATGGTAGTTGTACAAACTTTCAAAAGTTGGTCATACTGCCCTTTTTCATTACGAGGGTAGCATAGAAATGAACAGGTAGTAGTGGAAGATCTTAAAAATATGGTTACCATTATCAGCTATTTTATTCTCTTCAATCAACAAGTTGCTCTGACACATCTTCTTTGTTAATCAAATTACTTAATCGTAGCGAGTAAAAAGAACCCCAAATAATTACGTTCGTCACGATTCACACGTTGATAATAATAACACTTTTCCCATCTTACCTTCCTTATATCCGTAGGGTATTTGCTCCGCACGAGACACCACGCATATTCAAATTGCGCCTTGTGCGTCACCTTGCCTTGATGCAGTTGCTCGTGAAACACCTTCTCGAACTTCTGCTCAATAATAAAACACAACAAAGATAACAAAATGACTCACACAAATAAAATACGCTACGTTGTGCAAACTTGCTTACTTGCAAATCTTCTGACGAGACTGTTTCATCCAAAACGTCTTCCATGTTAATATATTTATTTGCTTGACCTAATACGAGTTAATTTATTGAAAATTTTAATTTCTACGGCAAGAATAAAACATTATTTGCGTTTTTATTTAAAGAAAAATGCAAATTAACGAAAATTGATTGATGGAAATTGACAGATACAACAGTTAAGTTATGTTTTTAAAGTATTCATTCCCATTTATTTGGGTAGGCAAAGGTTCTACCATACAGCCTCTCCATGGATTTAGTATATTTTTTTTCTTGTTTTGGTAATGCAACGAGTACTCTGTTTTTATACAGGCTGTAACAGAAAGGTAAAGTCGTATTAAAGGACCCAAATATACACTTGGTTTAGGGTCGTAGGACTCTACTCAATGTTCAAGTCGGACTTGAGTATGATTTAAAGCACTAGAAATCATACTCAAGTCCTTGCCATTAGGGTCGTGTTTCCAGTGCTTGAAATCATACTCAATCCCTGACTTGAGCATTGAGTAGAGTTCATGGAATACGACAATTAGACCCTCACGCGCAAATTTCAAATAAAAATTGTGACTTTTAAAGTTCGGATAGTGACTTCAATGTCGGCGGATGGATTTGCAGTTAAAGTCACGTAAACTTACGTTTAGCGATATGTAGTGTTTGTGTTTTCTCTGTGAATGTTGAGTGAAAAGAATTTAGTTCTCTAGAGTATGTATGATAACATACTCTAGAGAACTAAATTAAAGTTTAATTGTATTTTTGATTTGATTGTGCCTCTGAGGCATTTCGATTTTACGGGATTGAACTTTCGAGTTCAGTTCAGTTCTGTTCGCGACGTAGTGTGGGGAAACCCACGTTTTGAAGTGCGATCAGCAGCCAAATTCTACGAAGACTTCAAGGTCGCAACGCGAATTGCAAACACTTACACTCAAAAACTTTGTTGCACATGTTGTACGTGACGCGCACGTAAGTTTCCGGAATGAATAAAAAAAAATACTATAAATGGTCAGAAATGAATTTATTTACTACAGTTAATGCACTTTTTCATACGAATGAACCAATTTTGAAAACATTTATGTCACTCCTCCGTAACAATCTCTGAAACATTTTTCATACTCTTCGACAGCCTCTTCAGGTGATGAAAATCGTTGACCGCGAAACTGGTTCTTAATTTTTGGAAATAAATAAAAGTCACAAGGTGCCAGATCGGGACTGTACGTGGGATGGCTCATAAGGTCAACGATCTTCACCTTCAAAAATCCATTTGTCTGTCTGGCCGTGTGAGAACTGGCATTATCGTGGTCCAAGATGATACGGCGTTTACGGTTATTTTTACGGAATTGTCAATAACTTCCGGCAAACAAACAGTCGTGTACTAATCGCTATTCACGATACAGCGATTCTCCAAAGCAACAGTAGCCACGTGTCCAGTTTTATTAAAAAAAGAAGCAATCATCCGCTAAGAGGCACTTTGCACGCGCGCCACTTTGGTTAGTTTCGGCTTCAACTCGAAAGATCCATACGCTCCATTGCTGCTTTGTTTTGGGATCGTAACTATAAAACCATGTTCCGTCACCTGTTACTATGTCCCACACCAAATTTGACGCCCCTTCGTTGAATCCGGTAAGCAAGGCAATGCACAAGTGATGCGATCCGTTTTTTGAGCCTCAGTCAAATTGTGTGGGATCCAACGAGAGCACAGCCTTTTCATACCCAAATGTTTGTGTAATATTGATTGTATTCGACTCATGCCTATGCCTAAAGATGCCCGAATCTCATGGTATGTCATATGCCTGTCTATTTTGATCATACGGCGCACAGCAACGATGTTTTTGTTGTTCGCAGTAGTGGATGGGCAACCATCACGAAAGTCGTCATTGAGATTCACACGACGGCGTTTGAATCCTGCAAACCAGCTATAAATAGTCGTCTTGCATGGTGCTTTACGCCAAAAGCTCCGCTGAGCTGTTAAATTACACTCAAAATCGTAGAAAATCATACTACGAAAATGTTCACGAGATAAATCCATGGTGATGTAGCCAACCAATTTCTAAAATGACGCCGCAATATAAAAACAAGTGATAGTCAGATGAAACAAACTGTTCTACAGCCGAAGAGTTCCATTTTGAAATGTTGTAATTACTTTTTAAATATTGTTTATTATGTGGCCAGTTCCGGAAACTTATAGTGCGCCCTATGTATTGCGCGTCATACAAAACAGCCTCTTTTTCTTTCTTTATCCTGCAATCAGCCTGGCTGGCTATAAACATATGAGTTGTATGTAGTTCATAATGGAAAAGGTGGTACTCCCAGTGGAGCCCTGATCTAAAGGTTGTGTTGTCAGGTATTTTACAGACTACAGTGGTCAAAGTTGTTACGCCTTTTTTTAGTCGCCGTATACTTTCAGGCATGGTGAGCTGCTTGATTAGTTGATTTAGGTGTTGTTCTAGCCGAGTTCTGTATCTATCACCGTAGGAGGCTATTTCTTCTCTAACTGTGGGCATGTCAAGAAATTCGTGGATCTCCGTTGTTTTTATGAACCATGGCACGTTTGATATCTGTCGGAGTATATTGCTCTGCACCCTTTACATAATCATTATATTAGAGGTACTAGCAGCGCCCCAGACTTGCATGCCATAAGACCAAATTAGCTTTAGTATCGCTTTGTAAATTAGAATTTTGGTATCAATGGCCAGTTTACAATTTCGATCAATCAACCAGAGCGGTCTTCTTTGCATACAGTGAAGGTGACCTGTACTGATTTAGTCCCACTAGCAGCAATTCTCCATTGAAATTCTAATTTGAAATGTACTGTTACTAATGAGTATGAGCTCTGGATTCCAAAGAATGTTTTTGGCAATAAAGACTTTTCGAGTTCTTAGGTTTTCGCGATTGTTAAACGTCAAACACCAAACCACAAAGGTTTGTTTGAAAAAACAAATATACGCGATTTATATGAGGATAAAATAGTTTCATTTCTAAATAAAGACTTTTTCAAAGGCTTGCTGTATGTCAAGGAAAGCCGATGAGCAGTATTCTTTTTTCTCGTATCACTCTCTGATTGCTCTGCTTACTCTGTGGGTCTGTTCTATAGTTGAGTACTCTTTTCTAAACCCGAATTGGTGGTCAGGGATAACGGAATTTTCCAGAAATATATGTGTTAGCCTATGTAGCAGACACCTCTCAAACAGCTTGGACATAGCAGGCAGTACGCTGATCGGTCTATATGAAGTGACTTCGTGAGGGTATTTACTAGGTTTGTGGACCATTATAATTTGGGATACTTTCCACAAATTTGAGAAATATTCTACTCTCATGGTTGCATTGAATAGCGTTGTGAGATATACTAAACCTTTGCGCGGCAATTCTTCAAGGGCTTTCTTGTCGATGAGATCGCACCCTGGTGCCTTGTGGTTGGGCATGCCTCTCTGGGCGTCACTAATTTTAGAGGAAGGTCAAGTCGGAAGTCTTGGTGAAGAATAGCGTTATATCTGATTCATCTGCATTCGGTTTAACAGGATTTGATTTGAAGACTTGATTCAAATGGGCCTCCACTTTACTCTGTCCAGTTCTAGCCCATTTTCCATTTTGCATCCGAAGTGGCGGCTTGAGTTGTGCTGTAATGGCCGATCAAAGTTTTTGCATGTTTTCCATAGACAGTAATTCGTCGCTTTTGTTGAGGAAACCTCTAGGTAAGTTTCCAGAGCGACGTCAGTAGCTTCTGATATGAGGCTTCTTAATTCTTTAGCTGCTCTATTAAATACTGTTTTGTCACTACGATGTCAGCTGGTATACCAACTCTTCTCAGTCTTCTTTTTTCTATAATATCTATACAACCTCTTTACAACAAAGAAGTCTATGACGTCTGGTAGCCTATTAGGGTCGGTGGGCCAGTTAATAGGTACTGCTCTTGATGTAGTGGTGATATTATTCTTATCTAGACTCTTCTTGAGTTTTCTACCCCTGGTATTAGTCAATCTGGAGGCTCAGTGGACGTTTTTGGCATTCCAGTTTCCTCCGGCTTTATAACGTGCGCCCATCGCATCAACTCATCGTGTTGCCCTTCTGTTATTTTATGTCTTGCAGGACAGTATATGGCTGACACATTATACGTTCCGTTTCGATCCTCTATTGCAATAGTGGCTGCTTATATGTGGGCTTTTTTAAACTGTTCTAATTCACTGTGTTTAATGCTTGACCTCACGATTACGGCAGCTCCTTCGTGTGCAGTTCCACCTGGGTGATTAGTGGCATAAATGTCATAGTTTTGTAACCGGATCCTACTGCTAGCCGTAAAGTGACTTTCAGATACCAGCAGTATATCAATGTTGTGAGTGTACCGCAGAGCTTCAATCTCTTCTTTGTTTAAAGACAGCCCCTCTAGGTTCCAGGTAGCTATCTTGAGGGTAGTCGTTTTACTAAATTGGAAACTAGGGTTGTTATGAGGCTGATAAGTGCACTCATCTGTTGTAAGTTTAAATCGAACTTTTCTGTTTGTTTAAGTAATATTTCTTCCAGTGTTTGACTTATCGTGGAGGGGATTTCAGTCGTTTTGCTTTTATTGACTTTTAAAATATCTGGATCGTTGAGAATGGTCAGGAGTTGGTCTAACTCCAACTCTTTGATGAGTTGGAGTGGGAACTGGGTAGCCGTATGGCAACAATTTTTTGGTGGCCCCTTCGTTTAATGTGGTCCTGTTTGTTAGATTTCCTGGCTAGCATTTCTCTATACACCTCTCAACCCTAGTAATTTGCTGGACGGGCGCCTGGACATAGAGCATATTTCGCTGGGGTGTTACGGTCTGTCTTAGGAGACTCTGCAGTTTTGTGAGATTGTGGACCTTCCACGGCCTCGTACAGTAGTTTTTAGTGTGGTCGTATTGTTGGCATCTTTGGCATTGGACTACTACATTTTGTTTGCGTGGATCTTCTATAACAACTGACTGATGTATTTGAGGTTCTTGATAGCTTTGTTATCGGGTCCATGTGCTAGATTGGCAAATTAAGTGGAGGTTGGTTTCTTTTCTGGTCTGTATCTCGCATTTATTATTTCTCCAATAATGGTGTTACCGTACTTTCCAGCATTTCTTTTATTGCACTAATTGGTATTGTGTGATGAAAAATTCTGATCACGATTCTATAGGGCCGTTTGTCTTTTCTATTGAAAGTATGTCCGATTAGGCCTTTTCCTCTCACAGCATCTATTATGTTTTTGTACACCTTTATGGTAGTGCAGCTGTTACGTAATTGATTTTAGTTGACAATTTTGTAGCTGAAATCTGAATTATTCACAACACTCTCAAGGAGTTCTGTGAGCTTGTTAACGTCTTCGATACCATAATAATAATAACGCACACACTCAACATAGCCCCGCACTAGGGAAACCCTGAGTCGCGGGTGCCATGGACACACGCATAGACAACCACAAATTACACCCAAATTTTAAATTACGAGAGGAGTAAATGTAGGCCTTATAAATATTTCTCTCGGCCCGGTAATGAACCTGGGACCTCTGTGTGGCAGTCAGGCATGGTAACCGTTCGGCCACGGAGGCAGTTAACACAAGATTATAGGAGGTGGTTTTGAAGGTTTATTTATAGTTTCGCTATTTTGTTTGCCGTCATCATCTATTTCTTCAGTAGATAGTCCACTGAATCTGTTGGTGACTCAATCATCTCGGGGGATGGTGAAGTTCAAGCTGAAGCTCAAGTTGGATCGCCCTATAGTCCGCGGTTGCCGAGGCAGCTAGCTACCATATCTGGTAGCTGCTTCGCTACCGCAACCTGCGACGCGGTGGGTTACACAGGGCCGTGCTACTGGGAAGTAAAACCCAGAACCCATAAACCACAGCCGTTTTTTAATACCTAAAAAGAAGTTGTTTTCCAGCAATTATTTTTGCTTCATGTGCCTCAGTTTGATGTATACACTGTGCGTATATTTAGCTTCTAGGGTTTTTTACGCCCTGTATAGTTCGATATTAAATGGAGAAATAATATGCGTACACTTAAAAAGCAGTTCAATGGACTTTGAGTGGTTTGTCGGTTTTTTTTATATTATGAATTTCCTTTTCCTCAACCAACGGGTCATAGAAAAATTTCCTTTTTGAAAAAACCATATTCCGAAGATTACATATTTTTTCCTGTATTTTTCTTGGGGGATGGAAAAAAATTTATTTTTCCCTTAGAGGATGGAATAGTCTAAGATTTTTCTTAGAGGATGGAAAAAATTTTCCATAGTCTAAGATTTTTCCACATTTAACAGTGACACCTGTCAAAAATTGAAGATATGGAACTCTAAAATTACATTTATCAATGTGTTACATTTATCAAACGTAGAACACAATATGGGGCTTCGAATTATATTTTTCCAATTTTTCAGAATTTTTCTGAAAAAGTTCCACTGTTTGACACTTTTCGGAAAATTACCTACCGTTATTTCATACGTCGGGTTAGTTTAGATTAATCCAAGCCAAAAAATCTTAAAAAAAAGCGTCAGTTTAAATAGATCCTGAACGAAAATATAAATGTCATGCAGTCAACAGTTGTCAAAGAAACAGCTGACAACTTATGTATGTTTCTTTGTTGCTGTGTTTTCGTATATTTGTTCTAAAATTTCTGAATATTCTAATAATAAAGTAAATTCCTCTAAATTAAAGCTCCATTGTTGGAGCGGCGACCATGCAAAGTGTAATTAACACGGTGAAGGGCACGGCTCTCGGCGTTGCAGGGTACCTGACGCCTGTACTCAAGGTGGGTAGTAATGTATTCATCTCCGTTCCTGAACCAATTGTTTATCATTGTGCTAATAAACTTTATCTTTTAAATGGCCGTTTATTATGTCCTATCATTGTACCTATTCAGTATCATTGGCAAATGTGATTAAAGAATATAAATTTGCATTTTTTTAATGACAATTACTGAGTAACTTTTTCTGGTCAATATTTATTATATCTACGTAAAATGATTGGTCTTTGCAGTTATTAAGATACTGTAGTACAAACCTATATCAAATTAAGAGAGCATTTGCAGGAGTCTAAGTTTCAAGAGACAGGAGTGCTGACCCCAGAGGAGTTTGTGGCTGCGGGGGAACACCTTGTGCACCACTGTCCTACGTGGCAGTGGGCGCGCGGCGAAGAGGGAAAGGCGCGCTCATACCTACCTGCCGACAAGCAGTTCCTCATCACACGAAATGTGCCATGCTACAGGCGATGTAAACAGGTATACTGGCATCTTTTCGTCATCGAATTCTTAGGTTCTTGCGATTGTTGCACTTTGGGAATAAAACTATTTTTTGGATCTGAATTGCATATATTTATTAACAAAGCAACATTTCGGGTGCATTACAGGTCCCAAGGTCACAGCTGATGGAGATGGTAAAAACAATAACCCGTTATGTTTAAATATTAGGCCTTTAGATTGCGTCCATGAATGTGGGACCTGTAGGGCTACCACAAAAGGGTGTGACTTGCACGCTGTCGACATAAAGCACCTCATGATTTATGTCGCCCACAGATCAGTATCTTGATACGACTATTCTCTCATAGAGATCCCAGGCTATACGTCACTATCACACAAGTCGCACTCTGTCGTGCTAGCCCTTCTGTAAAGGACCCGAAACATTGGTTTGTTTAAAAAACATCTACATAATTTAGATCTAAAATATAGTTTAGTTTAATTTCCAATTCACGAGTTTCCATCTTTCAACAATCTTATCACCATCCCATTAGTTGGATGGTACATATGTTTTCTTCCTCCATTTATCTCTACCACCATCTCATTGTTCATTCCCTTCATACAGTTAACTTTTACACAATCCAGCTGTCTTTTCTTTGATTATTTATTTTAATTTTCAATCAACATAATGACTGTTTAAGAGTTTAAGAGTTTGTTTAAATAAGACTATTGAGTGAACCCCACACTTGGCATTGCTACCTATTGATTATAGTAATTAGTCTACATGTAATACTTTTAAGGACTTGTAAAAAGTTTGTCGAAAATTGCCTCCAGTGCAACGGAACAAGATATGTCAATGTGTAGGTTGATGTGCTGTTGACTGTACATACTGTCCATACCTATTTCTGCTGCCAGTTTTGTAGGGTACGGTTGCTGGTCAAACTGCAAACATGGGACTTGTCACCTTAATGTCTCAGGGCGATGGGTGCATTGTCAGTGACTGTCAGATCTTTGTGATTTAAAGTTCATTGCTCGAGTGATACAGCAACGGTTATGGGTAGGAATGTAGCTTACAACCAGCGGCATAACTTATTCGTCCTGTCACTTGATTGTCATAAAATAATTATTCATCAGTATTATTTTATTGGATATGCAGATAGAGTACTGCGAGGACAAAGAAAAGGTGATAGAAGACGAGCAGGATGAGGATGGTGGGTGGGTGGACACACATCACTATGACAACACTGGCTCACCCAGTTTGGAGGAAAAAGTGAGTTAGTGATAACAGGATAAAACTTTTTTTTTTCCAAAAGGCTCATTGAAGTTATATTTTGTTTAATGAACTTCATTTAACTTAATTAATGAGACAAAATGCAGTTTAAAATCTATAATTATCCTACTTATTTGGTGATAATTACTTAGTAATATTATTTCAAAGAACTGGGCTAGGCTATTGATTTATTGTCATCAAAAATATCATAATAAATATACTATAACTATTGTTGACTCACTGATGCTTACGCCTCATTTTCCACTTTACATTTGGAAATATATATTGTAAAAGCAAGATGTTTTCGATTCAGGGGTGATGGCAGTATTGTTAACTATAGGCTTTATAGTTCATATTTGAAATTGAAAACATGAGTTCTTTGAAATTTCACAGCATTGATAAGGCCATATCTGAATTAACACTAAAATTTTTTAAATTGGATTGGACCACAACTAGAGCTGCTTTTGTTGTACAGGTATGTGATATGACGTTGGAAGCGGCAGATGCAGGCGACAGTGAGGGGGAGGGACGGGGATCAGGCGAGGGGGATGACAACGACGACGATGATGACGAAGATGGGGAGGCAGAGGACATGGAGCAGTTTCAAGAGTCCGGATTGCTGGATGAGGTTGACCCCGTAAGTATCAGCACTCATAATCGTAACACCGTGGATATTCTTATAAAAAATATATTACAAATACCAAATGGAATGTACTGTTATTAAACAATAGTAATAATTTGTTGATAATGTTGGATGTTGGCAGTCGACAGCGCTGGCACCGCGGCGTGAGTCCAAAGTAGAGACGGAGAAACCGCGAGGTGTGGGGGGTGCTGGCGAGACGGACGATATTCTGCGCACGCGCACCTACGACCTGCACATAACCTACGACAAGTACTATCAAACGCCGCGCCTCTGGCTCATCGGCTACGATGAGGTTACCATACATTGTCGATACTTAGATTCGTATTTTGCATGAACGAATGAAATATTTCATATTGCACGTAAAAAATTACAATTACATATACCTCTTGCAATGGCTCTACTACATACCAACTGGCCAGCTTGGATTCAATAGACAAGCGTGTCAGGAGGCTTATAAGTGACTCGGAATTAGTAGACGCGAAGCTGCAGCGCCTTGAACACAGCCGTACCTGCTTATCGGTTACAGCATATATCACGGAGAACGATGGAATTACACGATTTAATTTCGCCTTCCCCTTTCCATCATCGGGGGACCAGACGTAGGTTTGGATTCCACCCCCATGTTGTGGATATTCCAACGATTTGCACAAAGCGTTATGCTTCCATATTCATATGGCGAACGGCTAAGGAGTGAAATTCCCTGCCTGCAGACGTGTTCCCTGAACGTTATAACTTGAGTCTTTTCAAGACGAGAGTGAATAAGCATTATTTAGGTGTGCATATTCCATCACCTGAGGTCAAATGCGCACTTAAATTTGTATAAAAAAAACCCAAGTATCTTAGAATAAGATAAAGTTATTTTAAAGTTAAATATATATAGTCTTTATATTTCTCGCATTTTTGTTGGTGTCCGACTACGTAGGCAACCACTTTTCTTTGTTTGTTCATGCAAGACCGATTAGTCTTAAGTTTAAAATGCTTAATCTAGGTATTGCTGCTGTCGAACATAAGTTTTGATATTTCTGTACCAGCTTTCATTTGCCGTTAAATACCCATTGTTTAATGGAGTCATCGAATATGTCTATTGATATGGTCGAAAAAATTTTGGCAGAATCACACTCTGTTAAGCGTGGAGCAGATGTACGAGGACGTGTCGCAGGACCACGCCAAGAAGACCGTCACCATGGAATCCCACCCGCACCTCTCCGGGCCAAGCATGGCCTCCGTTCACCCTTGCCGGTAATTACGCATCTTTTTCCTGGTCATGATTTTAGCAACTTATATGTGTACCAACAGAGCCCCAACTGTTAAGCCGATTTCGGCATATTATTATGTAATACCTAAAGATTTGTCTTAATCACATGACCATGGCTGTAATAAGAAGAAAAAAGACTCGAGGATATTATTTGGGGCATTATAATCATGGTAGCCTGCATGCAATCGTACTATTTACGTGCAGTTGTGATGAAAAAAAGATTGAACACAAGCAGCTATTTTACACGATTGAACCTTCAGCAAATTAAGTTACTTCCATTTTTATTAAGTAAAACTATTCAACAAATCATATGCATCCCATTGGACATCGGTCTCCACTATGGTTAGGATTTTAAGTCATACTTCACATAGTCCTCTTTTAATAATAATAATAATAATGCGTGTGGGCTACAGGCACGCGGAGGTGATGAAGAAGATAATCGAGACGGTGACGGAGAGTGGCGGCGAGATGGGAGTGCACTGCTACCTCATAGTGTTCCTGAAATTCGTGCAAACCGTCATCCCCACTATCGAGTACGATTTCACGCAAAACTTCTCTATTAACAAGTCTTAGAGTCAAAACGCGGCTTGTTTTATAATTTCACGGCTAGCCTATTCATTGAGCGTCACTGATGACCAATTACGGTAACATATAAACCTAACACGCGCTCCAAATCGACTGTCCTCTATGTTTTGCTGATAATAGGGATGCACGATTTTTTGCTTTGAATCGATTTTTTTGATCGTAATGAATCAATCGGTCCAGAGATCGGATCGTATGGTCTCGAATCGATCTTATAAAAATCGTTTCAAATTTTAATTAATAAACAAATTATGACAGCCTTTTTGACTTCAATCGGTTACGAAAGTCGTATTTCAAAGTGATACTAGCCAGTGAGAAAAGAGGTTCAGATGGCACAGAAGCAGCGACAATCGCCAAATATTGTAGACTTATTGTACTTGGGCTCTCGGAATTCTCGCGCATGCTCGAGATTGCTCGCGCGTTCCGCGGAAGATTTGGGTCGTATCTAGTTTATACGTTATACGATTGACCATAAAGTTCATTGTGCTATGTACAATATCGTTACAAAAATTCGCTTCCATTCCGCCGCAATATAAATTGAGCCTTAGATGTTGCCAGACTGCTTTTCTTGCAGTTCAATAAAAAATCTGGGCTCAGAAAGAGACTGTTTAAATTATCAATACGATCTAGACGATTCGATTTGCTTTAATGTTGAATTTACTTAAAAATCGCATTGTAATAAATCGGTACAAAAAATTGTTAGATGGTATACACTTGAATCGATCTTCAGAAAAATCGTAATGTGCATCCCTAGCTGATAATGCGTGAAGAGAAGCAATACCACCATGACGATCCTACCAGAGATTCAAAATAATCTGTGTAGACAACAACAACTTATAGGAGTGCGCGTGACGCCAGTCTGCAATCGCCACAATATTGTTTTTTAAGAAGTGTACAGTACAAAGCTAAAACGCTTTAGCTTGCATTTAATATCAAATTGCAATAAAGCATTTGTTTGTCATTAATCTAAACTTATGAACATTGATCAGAATATCGACTGTGAACTGGCAATCGGCACTATCTCAATTTTGACAACTTTAGTTTTAGTACCGATTGCCAGTTCACAGTCGATATGTAATAGTTTTTTGTTATGCGAGGCTGCAAAGTTGTTGTTTGACGCGAGTGATTGTATTGAAACCTGAGCAAACGAAGGAAGCTCTGAGCGTAGCGAGGGTTTCAAGACACGAGACGCGAAACAACTTTGTGCCGAGCGAATCACACAACTTTTCACCTCACTATAGCGAGGAAAATGGTAGATGAAAAAAAAAACAATTAAACTAAAAAAAATTAGTGTTTTAAATTAAAAGAAAAAGTTCATCTTCGGATGCGTTCTGAATTTACACCTCATCAATTTTTATTCTTGCTTGTACTTTTATTTTGTGATTATTGAAATTATTTTATTTCTTCAACGAATTAAAATAATTTAATAAACCCAATTAGTTATTATTGTCAATTTAATGTCAACAATAATAAGAATGAAATATACCAACGGATTTATATTACATAAATAAGTAATATACGACAAGTCGCTTATTTGAACATGTCATTATTATTTTTTTCATCAAAAAGAAAAGTTAGGACACCACAGTCCATGCATCGTCAAGTTCGAATTTCGAAAACCTTTTCCACGCTAGCGTGCAAAAAACTCTTGTGTGCGCAGATTTCTAAGGAGAAAGAAAGCCTTTCCGAGCTACGGTGAAAAATTTATTTACTTAAGTAAATTTACGAAGTTTAGACTTCGATAAACAGAGACAGAAAGTGGAGACTGCCTTACGACTGCATTTGTTTGTCTCGGATTTTTTTGGGATTCGAGAAATCACTTAGGTACAGTCAACAGTACATCAGACTACACATTTTTGGCGTGTATACATACAATCAACAGCACATCACACTACACATTGACGTATCTTGTTCCGTTGTACTGGAGGCGATTTTCGAATAAAAATGTGTAGGCTGATGTACTATTGTTCGTACATCAAAAATTGACGTTATTTGGGATAGGTAGGTAGAGCATATTTATCAAAATTTTGAATTATTTTTTGTTGGAATTTTCCTAAATATTCCGAAAAATTGGTAGTTGAGATAAATATAGTCTACCTACTGCTTATCCCAAATAACGTCAATTTTTAATTTACTTAAGTGATTTCCAGAATCCCGGAAAAATCCAGGACAAAAAATGTAGTTGCAAGGCAGTCTCCACTCTCTGTCTCTGTTCCTCGAAGTTTAGTTAAACTCTTATCTATTCCGATCACTGGATAAAAATGAAGGAGTAATGAAAGAATTGTCTACTTATAAGGTCGGGTTCACATTTCTATCATTTTGGCGTGTCATATAATCACTGCGTCACTGACCCATTACCGATAACGACGCGTCGCGCATGTCACGTGTCAATTCATCAGAGACACAGACTAGATATACTACAGACACTACAGAGATGCAGATACGCCAAAATGATGTCACTGCGAACCCGGCATCATTTCCTGTATGAACTTGGCATCACTTTCTGTAATGCTGTTAGAGCTTTAGTGAACAAGAGCTAAATCGGAGGCAATTCTCGCAGAAATCAATGGTTGGTTACTAAAAATTATTAAGTAATTAATAAGTAATTATCCCCAAGATTATAAGATTATTTATTGCTCTTGATCCTTTCCAATGCAATTTTTATAGGGAACATTCCTGTTTGGGTTTTGACCTTCGGTCATTGATCTGATACAATAAATTGTAGAAAAGAGATTTGAACTAGATCCTGTCCGCCGTTTAATTCTTAAAAACGCCGCACGTCTGTGACGGTAAATTTTAGTTCACTTATCGTGACTGCAAAAGTGCCGTGTGCGTCACAACAGTGGCGCTGCAACTGCGTTTCCAAATATTGTATGAAAATTATAAAATAAACCGATTTCAAAAGTTCGTGATATTACATCTATTTGCCAAGTTTTATTGAAATCGGTTACCGGAAAGTGCGCGAAACCCACAGACATGTATCTAGATACATGATTCTATCTAGATAGAAGTTGATTAAAAATTAAAGTTTAAATTTTTAAGTAATCAAACTTTTTTAAAAACAACTTGTAATAATGGACATAACTATCTTGTTTAGGTATTTTTCTACTATATTAATATTTCACGACTACTTGTAATCAAGGAATACTTGAATAGTTATGTCCATTATTACAAGTTGTTTAAAAAAAAAGTTTGATTACTTAAAAATTTAAACTTTAATTTTTAATCAACTTCAAATATTAAAATTATTGTAATGGAATACAATGTGGCACGCTCGGTTTTCATACAAATTGCTGTACTTGCGACGTCTATCTAGATATATGTCTGTGGCGAAATCGGATTTTACACCTAGTTTTCCACCCTTAGCGGTGGAATAGTTTCTTCAAATTTAAATGGGACCAAATGATTGAATGAATTGAGGCACCCCCTTTCTAACAAAAAAAGAATCTTCAAAATCATAACACGTATTTTGAAACTTCTTTGAAGTCGGTTAATTAGTAATGGCGCGGCTGCAGTGCCACAGTGGCGCCACTATTGGCTTTTACAAACGTTTAATTTGAAAGCGCCCTGAGGCCCATAATGGTAACTCCTTGTCCGGTATTAAGTGCATATTGGCTGAACTCAGATCTAGAGATGCATATCAAGGTCTCCTGAAATAGTAGGAATAATTATTGGCATCTTGGATGATGTCATTACAAGTGACCAAAATTTTATTGCAGCTCAAGTTGGATTTATTAATACGGGTCTAAATGTCATTTGACTAACTTTACTTTTAGTTACTTAAACAGGCCATAGTATAAGACATGTATGGTAACTTCATACAAATGTAGCAGCGTGACTTTGTGTGCGCGTCTGCCGCGTACCGTGTACCGATGAACACGCAGAACAATGCATACAGTAGAAGTGGTTAGTTAGCGTAGTACGCAGTCCAACTGTAGGCGTATTTCGCCTACTTGAGCTCAGTCCGCCATTGTCGCTTTCTGCGTTTTCTGCGGTTGTGTCAATTCTTTGGCGCAAATTCTCTAAAATCGTAGGAAAAATCAGTTATTGTGATTTTTTGGAGTGCAAAAGTGATAGCCGCACCAAAAATATTACCCGTGGTGGTATTTCATATCATCGGTAAGTTTTTATTTTAATGAATTTTAAGTTTTCTTATTATCGAATTGGTTTTTGGTATCGTAATAAACGAAAGTAAATTAATAAAATGCATTATAATCGAGTTTTATCTTTTGGAGAACTAAGTATAAACGTCTCGAATTTTCCACGCTAGTAGCTAATCAAAAGCTTAGCGAAAAAATGCTTCATGAGTGTTTTATTAATTTTAGACTAAGTTCATTATGCAATGTGTGCATTAAAGAAGACTTCTATTGTCGAGAAAATATCACTTTTTTATTCGTTCAGATGTTAGTCTTTCGTTGCAGTCCAGCTACTGGCCGCAAGATGGCAGCACGTTGAATAAAATTTCAGTATAAAATCACGACGCAACTTGCAATATAAGTATTGAACTTTCAACAATATGAAGACTGGGTAAAGTTTAAATTATATTAACAGTCCAGAATTTGTTACACCTTTTTAAATTAGAAACTACGACCAATTATTATCCAGTTTTCATAGTGTTTATCGATTTCGATACTTCCAACAAACACTACTACACCAAATTTATTTTTTGTTAGGTAATTTTCTGTTATTTTTGTAAACAGCCAAATTTATTTACTAATATTATGTTCTCAGAATTTTGTTAAAAAAATTAAGAAACAAAATAAAAACAGAACAGGTCCAAAATTAAGTTGGTGTAGTGTTCATAAGCTTAAGGAACTTTCATAGTTTTTTTTCTTTCGTGGACGAACAAGTTCGCATAATCTTAGTAGGTCGTCTCACGCGCCTTTCATTATTATGCGAATGTGTGCACACATACAAGCCGCGCTGCTACTGTGTATGGAGTTACCATACTTGCCTTATGCTACTGCGTACATGCGCAGTGATTCCGTTGCTAGAAGACGCTATTTACCTTTACTTGTTAAGTACTCTGTAATTGTAACACATGTGCGTAAAACGAACACGATCGTTATGACGTCACACTTGGGCCAAAAAGCGCAGACGCATCTGATATTTTATTCATAGCGTATTTTATATATTTAAGTGCTATTTTTATGTTCTCACTACTTTTACGTTTTAGATCTTAACTCGCGAACAATAAAATCGGGCACCTAAGAAATTACAGTGGACTGCAAAGGTGAAAATTACTTTAATTAAGATAATTTTTCTGTTCTTTTTTATTAATCGATAATGATGTGATCGTGGGTGGTGGTTTCTTAGCATAAAAATTTTATTTCGTCGATTAATTAAATTTAGTAAAAAGAAAATGAAACGCCTGTAGTGAAGAGCTTATAAGCTTCTTACATTAAATTAATGATTCCACTCTTACTCCATTATTACTCAAGTAATTTGAAATTTTGCAGTTCACTAAATGCTCAATTTTATTACCGTTGAGTGTATAGTACTATTTTCTAAAGCCCAAGCTTCAGAGTCGTTAGAGTATGACCGAAACAGGCGAAAATAATTATAAGTAACTACAAGTATTTTTAATTAATAAGTACCATTACCATATTCTGATACCGTCTTGTATGTATATTTCATTCAAATATTGAATGACACTTGAATATTAAGACAACCGCATATCTTACTACATCAGTTTTGTTTATAGTGACCCTCCCTATCAACGTCTTGGTTATACGGGAAGAGCATTCTATAAGGGTGCATACAGATCTAGCGTATGCGCCGCGAACAAACTGCGTGTGCGCTGCGGTACACGCGTGCTGTTAAATACCTGTTAATGTATATGACCCGCAAATAGATCGCACAACTTAAGGCACGTGTACAGCTTGCGGTCCTTTCGCGAACTGTACGCACCCTGACCTGTCCAAGCAAGCCCGAGATCTTCTCAGTCAGGTTCTGTCCCTAGATCAGCCCGTTTGCACAAACTTCATTCGGTTCTGAAAAGGTTAGTGCCTTGGGTGAGCTGCCCCGGGTGCACGTACAGCTCCCTCCCTATTTTCCAGATAAGTACCGGTACTTACCGGTACTACAGCTCCGGAGCTGCTAAAAGACCACTTAATAAAAGTTCTTATGATACATTCCAACGAAATAGGGTCACAATAGACTTCTGTAAAACTTGAATAACTCTGAAGCATTGAGTCCAAAAAATGGTACTGTAACGGTGAGGCCAGATGAGCATGTTTTAATGAGTTGTGAGGCGCGTAATTAGGAATGAACTTCGGTCACACTGTGACGTCTTTGTGCGGGTAGAGGGAGGTTGGCGACAAGAAAGCGAGGAAAACATTTGTTGGCATGTGGCATACTAATTTTCAAATTTGGATGTAAACATAAACTTCCATATATTAATTAGTATCATAGTATATGGAACTGCCCACATTTTATCTTTCATACTGGGTACATACCCAGGTTAGCGCGACTCACAACTCCCATGATTACGCTCGTCTGGCCTCACCTTAAATGAAGTTTTACACTGTACAAATGTAGTATGTACACTAGATTTGCCGATCGGCTGTAGCTTTTTATATCTTGCATATTATTTTTGTCATATAAAATTATTATTTTGCTAAGAATGTATTTGTTATAAACTAAATAAAAACACAAATAAATAATATATTGTTTAATTAATTATTCAATTATATCACATCCTTTATGTACAAATAATCTGGTTTCATAGGAAAATAAAGATTATAATATGAAGCCCGTACCACTATATAAAAACTATAATACATAAAATGATAGAACTGCCTAGCAACAACTACGCCTCGAAAACGCTTCAACGTGTTGCGAAATGTAATTGAATTACAAAATATTCGTTTATTCCCAGTAGTTCCAAATGAAACTATATTTTCGGATCAAAATTCAGTATATTTGTTTTTTCAAACAAACCAACGCTTCAAGCTTTTTACATGTCACAAGGTCACGGTTGACTGAGATTGTAAAGTCATGAACCAGTTCTAATATTATATACAAACCATCCTTTTTTGCACAATAATTTTAAGTGCCTCTGTTACCATATTGTACTGCCACACATAGGTCCCGGGTAATATGTGTATGGCCTACATTTATTTCTCTCGAAAGTTTGGATGTAATTTTGTGGTTAGACAACCACAAATTTGATGTGTGTGACCATGGTACCCGCGGTACAGGGTTTCCCTAGTGCGGGGCTTGACTATGACCTATTTATTTATTTAAAATACAAAAGTAATTAATTGAACCATTTTATTTATAATTTAGCTCTGTATATTTCCTTCGTTAATCTACATTAATCCAAACCAAAGAGCATTTTTTCATAATAACGGGACAAATAAGTCGTGCGCCTGGTATGCTTCACCTTTTAGCAACATAAATTTAGGCTACATTAAATGTATTAATTAATATGAAATTAGATATAAAATAAAACATATTATAATAAGTTGTACTACAGGGAGTACAGCTGCTTGAGATTTTGCATCTTTTTCTTTGGAATATTTGTTTGACAAAACAAACGACATTTGCGAATCAGATCCGAAAAACCAGTTTCACTTCCAATATATGAAAGCCTAAGGCTGCAAAATGACGGAACGGTGGTGCATTCAGCGGGGCGTTCGTTTGCATGTACATAGCGCACAAATCGACACCTCCTACGTAAAGTATTGTATGTCGAAATTGCCAAGTTTAAAGGGGCGCGTTTTAAAGTTAGAAATTCCCTCATCTAATAGATCATCTAACCGATATCTAGGATTTTGTAATACTCTGTGTAACGAGCTTTGCCGAATAAAACTGAGAAATGCTATAGTCACATGTTATGCTCATTACGGTGAATTCAGAACTTTAAAACGCTCCCCTGTAAACTTGGCAATTTCGACATACGATACTTTACGTAGGAGGGGTCGAAATGTGTATCTTGTGTTGGATACATCAACTCGAAAATTACTAAGCACTTAAAATGTTATTTGTATTTGCAATTACACTGTCCTCTATCGGAAGAACCCGCGTCATAAACAAACCAGTAATACCGAATATAAAGTTGTTTATCGGCGTCTTCAAATCAGACGCTTATAAAAGCGCCACAGCGGCGCCCTATTACACGGGTGTAGTTTGCTTGTCATTCTATCCCACACTATCCTTTAATATCCCATGCCAAACAAACAAAAAAGTCTACAAGATCGATGACGTTTGTTGCTTTCTTATGAGGCCCCAAGAACTGAAATATACATGTGGGTACGGAACACAAGATTGATGCGTGAATAGGAACGGAACGTGAGAAGAAAGAGAAAAAGGCGATGAGACGTGTGCAAAAGATAATTTGAGACTCTTTTTATATTCAGTAAAAATCGAAAATCGTAATTGGTTCACAAATATTTGATAATAAGAGATTTGAGAACTGGGAACCTCCTATTTTTTCTTTGAAGTCGATTAAAAATATGTTAATAATTAATAGTCTTCTGTACACGTCGTACTCTCATCGCCGTATTCTATCTTCTTTCTCTCCCTTACCTTGCTATCCTTTCGCCCTTACACGCATCACATTTACATTCTGTACCCACAAAATACGTAGTAAATAATAGATTTTTAATTACACATTTTCACGCGGCCGCCAGCGAGTTTAACATTAGGAACTCATTATAGAGGGTCCTATACCACTACCATAAGTTTACAGTGACAGTTGTCGTAGCAACCCATAGCGATCTAGCAACCTGTGATTGCTAGAGAAGCAGTACGATTTTCTATACAAAATGTACATTTCTATTACGAGGTCATTAACTACAAATGCCTCTCTAAACTCGTGGTAAGGGCACTGGTCTGTAACGTCACTTAAGCAATTTAATAAAATTGACTAAACATCCAAAAACCAATTTACAAAATGGTATTATTACATACAATAAATTACAATTTTCTACTAAATTTCATTCATATGGAAATGTTTTAAATCCAATTGGACGATTCATAAGATTTTTTTATACATACATACATTTTTTTATGTAGAAATATAATAAATAAGTATTATGTACTTAGTTTTTAATAAAATTTATACATATTTGGTATCTGTAAGGAGATCTTATTTGTCACTTTATAGCACTCTGTTTTTTTTAATCTCCGACAATCTTGATAAGTAGACTTCATATGTATACTACCGTATAGACGAATCAGTGTGTTTATATTATATTATTTCCCAAAAGGAAGTAAAATGACGTTGAAGGGTTGCCACTTTTCGTAAAACTCTAAATAGTCATGTTCTTATTGTCGACAGTTCTATCGATAAATTGTGACAGCTAATACAATACGACAAAATCATTGCTTTATCGCTTTCTTTCTTCTTATTTTGACATTTGGCTCCTCTGATATTGATTCATGAAGTAGAGGTAAGATATTATTCTTTCAAGATGGCGTCTACTTTCATTAAACAATTTTCTTACATTTTACGAACCTTGATTTATATTTAAACGAAAGAAGTTTGGCCATTTTTGCATGAGTGTAACCAATATTCAGTCGATAATCGATATTATATTTATCGGCTGCAATCAACTTATTGTAAGCTGGCGTTTTACTCCGTCTCGGAAAAAATATAATATAGTTACACTGACCTTACAACGAAATTGGTAACCTAGGATCGTTTCCAGTTTAGACGGCTGTCGGTTCACATTTTATGTCAGTATAATTCGTCTCGATATTGCTCTAATAGTTACAATATTGTATTGCGTTAAATCCGGGATTCTTTTCACTTATTCTTATAAAAATACTACATACGGGTAGATGTCATTGTGAATAGGAACGATTGTTTTAATATCAGTATGTAAATTACCTCATACATTAATTAGTTTTAATGTATTCGATATTATTTTATCTGCACTAAGATAAAATGTTAGTTCTAATGTCGTTAAGAGAGAAAGGACGAGTATTTCAAAATCTTGCGGCATCTATATTTGACACTTAGCATAATTATGATAACGCTTTTTTATCACCAAATGCTCCTTGCCGAAGCCGTTCTGGCAACTCAATAGAGCTACGTACATCCTTTTTTGTTCTCTTTCCTGTACTCTCGGTGTCGAGAGTCGCCCGTTTGATATGATATTGAAACTAGCTCTAATTGGCTTGCTAATGCGGTCACTTGTTGGTGTTACTGGAGGCGGGCGGCGCCTGCGCAGTCACGAGCTTGGCCAGCGCTAGTGCCAGCAGCTTGTCAAGCGGATCCAGCGCACCACGCTGCACCCACTTGGGGATGGTGGTGCGCGCATGGCTGAAGCCCAGCTTCTGCAGGATATAGTCCACACCGTAAGGCTCGATGGATTTACCTGCCCACGATAACAGCCGTACAGTAGGCTCCAGGTGCCACGTGAGACAGCGGTAGTCGCGGTAGTCCTGCGCGTGCGCTGCCCCCGTCGCTGCGCCGGGAGCCGCTGCGCCGCTCTCCGTCCAAGCGTTGCGTGCGCCCATCGGCATCTGGCGGTTGACCACAGTTAGTGTTTTCGTTTGTTTATTCACATTACAATCCCCATGCGCTAACTGCTTACAGTAGGTAAATAAATTTCAAATGAGAAATATGTACAGTCAAGAGCACGTCAAGTTTGACATTTTGTACTTTGGACCGTCTTTATCGCAAGCGGCATAGAATTGGATTTAAATTTTAAGTGTCAAGCTTGACGTGCTCTTGACCCTGTACTTACAACGCGGTCCTTCTCCTTGATGTAAGACGATATGAGATCGTGCAGGAAGAGGAAGGCCTCAGCGTCCACCGACACGAAAATGTGATCTTCAAACTCCGTGATAAAGCTGCACTCAACCACCGGCTTGGCGTCTGCAATACAATACAAATACGCTTTACTGGATAGAAGAACAAATATATAACAACAAAATTACAATCGGCATTATTACTAAACAGCAATCTTTAAAGACAATGATTATACAGGTATGGTATGATGCCAGGGCTATGTGACACGGAAGGAAAGTACTTTAATATTGTGTTTCATGGAGACATGATTTTTAAAAGTAAGTAATACTGCACTCAAATATCAATTATAAAGATTGATCCCTGTTAAATAGACTGCATCCGACTGTAAATACCTTGCAGCGTCGGCGGGTTGTGTGCCTGGCGGTGGTGCGTGCGCAGGTGCATTTGCAGGCTGGGCAGCGCGAAGATCACCTCGCGCGTATGTTTATCACCCGCTTTGCGTTCCGTCGAGCCTGTGCTACCGGTGCTACTGCTGCCACTGCCAGTGCTGTAGTTTTTCCAACAATGTTTTATCAAGTGGACTCCAACAGGGTGGCGCCAGTCATCATATTAAATGTATAGTCTTTAATACTGCATTATTATAAATTTATGTCTACGTGTCGTTGTCCTACCAGCAAATGGATTTCGGGTCCGTGCTTAAAAGTGTCCAAACCAAAAGAGAAACAAATTGCAAAAAGAGGAACAATCGCGCGTCACTCTTCGTTTGGTCCTTACGTTTATAAGGGTTAACCCTGAACATATTTTCCGTGGTTTTTGTATTAGACTTGTCAATTTGTTGTTGGTAGATCTATGCTAGATTTTTTTATATAATACCAAGTGTCGGGACGAACTAGCTTACGCCTGGTGGTAAGCGACACGCCTGTCCATAGTGGTTGCAGTGCCACTCAGAGCTTTAATCGCAAACATATTTGGGGCACTGCCACTGCGCCCGTCACCCTGAGACATAAGTTGACAAGTCCCATGTGCCTGTAATTTCACTCTTACCCTTCTAAACCGGAACGCAGTAATGCTCGCATTACATTATATGAGTCATGTGGTCTGAAATAAATTACTAAATAAAATAAAAAATACTGCTTGTCGGTAGAAATAGGTGAGGTGGCAGTACTTCCTTCAACGAACTCTTTCACTACTGCTACTAAAGGTGTAGACAACATCCCTTCTAGTACGCCTAATATAGTTTCCCCATATACTGACCTGTTGCGTTCGCGATCGCGCTCGGCACTGTTGGTGTTGCCCGCGCCCGCCTCCCGCTCCAGTGACGGGAATAACTCGATCGCTGCAAAAGCCATTATTTACAATGTTATACACTTGTTTCCTATAAAATTATGCGAAAGAAGGAAGCTTTTCCATCATCAGAGGACTAAACGGAGACTGGAGTTCCATCCCTAATTATTGTGGATATTGCAAGGATTCGCATGAAGCGCTTCGCTTCTTCATTTATATGGGGAACGGCTAAGGAGTGGAATGCCCTGCCTGCAGACTTATTCCCTGTATGTTATAACTTAGGCCTTTTCAAGACGAGAGTGAATAGGCATTATTTAGATGTGCATGCTACATTGTCGACCTTATCGTCACTTTCCGTCAATTGAGTCGAAGGTCAAATGTGCGCTTATTTTTTTAATTAAAAAAGTCTCTTCTTTAAGTTACTAACAAAAAAGTCCATTCGAAGTTCTTCGTCACTTGCCAAGAGAACAACATTCTCTTCGTTCCAGCTGGACAAGCAACACGTACCGTCAATTTCGGAGCTGGCGAAGGCGTAATGGAACCACTCGCGCAGCGTCTTGAACTGTGGGGGGAAAAGCAGCGCGCGCGTCATACGGCACACTGTGGCCATGGACTGGTGCCCCCCTCCACCGCCGGTGCCTGCGCCTGCCGCGCCCAGCGACACGGTCAGGCTCTGCACTACTACCACCTCCGGCGAACCTGTACCAATCATTTCATTCTCGGGTGTTGTGGAAAAATTCGTCAACTTTTGCGCCGACTTTACCAATAAATATTAAAGTATTTAATCCGAATGTGGACTTTGAAGTGAAGCTTAAAGTCAAAATTTATTAAAATAACAATCTTTATTGCCTCTTTTCACGGTCATTGCATAAGTAAACTTACATAGCTGCCTTTTGAATTTTTACCAAAAATGAAAACATTGGTAAGAGACTGGAGTCCATACTAGATGTTAACCCGCGTGACAGATGTCCAGGCTCCCACCTCCAGATATTATTTTTAGCTTAAAAGTAGGAGTAGTGCGTACCGTCATCGGCCTTAGAGTGTTGCGCCTCGGTAGCGAAGCTGCAGCAGGGGTCCTTGAGGCTGAAGAGCGCCCAGGATTTGGCTTTAAAACTGTTCCCGTGGAAGCATGCCAGAGATACATTCGCACCCAGGAGCTCAATCGTGCCGCCCACTACAACGCCTGTGTGGAATTAATTACATACGTAAACAAAATAATAACAACAATTATTCCTTCATTTTATTTTGCGACACACAAGTCCGTCACCCAACACGTTCAGAGCTCATAGAAAACCAGGGCTACAGTTAATTATGGCTGTGGCATAGGCCGAATGAAGTCCTTTTGCGTACGCAACCGCACAAATGACAGTACAATTTGTAGTTGTTATATTTTGTTTTTTGCTTTTTGTCTCTTACGAACCGCGCGCGCGCACGCAAGCACACATGCACGCACGCACGCACGCTTGCAAGCACGCGCGCACGCACGCTTGCAAGTACGCACGCACGCACGCTTGCAAGCACGCACGCACGCACTCACTCACGCACGCAAGCACGCACTCCCACACACACACACATAGACAACCACAAATTATGCAAGCAAAAACGTAGGCCATACAAATATTTCTCCCACACCGGGAATCGACTCCGGGACCTCTGCGTGGCAGACCGTTCTGGTAACTGTTCGGCCATAGAGACAGTGTGAAAATGAAAGTTATACATGGCTAGATCGTAATTATATTGAACTGCACGCATTCACCATACCTTGCGCAGGCGCCGGGCGTACCAGCTGCAGAACCCGTTGCCAATGTCGGTGGTGGCGCAACGTCGCGCCACCTGCTGCCTGACCTTCGCTGCCGCCCGCTGCTGTGAGAGCAACATCTCGGTTTTATCGACATTGATAAATTTTACTACATTTTCATCACACTTGCTCCAAAACAGTATCATGACGTGCAGGCAAAGTCGATAAGTAAGATCTTAAATTACATTATCGCCCTATGGATTTTTTACGTCAAGATTTAAGCAAAATGTTTTTATGTTCATAAAATCTGAGCGTATATTTCGCATAAACTTGAAACATAAAAATCTAAACATTTGCAATGTAACTATATTTTACTAAATTTATTTAATGAATTCAAGTCTGTGCATTTTGTAACATTTTAGTTCGAGTTGTATTATCGATGGAAGAATAATCCTGGCAATCCGTTTAAAAAAAAAACAATAAACCCGCAAAATCCACAAATGTCCTGTTGTGAAGCAATATTTATTCACACAAGAAATAAAATTCGTTGTATCTATTTCCTCGCCAATGTATGTGTCACGGGCGGAAAAAATTACAAATCTCGAGTCATTAAAATCTCTTCTAACAATCTCCTGTTGGTAATTTCTTATTTACCGCCTTTTAATACAAAATTTATTATTATATACGACCAATGTTGATTATATACTTACGTTCCTTGGCGTTCTTGGCGTCCTTCGCTGGTTGTGAAGGCGCCGGGGGCGCACACCGGCCGCGATAGTCGGGGTCAAGGGAGTTGAAGACACGTTTGGATGACTTAAACTGCTGGGTGAAGAATTCCTCCAGCTTGAGCTGCATCTTGAACAGGTCGGGCGTAGTAGATCGTGACATGAGCACTTGCAGCTGCTGCCACGCCAGCGTGCCGTGCGCCAGGATGATCGCCGGCCTAGGAACCAGTGTACAATGTGAAAAAAGGAACAGAAGAAGTGTATTTAAGTTTTTTTTATAATATTTTATAATATAAGCGACGACGGCATGAACAAGTCGTGCGCCTGGTGGTAAGTGACACGCCTATCCATAACAGTTGCAGTGCCACTTAGAGCTTTTAATAGCAAAGATCTCAGGGGCACTGCCGCTGCGTCCGTCACCCTGAGACATAAACTGACAAGTCCCATTTCACCAGCATCATATTACTCATATTACTGCTTGATGGCTGAAATAGGTAAGGTGACAGTACTTCTCAGGACGAATTCTTTCACAAGGAGCTGCTACTTACTTAAGTGTTGGTACACCCAACGAATAATGGATACAAAGCACTTGATGATTTGTGGGTAGTGGCCAGTGTCTGCTTGTTCATTAATACAAGAAACTAAACTGCAATGTATATTTCAGCTTGTTACGTGTATGTATTGTGTATAATTCAAGTTCCACGTTTAGGCTTCGTGTCCAGTTGTTCCCAAAATGCTTAACTGTCCCGCTTTCACAAAACATTACTCACGTAACAATAAATTTTAAAAAAATGGCGCGCAAGCGAAAAATATATAAAGCCAGCCAATCAGACATCGAGCACCGAACTACACAAGATTAGTTATTCATATAAGTTATTGATTCATTAAACAATTTTAGTTCTTTTTATTATTATTTTTTTATCATTAAACATTTCGTAATTGTCATAAACGTATTTTATTTTGAAAACAATAACAAATTTACAGGGGTCCCGCCCTGAGGGAATAAAATAATGGTTAGTTGTGAACCACATAATAATAATAAAAAAATGTAGCCCACTTGGTGTGGTGGTGGTCCCTCGGCGGGCGGCGCCAGTCGTCTCGCGCGGCGGATCGCAGGCAGCTGATACGCGCCAGCAACACTGGCGTGCCCATGTACTCCATGCGTAGCTCCAATGCCGCTACACGTACACCGCACACGTGGAAGGGGCTGGCCACGCCCGCGGCGCCGGCGCCGCTAGCTTCCTCCTCAATGTGCACTGCCCAGACAAAACCATTACGCAACTGTCGCACCCAAAATTGTGTACCAGGCAGATGAATGCGGGATCACCGTATGTGTGTATGTGGGAGAGTGAGATGGCGCCGCCGACGATGCCACCGCGTGCGTCTAACGATGACCCGGCCAGCGCCACGCCCACTAACATGTTGCGGTGGCCGGTGCTGCCGATGCTCAGCCGTCCCGAGCAGTTGAAGTCGCGGCTCTGCCAGCTGCACGCAACCATTGATCACGTCACTCAATGCCCAAAGGCGAACGCTTAACAAACTTGTAATATGTTATAGTCTGTCTTTTTTTAAGACGGAGTAAAATGACTTTTGCAGTTGCCAGTTTTCATAAAATTTGAAATAGTCGTGGAGTTGTTGTGGACAGTTTTATCGATAGTTTGTGAAAGAAGCTAAAATGTTGCCAAAAATGTCTGAATTGTGAATGTTACGATGTTCTAATGATTGCTAATTGCTTTCTTTACTCTTATTTTAACAGTTGGCCTACTAGTATCGAAATAAATTTTTATTCATATACAGTTCAATAAAGACAGGCGGATTTCATTATCTATATTGAATTAAAATTAAAAATTGAAAATATATCTCCTCTTTATACTATTAACAGACGTAGTTCTAAATGTAGAGTATGAATTTATTGACAATTTAAATGAACCTGTGCCCGGTAGTTGGACGAACAATGGACCAATGATGATTCAAATCAATGATGAAATAAGTTTGGCTATTTATTGTATAAGCGTAACCAACATTCAGTCGATAGAATATTTATCGACAGCAATCACTAGCGGTCAACACTTTTGCGCAATAAACTGTCATAATACTCATCTTCAAAAAAAGACCAACTATAAGTAGTAAATGACGTATGACTACCTGACGTTGCCCATAACGTTGCCCATGTTCATGTGGACATTGAGCCGTGTAAAGTTGACGGCAAACAGCACTAGCGTCTCCCACGCAGCGCCGCCTGCTTGCGCTGCGGTCGACCCGCTGTCTGCTGCAACACGCAACATTGGTTAATTCGGACATAATTATACAAATCCATACAGAAAGACACTTATAGCATAGTAGAATAAAACAAGTAAAGTAACTCCGTACAAAATAACAGAGCGCTTGTATGTGGGGGCAACGGCCGCGCGCCGTTCACACACATTCACCTAATTATGAAAGACGCAAATCAAATAAAAATAATCTTTATTTCATAGATAAGCATTTCATACACTTGAAATCATCACATTGGTTAAACTCTACCGCTCATTCCCGAAGAATGAGCAAGAAACTCTATGGATTGCTTTTTATAAATATACATTTGAACACATTTATCATTTACAATAATTGCTTTTTCTTCAAATATCATACATCGCGACTACCTCCAAGAGTTAAACGAGTTACTACCACAGATTTTCGTCATCCAAGTACGCAGAAGTCATATAATAAATAACCTTTAATAATAGTTTTTGCTTAACTATAGTTTTAAACCTCGTGAATGATGCGTTGGGACGACCAGTGTTATGTAACGCTAATGTATAGCTAAATTATGCAAAAGTGTGCACATTTGCGACGTTCACATGGAGTTACCATACTTGTTCTTATTCTGCTATGCTTACACTTTCACATTTTAGTTTACCTTTAGTCTTTTGGAAATCAGTCTTTGTTTTCTCTCTTTGAGGAAGCATCGGTGACACAGGCACATTAGCACTCGACGAACTGCAACGAACATGGTTTTTATTTAGGTTTCGTTTATTCCCATGACACGTATTTAGAAACAGCTGTAAAAGATATTACCTGGCGGAGTGCTGCGGCTGTTGTGCGCTAACGCCTGCGCTAAGGTCGCCGAGGAACATGCGGCGCACTATAGTGCGGCGATACCACGCCTTAGGGAATGCTAGAATTTCGCCCAGCCGTCGCATGTCGTACTTGAACCAGGCACTGCCCACATCCACAATGGCTGCAATACAAGACGTTGACTTAACCTCCAAAGTGTTTAGCGGATTCTAGACAACCCCCATCGACTGCGTCAAAAAATTCAAAAAATTACGGTGTTACTAGTTTCGAAAGTTATTTGGCTTTTAAAAACAATTGTTACATTACTGTGTTCCAAACAATTAGACCCTATGCACACGGCGTATTTCAGACGCGCGTATACGGCGCCGTAATCGCGCGTCATCTGCACGTATACGCGCCACAGCGCTGTAGTGAGTCGATTCAAACGCGCGCAAACATCGCGTTGCAAGCAAGAAGCTTATACAGGGTGACATTTGAGATGGGGAAGCAAGGCCAGCTACCTTAATCGTCGTAGTTATAGGAAAAATTGCTGTCCAGTCTCAAATTTACACCTTGTATAATCCACTGGAGTTTACAATTATTACAATTTCATGTAGTTGCTTCATTTCAAAAACTAACTGAAATTAAGAAACAAAACTAAAATTAAAACTATCTCTTGTCAAAATGCGCGATACTTACGCGCGACTACAGCGCGTCTACGGCGCATATCCGCGCAGATGACGCGTAAGCGCGCGTTGTCAGGGGTTACCCGCCCACTGTACTTTTTCGCACTTTCGAGGTGAATTTATGACAATAGATCCAAAAATTGGGACATGTCTGTGCAACCACTCACTGGAGAAGCGTACGGTGGCCTTGGAGTGGTCCTTGTCGATCTGGAAGTCTAGCTTGCGGCTGCGCGACAGGTGGAACTTGACAAACTCCACGTTAATACTGAGTGAGTCCTTGCGCTCCGAATCGGAAAGAGGTGACCATTGCACTTGTGCTTCTTTAAGGCTGGATTTCTTGCCGCCGTACGGATGAAACATGTTGACGGAGAAGTCAGCCAGGCAGCCGGTAACACTGAGGCCGCCCATAGCAACGCCCGGAGCCGTCATCTCCTCGTCTGTAGCGCGCTTCGAGCTGAACACTATCTGCAGGCTGGGTAGCTGAAGCAGGCATTCAACGCGAGATGCGGGCAGGCAGCTAAAGCGGAACGTCGAAGGTTGCATGTGGAAGTGCACGATCACGTCAACCGGGAACGACGCGTAAACGTATTGCCCGTATGACGCTTCGCCCTCCGCCCCACCGCCGTCGCTGCCGCCCTCCGTTGAACCGCCCTCTGCAATGACCAACCGAGCAACTCAGAAGTCTAAACGCAGTTGTGACTATATACCTTCCTTGCTTTTGTGACTTTGTTTTTAATAGTGCTTCTTATCCGTCTAGTAAATCTTCTTTGACTGTTTTTGTTCTTTGTTGGGACTGAAGTTGGCTGCTTTTTTGTTGTATTTTTAAACATTGGTACTGTACTAGATAATGTACCTAATTTACTAATGTACCAGCATTGACTTACAAATAAATGCACGACGGGTCTAATACAAAAACCACGAAAAAAATGTCCCAAGTCAACCTATTCGAAATTTAAATTGTTATGTCATCGCAGTATCGCGCTGTCCGTAGAACAAATGAAGACTAAAGCGGAGTGTCGCGCTCTGTATACGATTTTAGCGCCTTACAAGTGCGGACACTTTTTAGCGCGGACCCGACGTCCATATAATTGTAAGTCAATGTGTACCAGGATCAAATGTAAACAACCTTCTTTTTGTGTTCTACGAATCATATTTTATATTTTTATTTTATTAGACTTAGTTATTGTTATTTTATTTGACGGTTACCACCCATAGTACAGGCGATCTTAGTTTAGGAGCAATCTATGTACCAATTGGAATAAAGATATTATTATTATGTTCTTCTTTATTTATCTCCGCCTGTAGGCTAGTTTGGACCAAACTTACGGACCGAAATTAAGTAAATGCTAGATGGTGTGTATCTATATGGAGGGTGTGTAATAAGAGTACCTACTTCGTACTCTTCCATCAGCATGAACTTTCAGACAATGCGACATTAATTTAAAATTACAGCTTTATTATTATTTGGTGAAATTACAGGCACATGGGACTTATCAACTTATCGACTCTTCCGTAGAACAAAGATCTATGTGCAAGACTACTTGTTCTCAGGACATAGTACATTTCGTTCGTTATTCTTCGCTGTGGATGTCAGATTGACCGTTGTTCGATTTTATATTTCCGAAACGAAATAAGATGTATAAATTCTCAAAACACCGTTACATAGGTCTTAGTTTGAATAACGAAATTATTATCGTAACGTACTTATTCTCTTTTCGCTATATAATCACTTCGGACTCCGTTCTTCGGATGAGTCGTTATGTATCAGAGTGGCGGGCGCAGTGGCAGTGCCCCTTAAACTTTTGCAATTTAAAGCTCTGAGGACACTGCAACTGTTATGGGCAGGCGTGTAGCTTACCATCTTGTTCGTTCCGTCACTTGACATTTAAAAAAAATATTATTAACCGTGAGTACTTACGGGCGGTGAGGACCGGCGGGCCCAGCGACAGCGCCTTGGCGGGGATTGGTTCGAGCGCTCGTTCCAGGAACTCGAGGATGTGCGGGCTGATGATGGTCTCCTCGGGGATGCTGCGCAGCGTGATCCAGGCAAAGAGCGCGGCCTTCTTGCCGGCGCGGGCGCGCGCGGCGGCGGGTGACGCGCCCTCGTCGGGAAGCGTACGCGACTCGTAGTGCACCTTCAACAGCAGCCCGGGCACGCGGAACACCGTCGAGTCCACCACGGGCAGCAGCCGCGCCCCGGGCTTGCGTCGCGCGGAGGGGGACCCGCCAGTCTCGCCCAGCCCGCCCGACGCCGATCGACCCACGCGCATGCGCGACCCGCTGCTGTTCACAAAACAAATTAAGTACACGTTTAGAAGCAGTAGAGCTCCTTGTGAAAGAGTTCGTCCAGGAAAGTACTGTCACCTTACCTATATCTGCTGCCAAGCAGTAATGCGAGCATTACTGTGTTCCGGTTTTGAAGGGTAAGGGTGCTGGTGGAATTACGAGCACATGAGACTTGTCAACTTATGTCTGAGAGTGACAGTGCCCTACAAATTATGGACAGGCATGTAGCTTACCATAAGACGCACGACTTGTCGGTCCTGTTACTTGACTATTATTTAAAAAACTCATTGATACCTCCAATCAACACTACACCACTTTACTTTTTAGTCAGTTCCTGTTATTTTTGTAAACAGCCATATTTATTTCCTAATATTATGCTCCCCGAATGTTGTGAAAAAAAAAGAAACAAAAAACAAAATTAAAAAACAGAACAGATCCAAAAATTAAGTTGGCGTAGTGTTCATTGGAAGTATCGACATAGCAGACGCGAATAGTGTTGGGTCATGGAAAAATTTCTATTTGGAAAAAAAAATCTGGATTTTTTCTAGATATTTTTCTTTTAATTTTCTACATAGGTAAAAATTTAAGTTACTGAACGAAAACGATGGAGTCATTAGAAAGGATTTTGCTGTTGTGAAATCTTTTTAAATCTCTCTTAGGTGGCTTTAAGCTATAGAAGTTTTATTAATAATACACGTTAAATAAAGTTTAAAAAGATATTTCTAAACGTAGAAGTTATGTTATTATGAGCCTTCGATATTATATTTTTCCAATTTTTCGGAAAAAAATCCGGAAAAACGTCCACTATTTGAAGACAGTCGGAAAATTACCCCCAACAGTAGACGCGGCCCATCGCACGAGCATGCATGAACGCACACCTCGGAATATATGTACACTTACATTTTAGCGTCGTCGTCCCGTGATGTCTCCCTTGTATGCAGCACGCACTTGCCGCTGTTGATGTGCACCTTCACGTCAAGTTCGAAGTCCACGTTCGGCTCGGCCGTCTTCGTCTTGCTCGTCTTGCCCTCGCCGCCAGTGTCGCCTGTTGACGCGCTGCTAAGGAACGTTCGTTTTGTCAATCTCGAACACTGGATTAGGATAGCTGAAGGCGGTCGGTTTGAGCTTACCTATGGTCGTGTTTGCGGCGCAGTTCGACCGCCTCCAGCTGGTCGGCCCAGAGGTCGGCGCGCGCGGGCAACGAGCTCTGGCGCTGCACGGCGGGCGCCCCGCGCGTGCGCAGCGACGCGGACCGCGACGGGCCTGCGCAGACGCACTCGGTCACCGATTCGACCTTTTGGTATACAAGTGCCACATGGGACAAAGTTTACTCACCAGTAAGCGGCTCGCTATCCATGGAACTCCAGCTGATATCGCCCTCGATAATATCGGCTAGGCGCGCGTCCTCCTCGGCCAGCAAAAGCGTTTCGCCAGAGTCTCCCATGCCTAGCGGCGGATCGGTATCGTCGCGCGGCGCGTGTGGCGTCAACGGCGGCGGATCGGTGCCTCCCATGAACGAGTGCGACCGGTTCGAACCCAGTCCTAACTTGCCCTTGGTGATCGAAGATGCCTTCACGCTCTGCCGACGCAGCTTCTGGATCATGTCCCTGCGGAAGTCTTTGAAGACAAGCGCCTCGAGGTCATGCAGGCGGCGCATCTCATATTCGATGGTAGCGTGTGAGGCGCCGAGGGCTCTCAGGTCGTTGATGATCTTGGCCTGCTCGTGCATCTCCTGCTCGATGAGCCGCGACCGCTTCTTCGCATCCAAGCTAGTGTCGAACACGAACGCCGGCAGGTGGTCTGTGCACTTACGCCGCAGCACTATACTCTCCTGGATACAAGCGATTCATATGTATTTAACAAATTGATAAGTTGTATTCTTCAGTCTTCGTGTAATAAAATCAACGATCATACCTGGGAATCTTTGCTGTTGTCCGCTTCGTCGTCCAAGTCGCTGTCGTAGTCCATTTTTAGGGGATCTTCTTCCTCGAATCCTGTAAACATGCAAGTAGTCAGAAGGTCCGCCAGAAAATTATCAGACCAACGTGTGTATCAGACATAGTTTGGTTGTGTACCGGTAAGCATGGTTAGCGTATGTCCGAGTGCGGAGAGCTGCTTGCCGACGCTCACGTCTAGATGGATGTCCACGCCCTCCATTTGCCAGGACACGTTCAGGAACCACTTCGCGTTCTCTGCAACAACATCAAGTGTGAGCGGCGCCCTAATCAGCCCACAAAGGATATAGAGATCTGGTGTCGAGTCGAGCTGTGATGATGCGACCTCCTTCATCGTCATCCCACCGTTTTATTACCCCTTTTACTGGTTCCTGGCCACTTTTAAAATTTTGAATCGTTCTAGAATACCTTTTCCCTCATTATTCTTACGTTTTGGTTCGTTTCGTCATCCATCACTCTATTTGAATTTCTCGACGCGAGAGGTCGTACTCATTTATCGTTATGTAAAATCCAGCTCCACTTAAACTGTTTTTAAACCATTAGGTATATATATACGCATATAGACCCTCTTGGGGCAAGTATCTGGAGTTTCGACTGTTTAGTACTAGTAGGGAGTATTTTATATTATCTGTACCTTTTTTATATCATTGTATTATTTTGTAACAGCCTTTCTTTTCCTCTTTTAATAAATGTAAGTGGACCGATTCTTCTCTTTTACTTTACGGCTAGGCCACAGAGCTACTGTTGGGTAATTTTCCGAAAATTTGAAATAGTGGAAATTTTTCCGAAAAATATCCCGAATAATTGCAAAAATTGGAAATATGTCATTACGAAGGCCCTGTTCCCCGTTTAGAAATATCTTTCGAAGTTTTATTTAGCGTAAGTAAAAGCCGCTTAGAGAAAAACGAGATTTACAGCGAAAAAAAAACACCTTTATAATCGCTCCATTGTTTTCATTCAGTAACTTCAACTTTTGACAGGTGTCAACGTCAAATGTGAAAAATATCCGAAAAAATAAGATTTTTTCAAAATGGAAAGTTTTGCAGGACCCAACACTACACAGAGCTATTACCGTTGTGCTTCGGCGCGGCGGTGCGGCTGCACACCTCGTAAGTGCCTTCGGAGACGCAGCATACGTTAAGTGCGGGCTCGTCGGCGCGCGGCTGCCAGTCGTCCAGCGACGCCTCGAACTCGCTGGCGAAGCGCAGACACAGACCCACGAATCGGCCCTTCGACACAAGAGCGCCACTCGAGCACGCCGACACCGAGGTGCTTTCCAGCGTCACCACCACAGCCCCGCGTGCTTCGCCTTCCAGTGCCGCGCCGCTAGTCTCCTTGTTCTGAGCCACACACGGATCACCTCAGTATTCCCTTGTATCATGGACCAACAACTCAAGAAGACGCTAAATCTGACAAGACTGCGTAGTAGTGAATTTAGTACCTATTGGTACACTAGATGTCGCAACGAGTACCAAAAAGCTATTTTTTCATTATTTTAATGGCTTTGCCTTTGTATTTAGCCAGTCAAAAGGTTAAGTAAACGGAAAAGAATGATGTGGTAGAGTGAGTAGGTGAGTAGCTATTAAGGTATTTGTCGGCACGTATATTAAAGCTTGATCTTCGATAAATAACGCCAGTAGATTATATACATCTTTGCATTACATAAATACAATAAAATTGTTATAGAAGTAGGAAATGGTACATTCACAAGGACAAACTGCAATTTGTTAAAGCTATTCTTATTTCGAGTGATAACAAACAAATCAACTAGATGGCGCTTATTGCATAGATTTTTATGGATAGTACCAGCCACTCTTTTATTTTGTTATGCATTGGCGCCATCTACCGATACTATGAAGCGTTAATTTATACATTAATTTGCAACACACGAGGCCGTCTATTGACACGCATATTTGTCAAAGTGCTGAAACGATTTTAGGTCGTGGACAATATTTGAATTTGAATATTACAAGGAAAAGAATACTGTATTTAATATTTCATATTAAATATTAATTGATATCTACGGCCATTTATATAATATAAACTACTTCCAGACTTTTCTGATTTGATTGCGCCGTCTAAATCTAAGACAGAATTTCGACCTTTTTCAGAGCTACGATATGTAGTACGAATATTAGCAGTCCTCGAATTATTGGTGAGTGGTTGTATTGAAGTCACTCAACGCTCCGTCCCTCTGTACTCACCATGGCGGGCGGATGGTTAAGCGGCAAGCAGATGCCGATGTCGTCCACATTCAGTTGCAAAAACAGCGTGCTCAAGTGCGGCGCTGCGATCTGCGATGTCAACTGCACCTGTTCGTACGTAAATTATTTATAAAGCGTTATTTTTTTAAATACTAACAACCTCGCCGGACTATATTACTAACATCATAACAACAATTTCTGTTCCATGACTTTTAATAATTCATCATATTTTACTTTCTTACACAAATAAATATAATTAAATTTTTATTGAATTGATATTCAATTATTTTTTGTGAAATTACTCCACTAGTTTGTTATAATTATTAACACAAAGATCGAACACTCAGAAAAAATTCCTTCGATCCGGTCGGATTCGAACCGACGTCTTCTTGCATACCGTGCCAGACGCTATACCAACTAAGCCACGGAACGAACCAACGGATCTCACGAATTTTTCTATGTGCTTGCGTCGTGTCTTTGTACTTGGTCTTTCAACGACTTTTTAGTCGTAGCGCCATCTATGAGAAATCTATGACAAATTTATCACCCAGTTAGTACCTTTACAGCTACCAGTCCTGGCGAGAAATGTCGCTATTCACTGTATTAATTAAATTTTTATTGAATTGATATTCAATTATTTTTTGCTGCCCTCGTGTATTCTTACTTACTTACCTTTTCGAATATTTGCTGCGTGGCGGTAAGCACTTCCGAGTTGAGGTTGAGGCGTTTCTCGTTCCAGTACTCGTAGGCGTTTTTGTAGTTGAGCCAGAACAGAATCGCGCGATCGACGGCTACCGGCTGGATGTAGATGAGCGGCCGCTTCAGCGTAATTAGCACCACTTCCTTGTCCTCGGCACCACTTTCTCCTTCGCCCTCCCCTGTCGCCATCTCCTCTTGGAACGCATTGCGCATTGCTGTACATAAAACAGTTTCGATTTCAATGTCAGCGCCATTGCTTACCGCAAGCGTTTCGTGCTCGTTCCCAATCCGAGACTATATAAATCTAGAAAACTCGGCCCCACTTCGGATGTCGCTTGTGCACTAAGTCCTATTCGAATGCGAGAAAATAAGTGTTCGCGCCCTGCGTCTAAGTGTGACGTTATTTCTACTATTCACAATATAAGTTTTGTAAGCCGTTGTCTCGTCTACATCATTGAAGCTTCATCAACAATACGAATATCGCTTGTACACCTAAAGGTAAAATGACACTTCGGACATCTGTGACATTTCGGACCGTCATTTCTAGACGTAGTGTGCAAACGTTCTTACACTACGTATGTGCTGTTTATATTTGAACGCTGGTCGCAAATAGTTAAGAAAAAACACTAAGTAATACGACGATCCTTACAGATTCTGGTCTTGAAGAAAGCGTACTGCTGAAATTCTGGTTCGGCTTCGTCGAACATGGCGTTGCGGATAAGTTGGCCGAGGCAAAGGTTGACATCGACTTGCGCGCGCCCGAAGAGGCGCGTGTCGTGCGGTTGCGCGTGCGCCGGCTGCGGCACGTTCTGCACGCGGTTGGACAGCTCCAACTCCACGGCGCCTGTCTCCAGTCGCACAGCCGAGTTGCTCGGTGTTGTCGCCGTTAGCTGGATGCGCTGTGACACAAGTAATCACCATCTTGTACCCTCATCTTTTATTTTGTTAACACTTTTATTTTACATAACAAACATGTCTATAAAACTTCTGACACGGTCGACACTACGGAAGAAAAAAAAACAAAGGAAGTGCCTTAAGCCTCGATTATACACAAACAAATGATAAACACAACGAAATTTTGATAATTATTGATCATAGTTTCTAATTTAAAAAGATGTAACAAATTCTGGATTGTTTCTGGATATATTTTAAATCGCTGAAAGTACCTTTACTACAAGTTACGATGTTTTGATTTTATATTGAAATTTTATTCCACGCGCTGCCATCTTGCGGCCAGTAGCTGGTCTACGACGAACGATTAACATCTGAATCAATTCGATAAACAGAAAATTGAAAATTATTACAATAAGACTTACCGATGATATAAAATACTACTATGGGTAATATTTTTGTTGCGGCTATAATTTTGGCACTTTTAGGCATTTTATTGCGAATTTAGAGAATTTGCGCAAAAGAATGACACAACCACACCATACAAAGTGAAAATGGCGGATTGAGCTCTAGTACGTCTCTCGATATCTAAATATGTTAGTACGCGTCGTACCCTGTTTTTTTTTTGACGGGGGGGAAATCTTTATGGATACCCCTGAGCCCAGGGAGACTCAGGGGTTATGTGGGGACTCTCCCTCCACACTGGAAGGCCTACCCTACTAAAACCCCCCCGGGTTTCCCTCTCGCCGGTTGAGTCGGCGCCGTGGGATCAGTGAACAACGCGTCGTACCCTAACTAACCACTTCTACTGTATTTATTGTTCTGTGGTCGACACGCAAGGAAAGCGAATTCGCATAACGTGAGCGTATCTACCTTGATGCGGATGAGCAATGAAAACAGCGCCCGGGAGAACGGCGAGGAGGCTTCCTCCTCGCTCCACAGCGGCACCGGCTTCTCACCACCATACACCTTCTGCACGACCTCGTTCACCTCCTGTGCGTACAGTCTGATTTGAATACAATACCTTAGCCGAGATTCCATAAGTAAGAGAAACGAAAATAGCACCGACCTTCATAAAGACCTTCTGCACGAAGACCAAATGGTTTAACAGGTCGGTGGAGAGCGTGTGCTCGAAGAGGCCGATGTCGGCCGTGGCGGCGAGATAGCGGCCGGCGCGCAGCACGGCGCCTTCAACGGCTGCGCCGGCGCCTGGCGCGCCGCCCTCCAGCATGCGCCCCGCCACGTGCACGGCCGGCAGCGCCACCATGGCAGCCGCGGGGATGTTGGCCTCACTCACCTCCGTTACCTGCGCGCGCGCACGTTTATTCCCATGGAAGAAAAAAAACTATGGAAGTGCCTTAAGCCTCAATTACTATCAGAATCGCAGTCGCCAAAACACACACAATCACTATGAAATCTTGATAATGATTTGTAATAGTTTCTAATTTCAAAAAATGTAAAAAATTCTGGACTGTCAATATAATTTAAACTTTACCCTGTTGGCAAATCGTTGAAAATTCAATACGTACTGTTCCAAGTTACGTCTTGATTTTATATTGTTCTTAATTTTATTCATTGTCCTGCCACCTAGCGGCAACAACTGAAAGACTATGTGACGATGAACTATTAACGAATTCCAAAATAATTTTTTTTAAATAAAATAAGTCTTAACGATGATATAAAACACCACCATGGATAATATTACAAGTGCGACTATAATTTTTACACTCCAAAGCAGCAAAACTAAGTCATTTTTTCCTCGATTTTCGAGGTTTTGCGTGAGATAATTAACACGATCATAACGTAGAAAGCGAAAATGGCGGTCTCAAGTACGTGAAACTACACTTACTGTTGGCACATGTACCATGCAAACTAAGCATTTCTACTGTGTTTATTAATCTGTGTGTAATCCCGTCGCGGCAAAGCCGACAGGCCGCACGATCCTTCCAACTGACCTGTAGCTTGGTGACGAAGCTCAGAGAGTGTTGTGGCAGCTCGACGGTGAAATGCGCGCGAGCGCCAGTGACGCCGGAGCTGCTGACGTGCTCCATCTTGTACTGTGCCTGCAGCGATGGCAGCAGCGCCGCAGTCACACTGAGGCTCTGCACGCCGATGGAGAACTGCAGGTGCAGCGGGTCCAGCAGCGGTTCGGCCCGCGCTGTGGAGGCGCGGGGAGGGCGCGGCGCGGGAGGGGGCGACGCCGACGAGTCCTCTTCTGGCGCTGCGGGCGCGGGGGCCGCGCGGGACAAGCGGGACGCCGTACGCGTCACGCCCAGCTCTTGCAGCGTGGACGACAGTTGGCGAGACGAGCGCGTCATCACGCCGTGTAGCGCCACCGGGTGTTGCGGCAGGTCCACACGCACGCCGCCCACGCTCACCAGAACGGCGGCGCCCACGCGCCCTACCTCCCACGAGTGCAGTGCCTGCGATTTGCCCACGCCCACACGCACCACAGTCCTGCACACAAGTCACGTCGTTAGATTATTTCAACTATATTATGATTTCTAAGTTATGATTTCAACATTTCCCCGAGCTCGTGTCCGTCACACACTTTTATCTTTTGATTTTGATTTAAATTTTTCTGTAAATTATATAAAAAACTTATTTTTTCTCATTTCTGTATTTTTTTTGGTAATGTGTGCGAAAATAAGTTTTAAATGGTTAGTCCATTATCTACTCGCTGGCACTACTTTACGAGGTTTACTCACTGGTGGTGCGGGTGCGAGCCCTCGAGCAATACGATAGTGGATCGGCCGAGCGTGCCGGTGAGCGAACATTGGCGGGTCCGCGCGGCCGATAACGACGCCTGCAGCGAGGTGAGCTCGGCTTCTAACTTCAGCCCCGACAGCGAGGCTAGAAGACGCGTGCGGTGGATACGAGCTACTCCCACCACCACCATGCCCCCCACGGTGGCTGTGCCGGCCGGCGCCTCCCGCGACTGCGGCCTTGCGCCTGCGCACGCTCGCTCGCCCAGTTCTGTCGTCACCGAAAACCTGCACACGAGACAAATCAGTGATTCAATGCGAAATCTTCTAATCGAAAAATGAGTAGGACCGAGACCAACCTGTGCGTGATAGTGTCAGCGTCGGGCATGTTGGCGTACAGATTAAGTAGCGAGTACACGGTACGCCAGCAACGTGGTGCCAGCGAGTCGCCACTCGGTCCGACGACGGTGGCGGGTGGTGCCGGAGCAGCGGCCATAGAACGCAGTGCCTCGGCGCCGAACATCGGCGTGTGGGCACCCTCGTTCAACGAGCTGTAGCCTGCAAACATAGACGTGGTGCATTAAGAGTCTATACAACCTCAAATTCTGCATAACAATGAAAGTGTTGAAACAATCATTTTGGAAAAAATATACAGTAAAATTGAGGATATACAAAAATTTTCAGGATAGAAAAAAAACACGAACTTACCTCGAAATTTTACAAAAAAAACCACTGTGTTCAATAGGTACCATATAGTTTAAAAATACATTCTAAAATAAAGCCCCAAGTAAAATCAACCGTATTAGTACGGGAAAAAATTTAATTTATTAAGCTGAGGTAGTATCGACTCTTAACTCTTAATTCGCGGTTACCGCGATTCCGAGACAGACCTATTTCCGATTCTTATGGACGGCCAATTAACTTCCGCAAGTTAAAAGTTAAGCCTCAACTATCAGTAAATTGGATAGAATGAGAGAATCGGGGCAATACGGACCTAGTTTACCCTTAACGCTTTTGCTGGTGGAGCGCAGTTTTTGCGCGAAAGACTGAGGACGCGTACGCGCCACAGGCACCGTCAGTTTTTGCTGGCTGAGGGAGTGCGGCACGTCAGCGCCGCTGCCCACATCCACCTCGGTCACAACCGGGGCTGGTGCCGTGCTCAGCACCTCCCATTTTGACTCCAGGGTAGAATACTGCGTGTCTTTATCAAGAGACGACACACTCACAAGATTTTCTCGGAAGTCTGAAACTAAGACAAAATTATGTTCAGAGTTATGCAATGCAACCGCATCTAAAATAAGTTCCCCGTTGAGAGCATTTGTCTATTCCGAAAAGTTTATTTTGCTTACTTACATGGCGAGCATCCTGGGGAGCTCTTCCAATTTCTACTTACTTATGACACTGAATTAATTACCATAAATTATGAACAAATTTTTAGAATTTAAAAAGGGGTACAATGTACGTATCTAAGCATAGTCCTATAAAACTGTATACACAATGTGACTGTAGTATCGAAACGAGTCTCAATTAAGCAAAAAGTTACAAACTGTAAGTCAATGTAGTTAAAAATACTTAAATAATATAATTACTAACTATTCAACAAAAATTTCGGAAACAATGATCATTCAACATTTTTTTCAATTTAAATATTTTGTTGCACGTCTAATAACTTCTGGTGAGCTCTTTAATATGTATGGAATACGTTTCTTTAAAGTCCTATCTCCATAGTAGTTAGTCACTCTTGGGATTACACATTTACCAAAGGTCATCGACCTTGTATTATAGTTGTTATCAACCATACACAACAAAGAATCACGCACCATTGCACTATTTTTATTCTCTAATGTAATGAATTTTCAATTGATTTCGTACAATATAAAAGCAATTATTGTATCACTTAGATACTCACCTGAAGAGGAAGTATGTTTGTTTTGGCTGTGCGATATTTTGGTCTGGGACCGCAATTCCACCTGTGTGTCCTTTACGTTCTGGTACATGTTGCTGATTTGATGCAGCAGTCGCAGTAGAGGCATGTTTACCTGCGAAGAATTCACAAAAAGTTTATAGAACAATCTGTCACCCATTTAGTTTTAAAGCCGATTTTTTTATCATATGTATTCTGTAGGCAGCAAACAAGCATACGGCGCGCCTGACCGAATGCGGGCATTAGCGGTCCTAAAGGGGCGTTATAGTGTGTTGCCAACCCTTTAATAAGACCCTTCTCAAGCGCTGTAATTACTGTGTAATCCATGCTGTATTACTGTGGGTAAACCCCGACAGCATTTAGCCGATCAACGAAACGAGAGGATTTGTAAGCACCTGCTGAGAGATGAAGCGCACGCTCAGGTTGAATTTGAGCACGGTGGAGATGTGCTTCTTGAGCTGCCCACGTGATATGTAGAGAACGTTGCGACGTTGCACTAGCTCGTCGACGGCCACGTCGGCCACGCGGCGAAGGTCCACGTCCAGCGACACCTTCTCGCAGAGGAAGGCGGCGGCGCCTCCGTCAGCATCAGGTGCCATCCGTGCACGGCCCCGAGCCTCGCGTAGCTCACTCACAACGATGTCGATGCGGAACGAGTCTACCCAAGCCACTAACGACAGCCGCGACCCCAGCGACTCCAAAGCTGGCGGCGTCGGCCCCGGAGGGCCATCCTTGTTCTTCGACTCGCCTGTGAATAGAACGCTATGTGAATTAATTTTACTAATGTATTTATTTTATATGCACACACGCAAGCACGCACGCACGCACGCACACACACACACACACACACACACTACACATTATAGAAGCAAAGTAGGATTACGCAAACGAGCTCGCTGTAGTAATAAAAAATTAATTAGATAATACTTTCTTAACGTACGCCCAATAAATAACCACCGAGAGCCTTTGGATTGAAAAATGGGCGCTCACCTTGAGTTATCTGATTGGGCGAAACGCCGAGCGCTGCGAGGAATGGCTGGAATACGAGGTGTGCGTCAAGCAGCATCAACGACCCCTGCAGTGGGTAGAGGCTGCAGGCGGGCAGCGTCGCCGCCACCGCCAACGGGTTGGGCCGCGGCGTCGGTATGATTGGGCGGCGTGTGTTTGGTTCCTACGCAGGACAGACAGATGAGCGAGGCCAGGACGAAATGGGAAAGGAGAGGAGAGAATACTCACCACTTTGATAGGATCCTGCTTGGCCATCCATTGATAAAGATCCTCGCGTGCACGCTCTGCGGCACGCAGCTGCTCGGTAGAGCCGCTGGCTTGCGGCGATGTCAGAGACGCCTCCGACCCTCCCACCCCTTCCTCACGCAACGCACCGTATCCTGCGCACCCGTATCCGTATTATAGTCTGTCTTTTTTGAAGACTGAGTAAAATGACAGGTCCTTTCGCAAAAGTGTTGCCCGCTTGCGACTAGTGATTGCAGTCGATAAATATTCTATCGATTATCGACTGAATATCACGTTTTTGGAATAAATGGCCGAACTTGTTTAATTTGAATCATCCTCGACCCATTATTCGTCCAACTACTGAGTACAAGTTCATTTGAATTGTCAATTTTTGTAAATTAATACATATATATACTGTATTTTAAAAATATAAAGAGGAGACATACTTTAAAGTTTTTCATTTTAATTCCATATCGATAATCAAATCCGGCTATTCTTGTTAAAATGTATATGAATAAAAATTGATCTCGATATTAGTAGGCCAACTGTCAAAATAAAGAACGCAAGTGCTCAATTAGTAATCATTAGAACGTCGCTTCGAGTATATAACCAAATAGAGAGGAAATAAGAGCTATCCATCGCTAGCAACTCGTCAGGCAAATGGGCCTTATATTACTTTGAATTTTAAATCAATTGACGACACCCGTCAATTGTTTCGAATTCGGGCTGGCCAATCGGGGCGCAGTTGTCCGTAGTGATTTGGCAGGAAAGTTTTCAAACATATTAAATTAAATTACGTCTCCATTTCTAGTTATATATACTCGATGGAATGTCGTAAAATTGGCAATTTAATCATTTTTGGCAAAATTATATATTCTTTCGCAATCTATCGATAAAATTATTAACAGCTATTTACTAAACTATTATCTAAACTATTAAAGCTATTAGCTAAACTATTAGCAGCAACTACATAACTATTTAAAATTTTATGAAAACTGGCAACCCTACAAATGTCATTTTACTCCATCTTCAAAAAAGATAGACTATAGTATCCATCACTGTCGCCTGTGTGTTCTGTTAAAGACGGTGCAGTAGCCACTCACCGGCGGCGTCATCGTGGAAGGGCGATTTATGCGGCGGGAAAGACAGCACAGGGAACGCGAGGCTGCCACGCGGGGCGCCCACTCGATCTAAAAAGTTCATACAAGTTTTATTATACGTAAAAAATTTGTAGGGGGAATGTAATAGTACATTTTGTATTAAGGGCGACAAATAAGGAATTACGAACGAGACTATTAGAAGCCGCAGTCGAAGTCTGAGGGCTTTCGGAGTCGAGGTACGTAATTCCCGTATCGCCCATGAAACATACAATGTTTTTAACCACACTTGTACGAAAATAGTATATTGCATGTAAGCTAACTTGACTGTAATGCCGCAAATAAATCCCTCGGGCCTTATTTCTTCTCATTACAGCCAGAGCCGGTAATGAGAAAAAAAAGCCCTGAGGGTTCTATTTATAGTACAGTTAGTCTGCATGCAATCATGCTATTTACGTGCAAGTGTGATGAAGTAGTGCAATATAATGCATTATACGATGAGAGTGAAACTCGATAGGCGAACATTGACGATATATGACACATCGAAAGCAGCTGAAACTAAATCGATATGATTCAAGTAACACTTAATTCTCGTGATGATAATATGTTTCGTGTTCACTGTGATTGAAAAACCAAATCGATACAACGAAAATGCTAGAGAAAAACAAAAGAGAAAGCGACATTACTACGAACGCGGTTCGCTCAAAAAATAAAATAATAAATGCTGGTGTAAGTAGAGCACGAAGACGAAGACGACAAACTTGGTGAAGTACGCACCGACCGGAGGCGGATGCGCGGTGGGCGGGGAACTCGGGGCGGAGTGCGGTCGCGGGGGGCGAGGGGGGCGCAAGCGCATGGTCGCGGTCGCGGCTGCAGCCGCGAAAATCATTTACTCATTGTTACGAAGTACAAATAAACTTACATAATTTAATTATTTTACCTTCTAGACTGCTCAAAATGCGTTACAGAAAACGAACATAGAATAAGGGCGCGCTCAAATTAGCCGCTGTTAGACGCGCTGCAGTCACGCTCGGTTGCAGTCACGGTTAGTAAGATGTACATATTAATTTTTCAAATTAACCATGATGGATGAAAATTGAATTGAAGAATTTATAGAGAATGTAAAACAACACCCTGCAATATGGGATAGCAGTTCCGCCAGTTATTCCAATCGACTGGATAAAAAAAACGCATGAGAAAATTTGGTCGCACTTCAACAGCGCGACAGTCGTGCGGCTGCAGCGCTTCTAAAATCTGCTATTTTGAACACGCCCTAAGAACAAAATTCAAACATTTCATATTCATGTACGGGTGAAACAGTCCATCTTTTTTTTTATGATTTACATTTTGTTACTTTAACATGCAGAAGTATGCCCGCACGATGTCGTATGATCACGCTTACTGCGGTACTACGCTGATCGATGTATATTTTGCTATAAATGAGTATCATAACTGTCTTTTATTAAAATTGATTTATTTGTACTACAAACATTTACAAGTAGCATCTATTTATTACACCAATACCTTGCATTGTCAACTTACATTTACATACATCCTGCAGTGCAACGTGTGCTATTAGCACAGTTCATTTATAATTCTGCCTCATTTTACTTCTTTTGCTTCTGGAGTCTAGAATTTCCGGAACTCACCTGCGGCATTCTCAGCAGGCTGGTAGTGGTCAGGCATGTGCAGCAGCAGGCAGTTCTCGTCAACTGAGTCCGAGACGCCTTCGCCCGGCTCGCCCCACGTCGGCGCTTCCCCCGTACCGCTCTCCACCTATCGATCAGTACAAGTCGTTACGTATATTTTACAGGGTTTTTTGTAAAATAACTATCTACCTCAAGACTGTACTACTAACATCATAAACATCAACTTTTGTTCCATGACTTTTAATAATTGGTCACATTTTGCTTTCTTAGAAAAATAAAAACATGTAAATAGATCACTAGAAACGGTGATAACTCTGCGCAAAACGCGAGAGTCGTCACACGTTTGAACTTATTACCTTACTACCAAATATGATTTAATAACCCACACACTCAACATAGCCCCGCACTAGGGGAACCCTGTGTCGCGGGTTAATTACACCCAAACTCACAAAAGAAATAAATGTAGGCCATACAAATGTTTCTCCTGGCCCGCAAATCGAACCTGGGATCTCTGCGTGGTAGCCCATCATGATAACCGTTCGGCCACGGAGGCAGTTACAGTATAAGTAATAATAATTAGACAGTACAAAAAAAAAATACAAGTTTATTTTTGGCACATTTATCATGTTTTGTCAAGTTACAGAACAAAAGTTGTTGTTTGATTGTGCGCAAGCACGTTCCTTTTGAATTTGTACTCTTTTTGACGTCGTGTTTTTGTAATAACAAACAACAACAAAACAACTAAATATAGTTGTCATACAAATATAGCTGGAGAAATACGTTCCCAAAAATCCCAAAGGATTCTTTAATTATTTCATCCTTCTCCCTCTGCCTGCAATGATATTATTAGTAATCTAATCCTGCGAGGTTGTTAGTATATTAAAAATGTCCCTGTGTATTATGTGTATATCGTCACAAAACACGAACAGTTCATATAGAGCATACCTCGAGCAGATCAGGCAGTGCGAAGGTAACGTTGAGAGGTTTCAGCACTTTGCTACGATAACCTTGTTCGATCAGAAGAGGCGTATATAAAATATTCTTCCACTGACGGCTCAACACGATCACACCCTGCGAAAATATCGCAAAATTTCAGCATGTAAAGTATAATGTAAAACAAATGTAAAGGAAGCTATAATAATATTAAAATAACAGTAAAAAAGGAACCACAAATATCATACAACTTCATAAAGTTGTAAAATTAAATCTTAGATTTTCAATAAGTAAATGAGTACCTGCATTTTAGGCATTTTGTTTGTGCATAATTTCTTTATATTACGCTTAAAAGAGATTTGCTATATTTATTTAACAATAAAACATTTAGTTATCAGTAATATACATATATAGTATAAATGAATTGTTATACAAATATCATTATGAAATAACTTCTAGCAAGCTTTCTGTATCATCACAAGTGTTACTCTTAAGCTAGCCATTTGATTTGATTTATTCATGGCGAAATAATGCAAAGTAGAATTGAAATGAAAGTAAAGAAATGTGGCAAAGAAGCAGAAGGATCTATGCGAGTATGATGTGCATTTCGACGACTTTCTAGAATAGCGGTTTACGTCAAAATCAGCTAATTCATCAAAAACATTGTTTAAAAACATCTGCAGAGTGTCTAAATGCGAAGCCGATGAATCATATACAAGCCCATGTTGTCACGTGATTAAGTTAATCAATAAAAAGGGCGGTGTCTCATTTACAATAAAAATTAGCTCATACTGACTGCAGCTGTGTCAGAAGACAAAAATGTACTGTTTTGATTTAGGCCACTATTCTTGAAAAGCAGCGAGTTGTGTACGAGAAGAAAAGGTATCGAGTCGTCTGTAGTCCATGGAATATAGTATATTTTACCTGTCGAAGGGTAGACAGTGAAGGCAGGTGGCGGTCGGCGAGATCGGCCTGAACAGCGGCGGCGTCGGCGTGCAACGCATGCCGCAGCAGCGCGGCGCACAGCTGCAACGACGGCTCCTCACGCAGCTGGCGTGCCATTGGCGTGTGTCGGCCGTAGCGGCTTTTGGGTGCGACGTAGTGTGGCGCAAGATCCAGTGCACCCGCCATTAAACTGGCGGCCGTGGCGGTCACGCGTCGCGCGTGGGCGCGGTACAGCGCCACCACACGGATACCGAGCCGGTTGCACGGGTTCATCCACGCGTTGATAGCCGGCGACGCCGTGCTTAGCAGATTCCAGTCTAGCCGGGTGTAATCGATCTTCCTAGTGATAGGCGTGCGTGGAGGTGCGGCAAAGTTGAACCATACCACTTTGAGGTCAAGCGAGCACGACGAAGTGCTACCTGCAGCCGCGCGGCCGGCTCCGTTTGAACCCCCTGCCGCTTCCGCCGTGGGGGGCTGTGGTGGCGGGGCGTCAGCGCTAGGCGTTGGCGGCGCGCCTAGGTTTGGCGTGCCGGGCTTCGAAGAGGAGTCGCGCTTGCGGAACAACTCCTCGAAGCCGGAAGTTCGCGAACGTGAGGTGCGAGTGTCGCGAATCTCGTCGACAGACTTCACGGACTCGCGGCAACTGTCGTTGTCAGCAGGCGCGGCCGGTCGCTCGTCGCCGACCGCCGGCTTGTGCGACTGCGCGTGTTGCGCCACCTTCACACACACGCCTTCCACGCCGCACTCGAACATAATGTACCCTATAGAGTTATCCTTCTGAGCGTCACTCGCACTGCCGCCCGCTGCACCCTGCAAAGTCAGACACGATCTTCCACTCGGCTAGGGCTCATTGGAAACCAGTGTCACAGCCTAGTCATGGCAGTGACTTTAGTTGAATGGGATCCTTTTGCTTATGCCACAACAGCATACATGTCAGTATAGTATTACGTAATGTATAAATAGTACAACTTGTTGTTTAAATGTTTGCTACGCTGTTTTTTGTGTTACTTCTATTTTTATTTATATTAGTTTTTGCTGTGTCTTTTTTCATAATGTGGCGATGCAATAAATGGTTTCTATTTCTAAATTCGGAACGGTGGTGCGTTTAGCGGGACGTTCAAGGTTTGCTTGTACATTGTGTCGCGTCAAACGTATGTCTTGTGTTGGATACATCGAACACAAGACTCAATATCCGCGCAAACTTTGAACGTCCCGCTGAACGCACCACCGTTGCTAATTTATGGCCTAACAGTTACCTAACCGTGGTAAAATCGAAAACTTGGTTTTTTCTACCGATTCTTATAATTACTTACCGTCGAGTCGCTTCCCTTTGCCCCTGGCTCAGCTCGAGTAAATTTGAAGGAAACCTTGGAATGTTGACAAGGTATCCCTGTTATAGTCGCATCCTTCAGTTGTGTCGATTCGTTCCGAATGCGACGCAATTGCCCGTGAACTTTACCTGCAAAATAATAAAAAGAGAAAATGTTTACAAGTTATCACTATAAATGAACTTACCAAGAACTGATCGGTAATAAAGTGCACTAGTAAAATGAGAATACCAACCGATGTTGAGGGTAAATGTGGTGTCGTCGCACTGCTGTTGCGTGGTCTCGATGTACAAGGGTTCTCCCTTTTCCGGTCCACGTTTGCGCGTCGAGTCTGGTGCTGAAATGAGTGCGCGCGGACCTTTCATTATGCCAAAAGTCTTTTTGCTGCCGAGAGCACGCAGCGTAGGCCTGTAGTACAGTTGTACCGACTCCAAAGTCTTTTTCGTGCTCATGTATTTAGCTATTACGTTCTCCACGGACACCCCAAAGAGAGACACGCAGGTTAAATCTTGTATATTATCCAGAGCCGAAAAGGATATCATATCTTCGATAACGGAAGACTGAATGAATATCATATTCACTTTTGGAACAGTAACTGTCGCTTGGAGTTGTTCACAAATTGTTTCCTCGTACACATTCGAGTGTGGAATGGTAGCCAGCTTGCATTTGGCGTCGTTGTCGTTAGCCAAAGTAGACTGCGTGCGAGCCTGCATTTGAGGGAGCCAGTTTTGCACAAACTGTTTCTGCTTTAGAACATTGGCGCTTTGTACAGAAGAAATGCATAGTAGACGCAGATGGTTAATCACTGTTATCGGATGGACATTAGCCAGTACGGGTGTCAGTGACTCGACAAACTTCTGTGTGCTTTCGAGTACCAAAGGAGTAAGCATTATATCTACTTCTCCTCGTAATTTCACGCATACGCCATTTCTGCTGTCGCTCGTAGTAGTCGCCGTCGGAGTTTGCACCTTATCTCCTGTGTTCTCCTGGTTTTCTTGTACGTTTTGCTGTACATCCCACCAAGCTTGCGGAAACGGATGCGCTTTAATTTGTGAGTTAAAATGTGGCGCTAAATTAGAATATGGGCCATGATTGTTATGACTTTCTTTTTTGGACGCGAGTTTTAGAATGTTAACTTTACCAAGTGGCTCAAAGATGGGGAGGTATTTTTGACCCACATAGACGAGCGTTCCGTCCTCGGCTCTCTTAAAAAGAGGCAACGTGTAAACATCACTGCCGCTAGGCAAAGAGCACGTGGCCCAATTGCAGCAGCGGTATTGAGGTAAGTTATTCATGTAACTGGACATGAGGAGTGGTGACTCATTTATAGGTTTGTTAGTTTGCATATGCAAATTGACTAATGTCATATCTTCCTGAGACGATATCGCCGAGATAAACGATGTCGAAGACACAGATCCGCTTTCAGAGTCCTGTCGCGCGCCGGCGCTTATATTGCTTATCGTATCTGGAGCATCAAGTGCTTCCGAACGTGGCACAGAGTTACTCCACTTCTCAGTAATATCGTTGATACCAAACGAACTTTTGTCTTTCGGATTACTGTGACGACTTCCAAAGGAATGCTTTAAGCTTGAAGATCGACTCGGAAACATGTCTTCATCCGCCGAAAAGAAAGCTTCAGATGGGTTTTCACTGGTTATGGACATTGTACGCCGTACTTCCAGAGGGATATTGTCGTCAGTAGGAGGTTGTGAATTAAGAGAATAGTGCGACTCAGATACGCCGACATTTCGTATAGGGACTTTCGGAACGGCGAAGGGATCAGCATCTGTACCTATCGACTTCTTCTGTTTCACTATAGAACTGTCCTTAACGGCACAATTCAGTGCCAGTTTAGAGTCTGACACACTACTCTCCATTTGAGGTATATTCAGAATAGTTTTATTCAATTTGGAATCGCTGTCGATTTTGGAGTTTCCTAGTGGTACTGCAGAGTCCACCAGCCGCGCATATGGCACGTCGCTTTTAGTGCTCGACACAAGAACATTGTTGCTTCCTTTGCTGACACTAGTGTAAGAGAACCTACGTGTCAGGCTTCGGCGCTCAGCGGTCTGTGGCGAGCGTGTGGCAGGTGGCAAAGGAGACGGTACCAGCGCTGCAGTGGGCTGCAAACAAACATTCAATCCGCTATAAGGCGGTGTGTGAAACACCAGTTGGCCCGCATGCAACAGGCTTTGCCCATAGCCGTATTCTCCGGGAATTGTTTCTATCACATTAAACATTGCAACATTAATGCCCTCGTTCAAATCAGACTGACTCGGTTTTAGGAAATTGCTGCCGTTTCTGTTGGATCCGAAAAATGCGCAACCACCAAGGCAACCGCACTGTGTACTCTTTCCCTCAGTTGGCCACATGAACCACAACCGTTTTGTTTTTTCGTCGTGTAATTTTAAAAACTTCTGTTGAACCAAGTGAAAATTCTTCGGACTCTGCGGCAAAGATGAAGCGGCTTCGATCAGAAGCGGTCCTAATGACACGGAGCCAACTCCCACCCAGTTATCGCTTTCAGGCATTTTATTTTGACTGCTGTTACTTCCGTTAGAATTGTGATGAGTACTTGCTTGCAAATTGGTTTGAGTGTAGAGAGCTAATTTAATGTTGGGCAATAAAGCTGTGACGCCAATCCCAAAACCAGGGCCGTGCAGGTTGCAGAAGCTCAATCTAATAGGAGACACCCAGGTTTGCAAAGTAGTGTTACTGTCAGCCACGTAAATATCGATCAAGTCTACAGCGACGCGAATCATACGGTATTTGATTTCATTAGGCGTCGGACATCGGTACTTTAGTGTAAGATCCGTTTCGGGGCATATGACATTGTTCATGCCGTGGTGGCATTGTTTGACAGGGTTAGTAGGAGACAATTCATTTTCGTTGTCACAAATGAGAAGAAGGAACGTTTCCAGTGATGACACGACTTGATAGAGCTGCGGCAGAGTCAACCGACCCGTGAGCTGCCCCAGTTGTATTTCCAACATCCAGGCATATTCTACAGTGTCTTCATCAACACCGCGATTAGTGTCGCTAAAAAATCCGTTGCCGCGTAACTGGAAGGATGAAAGCATTAAATGCCCTTGATATAGTACTCCAGAATTCATAGGGTTTGACCGTGACAAATTATTTGACGATACCAATATAGAGGGACTCAAAAGAAGTTGAAGTTTTGTTTCTCGGAAAGTTTTATCCATTTCAAACCCAAATCTTTCGATTAATACGACAGGACAGGGTGGTTCGCTCTCACTGCAGTTCTTGACTAGATGAGCTTGAATATCATGAATGATAATGGAGACTGTGACTTCAAGTGGGCGGCAGTGGCGCGGATCGAAAGGACCTTTGCTCGAGTCGGTCGAGTCATCCATCGATATGTCGGTGTGCTGGTTTACGCTACTTCTATCATTCGCCTTATTTGTATTCTCGGTGGGCAAGAAATAGGTATCAATATTTGGGGATTTCTGCATATCTGTAAATGTTTGGTCTTCGCCAAAAATATTCTCCAACAGGTTCATGAAACTAGTAATTATAGTTCCGTAGGCGAGGAGCACAGAAGGTCCTACTTCAAGGTCAACGCTTACTTTATCCGGCGGAAGGCTAGTGCGGTCGAATTTATTCCCGTCAATAGGCCAGTTCATCTGAGGTTGTTTCCTCATACGGGGTATTCTCATGGGAGATAGCAAAATCTCCTCCTTTTCCGGCGTAGTGATGTCTGCTTGCGGTTCAGGTCCGAGAGGCGGTATGGGATGGTAGTTATAACGAACGCTAAGTGCCACTATAGGCACTGACCAACAGTCCACCCAGCCTTGCGACTTTACACACTTTCTTCGCCATTTAGAGGCTTTTAGCCTGCATGGTATTAATTTCATATTTTTGTCTATTGACAACAGGAGCAACCTCGAAGTGTTGACTTCGGGTAAGTACAGGCTCATGTCAACGGCTTCACCTTGAATCCAAATCTTCAATGGAATGATATCAGGCAAGAAATCGACGAATGGCAAGTCGAAGGACACATCTAGAAGATCGCCACAAAACGCAACGTGATTGTTTTCCTGGTTAGTAGAGCTGCAATCTATCCAGTTGTACTGATTGCTAACTGTCACTACCTCACACTCTTTCAACAGCAACGATAATTTCCAAGTGTAAGGTACAAAGTGCAAAATATCGGGGCGCGATTTATTCGACCAGTCATTTACCAAATCTTGAAAAAAGTCTATATGTGTATAAACAAGATGCACAGTCGCTTTACATCCTGTCAACGCTAATTGCCAACATTGGTGATGATTCCAAACAAGAGGGTAGTGGCACTTCACAGTGTACTCTAATGTTTCGCTTTCAGCTAAACTTCTGTATTGCAAACTCGTTGTTGCCTCCAAATGGAGTAGCTGCCCAGTAATTTTTGTAGTGTAGCCATCTTGCAAGACGATCCACGGTAAAGTCACTTCAAGGTACGAGCCAGCACCAACGTTGATATGAACAGCGTTGGTTTCTTTATTTTTCGTGAATAGAATATCAATCGTAGCTTCGTTTAGAGTAGATAATCTAATATCAAATGATTGCATTTGTCTTCTATCTCCAGGCTTAGGTTGCGGTGTTACTTCCAAATTCTTGTAGTTAGGTGGAAAGAAAAATCTGAAGAGGTGATCTCTCTGCCTGTCCGCCCAAGGTCCATAACTAAAATCAGTTCCCTTTCCACACTTGATGTCGACACCCCAGATAGGAGGAGCAGATTCCACTATGTCCCCATTGGCCAACTGCAGCAATACAGGCTGCTCTGGCACTAGCCCGGGCTCATCCATGTAGAAATACACTTCAATGTAATTGGAGCTCATAACTACGAAGCCCTCGCCCATGTACCTGGGTGGCTCGTCTACCATGGCGGTATAGTTGGGGCTCGGTGCCAGAATAACCTTACAGTTCTCAGCTTTAGCTTTTACGAAATGCATTAGGTAGTCCAGACTGGACGCGGGGGGTTTGGTACTGTAGACGAGGTGGGCCTCCTCGACGCTGATGGATAGCGTGGTGGGTACAAGGCGGTTTCCGAAGACGACGCGCGCCGAGCACACGTCCGTCTTGATGACCGGGATAAGATCGCGCCACGTGCGCGCCATGGCGGCCTCCGACCGCACGGCGTCCTGCGCGCGCCGCCGTTTCTCATTGGCGTCGTTCATCGCCTTGTCACGGTCCTCGGAGTCTTCTTCGCTCTGCTGCTTGATGAACGGCTCCAGCCCAAAGGTCTTCTCCAACTCGCTATATAGGTTACATCGGTTGTAAAAATGCAGTTCGAAACCGTTCAGCATGATGGAGAGACGAGTGTCAGAATGTGATAAATCTGAAACACAGAAAGTTTTACTTCACATGTAGCACAATAGATTGTTTGTTTTGGATTTTTTCAACACATTGCTATAGTATTACCTACGTTATAGAAATTATTCTTACCACTTTTTAAGGTAATGGCTTATACATACTGAATTCATAAATACAGTAGATACCTTCAGAGACATCTTTGGGTACGTAGGAGCGCCACCAGCGGAAAATGAGATACCCGTCCTGAATGCGTACCGCGTAATCATAGTTGATATACACAATGTCCCGGAACATTATCTTGCCAGACAGAGCATTGAATGTGATTGAACCTGTCGAAAAAAATTCGCTGTTTTTATTTGTGTTAAAAAAATTAAAGCAATAAGGTCACACTCATGTTCATAAATTATCTATCCAACCTATTGCGTTCATTAAAAAACTATATTAACATTTTTTTTCTTATCGATCTCAATATTCTTTAACGTAATCATCGTTAATCGCCTTTACCTAATTTACCAAACGTGTACATCATATGATCAAATTTGTTATAACCAGTGGGGCAAGCACGACAGGACGTAAGAGCAACATAAAGCGCGAGATATTGCTATTCTCGCATAGAGATCACGCTCTTTATGCCGCTCTCGCGCTAGTCGCGCACTGTCGTGCTAGCCCTACAGGACAAAAGGACTTTCACAAAACAGTTAATTTGAACTTAGTATTTTAAGATAGATATGTATAATTCTATATATTTTAGTTTTATATTAAAGTTTAAATTTTAAACGTAGTTATTTTTATTATTTAATTGAGTAATAATAAATAAGTAAAATATAATAAGTACGCATGTCATACAATGTGTTAGATAAGTTAGTAAGTTATCAGCAATAAAGTCTATAAATAAATAAATAAATAAAATTTAAACTTATAAATATGAAACTTAAATACATAATTTTTATAGGTAAATTATGTTTGTTTTTTAATTTACAAAATCACACAATTTACATTTTCTTGTTTCTGAATGAGGTGTATACGGTTGTCAATGGAATGCAGATTTACTTATGATTTTCCGATATATATTTTAAAAGTGTTTTAATCTGTTTCCTGTAATCTGTACCATTACAATAAAAATAAAATAAATCTTAATCGTAAATTATGTGCCATATCGCGGAAAACTGCACAAAAAAATCTAGAAGACAAGGTGGAATATACGACATCCTGCAGATAAATAAAAAGAAACATAATTTCATTATATAAAAATATTTTCATTACTATTTTATTTACATGCATTTTGTGTAAAATTTTGCAAGCATCCCCTCTGGCCTTTGCTTGTACTGCCATGATTCAAAGAAATATTATTGAGTTTCATAAATAAAAATTACACATTATGTATTCATTCATTATGTATTATCATAAGGGTGACTTATTCAGGGTATGTGCAAAAAAAAATGCACTATTTTAATCAATTATATCTCATTGCCAAGCCCAACAGAATCAAAAGACTGTAAGATTTTCTGAGTTGTGATTGTTTTACCTTTAACAAATCACAAAGGAAATGCAATTAATGGTATGTAACTATCATATTGATATTTTTGAATCTATTCATATCTTGATACAATCAATCAATTTGAAAACTTCCATTATATTTACTGTATAAAATGTAGCATTTAGCATTATTTCTTAATCGGTCAAAAAGGAGTGATTGTAATCTAATGCGTAAAACTAATTAAGGGATATATATGTCGCAGCCATATTGTATAAAGCGTCGTATTACATAACGACTAGCCGCTTCGCAAAACGGCGCTGTTTTCTGATACACCTACATCATATTCAGCCGGATTAATATTATAACATTTTTTTATTATAATAATAATAATTATAATACAGCCTCCGTAGCCAAACGGATACCATGCCGGACTGCCACGCAGAGGTCCCAGCTACGATTCCCGGGCCGGGACAAGTAGTTGTATGGCCTACAATTATTTCTCTCGTGAGTTTGGGTGTAATTTGTGGTTGTCTATGTGTGTGTCCATGGCAGCCGCGACCCAGGGTTTCCCTAGTGCGGGGCTATGTTGAAAAAAAAAAATCACTTAAAAAAACTACGCCGCATTGTAATAGCACGTGGTGTTTCACAAAGCGACTAGAAAATGTGCCGCCAAAATACAATAGGGTGCGTCATTGTTACACACACTGCTTTGAGGTACTTAAGACTTCTAACAGCCTGACAGCATGTTTGCAGTTAACGCGACTTACGACTAGCTGCCTGTAGAGCTACATTATCATAACAACAAAAATTCCGTCCCTAACAGCAACTGTCTCAACAAACTGCAAACAATGTTACTTTTAGGAGTGGAAAAATTAAAAATATGCGTGAAAACAGTGAATAATGGGGAACAAAAGTAACGCAAACAAATTCGCTGCTGATCTGTTTTTTCATATATTAGCCTAACATAATCTACTGAATATACTGAATAGAGGGCATCTTGGTTGCAGATTTGACCTATGTATAATTCATAGTCAGGGTGACATTTTCTTTGTGAATATTATGGCTAAATGTTGGCCACCACTTCATAGAATGTATCGTGATCACAATCCGGCTGAACATGAGGTAGCTGTATTAGAAGACAGCGCCATTTTGCAAACTGGCTAGCTGTAATGTAATACAGCGCTTTACAGTACGGCTGCGACATATACAAATAGTTCTTTCATTGCAAACCGATTCTTGGTACATTAGTAGGTATTAAAAAACTTAATTAGAAAATTACTGAGACTCAGACATATCGTCTGTTTAGAAGTAAAAACCACATAAGTGTCATTTCTATAAAACGTCTTTATATAGCTATGGTAAGAAATTCACTATCTTTCTGCAGGTGAAACTTAATTACATAAAAGCTATAAACTCAATAAATGGTTTTATCTGCAGAAAGATGGTGATTTTCTTACAACAGGTACATAATTTGGCGATTTTTTTTTGTGGATTTGTGGAATGTCACTTATGCGGTTTTACCTTTAAGCAGACTATATTAACTAAATTAACAGATAAACCATATATTTATGTAAAATTTTTGCTCGACATGTTTCGAACCAGTCTGTGGTCCTTAATCATGTGTTTCCGCAGCGGTGACTGGAGGAACACAATATTGATGTCCTCTGGTACGAAATTTCATACATCTCGGGGCAACATATCAAATTCGAACTCTGATAATCTTCATTTCATAAGTAAGAAATTACACTTGTTGATTAAACTCAGCTACTCATTCATAAGGCAGATTCCCCTGAGAAGAATAAGAAGAAACTCTAGGGATTGCTTTTTGTAAGTAAACATTTGTTTACATTTATCGTTTACAATATTTATTCAAGAGCTAAATGGGTCACTCCCATAGATTTTTGTAAGCCAAGTACACAGAATTGAGTAAGCAGAATGGAGTGCAGAGGAGTTTCATACGTTTCATTACTTCTGGGCCACAATAATATTGTGTATGCCATTGATACTATAAGAAGATCTGATTCACGGAAGAATCTACAATCTCTCTCACTCACTACTTAAAATTGGACATGTGATTATTCAAGCACCATTTTATTATTTATTAAATAAGCTTTACAATCCTATATTTTTTGTTTTATATTTCCCACAAGAAGCATTAAGATGTATTCCATATAAAAAAATCATATGCTCTCACATTTATTATCCAAAGTCAAGAATGGAATTTTTTCTGATATCTTATCAATAGGTACAATTTTTTTAGTATTCATAGATGTGTATAATCTTTCGAATCTATACAACAATACTAATTATAGTATACTGTACTCAATTAACTGGTTAATTAGACACAATACATAAAGTTGTGTCTGAACATTAGCACATGCTCAAAATCTGTACTAAGTGCTTACGATGATCACACAATGAGTAATCAAAATTAAACTCACCAATTTTGAAATTTTCATCTTGAAAGTAGAACTTGTTGACAAGCCTGGTGAGCAAGTAACCGAGCAGTCGGCTGTTGTAGTAGGTGATGTAAATGACCCATAGAACAGCCACTAGTAGAGCCACCAGCACCAGAGCCAAACCGCCGTTGGTCAGTTCTTCGACAACCTCACGCGCTATGTCGCTGCTTGACTGGTTACGCCCCTGCGTCGCTGTCTCCACCACCATGGTCACGTTCTCCCTGCCGACCACAACACGCTTTATCACAAACCCTGACACTTAATCACCTTCCTATACTCACATAAACATTAGAAGTACAACAAAGCTGCGCAACTAATACAACTTACATGGTTCGGGGCGTTTGCTAGCTAAAGAAGGTATCACATTTTGATTAACTACGATGAGTTTTAATGTTAATATAACGAATATAGCATTTTGAAACTAGATTTCCTATATAAATAATCTTATTTTGTTATCACGAAGTACACTCAACCACTCAACCACCCACTTCCAGGTACTTTTTGACATATGTAAAAGTTTTATGGCTTTGGATACCTACGTATTTACATTGTAGTATGACCATTAACTGAAAATTAAAAGTGCTAAATTTTAAATAATATTTTTAAGGAAGGGTACTTATTGCTTTAAAGTACGGTGAACCTTTGAAAATTACTAGTAAATACAGTTGTTGGGTGTAATTTTTGTAAATATAACTATATACTTGAAATTATAGTATTCTATAGGGCATGACAACAACCCATCTAGAAAAGCCTTAGACTACTTATTTTTTTCCATCCTCTAAGAGAAAAGCAGACCATTTCCCTTTATACTTTTTTTCTCTATCGTTTCCATAAGGAGTTTCAAAGTAAGCTATTGTTAGAAATTTATTTTGAAAGGTTACCTTAAAGGTTAGGGAAAATAAAGGGTCATTTGACATTTTTACCTCTTCCAAAATAGCGTGTACAGATCATTAGCCGACGGCTAGGCTCAAATATAATATTATACTGATTATACTACTATCTCAGAAAGTTGTTTGAAGGCTGCACCATTGAACAGCAGTAGACTTACTGCTGTTCCCTCTATTTTTATATTACAAACTTCCTTCCACATTTATAAGGCGAGCGGCTAGAAAATGGAATTCCCTGCCTGCGGACATGTTCTCCGTACGCTATAACTTGGACCTTTTCAAGGCGACCTCATGTTCACTTTCCATTAAGTGAGAAGAAGGCGAAATGTACACTATAAAAAAAGCTAGGTAGGTACGTGAAAAATAGTGACTCTGGAGTATAAAACACATTTGCGATGCTCTAGAAGAATTCTTTTTGTTTCCAGCTGTATGACATTGGCATTGGTCTGCCGTGCCTGTTGATCACGCAAGTTCTTTCTTCCTTCCATATAGGAACACAACAAGATATTAATATTAATTAAATCTCGTTTCTTATTTATCCAATATCCCGCAGTCGTTCCTAACACACCCAATGGAAGATATCGCACTGCTATTACAATAGTGTTGTAACTCAAAATATGTGAAATTTTATATTGTATCATTACTGAACGTAAAATTTGATTCTCTACGCGTCAAAAAAACCGTCGTTAGAATATTGTAAGAAACAATCAAAAGATATCTACTTAACTAAAAATAAGACACACTTTATGTGAGCTAGTTCTGGCCAAAATAATCCTAATTAAAAAACATAAAATATTTTTTCATTTTATTCTAAAAATACATTTGAGAATTGTTTATGTGTCTATAATAAACTATAACGTATAAATTTTAATGATTTTTTTGCGGGAAGCGAGTAATTCATTTTTCATCGATTCTGAAAAGTCCTCTTTTTGAGTTAATACAGTGCGATATATTTATGTAGCTCCCATTTGTAATCTAACAGCACTACGTATGTAGACAATATGTTCTTATATCATCGCTTATCAAACAATACCGCTTACGTATTTTCAATTAATTATAGACGAAAGTGAAAAATTGTATTGCATAGAAGATTTTTTAAGTTATTGTTAATAGGTAATAGGTGCTGTATATGTGATATCAAATAATTGTTCCTATGAGTGTTGGATATATCATGGATATATAATTTTATTGATATACACACTTTTATTTTATTTATTTTTTTCTACTTGAGCGGTGTTGCTTATTATGGGACGACATCGTACGTTTAAAATTTCAAAAGATGCTGCCAACTTCCGTTTATTGTTTTATAACAACTCGTTCCAACAGTGAAATTATTTAGATAGTATCTACACCTAATTAAAGAGATAACTAAAGCAACAAAACCTGTAAATATACCCAAAACTAAGTTTTTTTTACAAACTTGTTTTTGTATAAAGCTTATTTTTTTTCTATCCTCTAAAGAGAATTTCCTATGTGCGATAGGTAGGTATGTACGTATGTAATTTTTACTGCATAAAATCGGTTTCGACTGCATGCAGTTGAGAATTTAACTTCAAAGGTCGGTGTGAACGATTTTCCGAGAATCAAAAGTAGTAATTAAGGGAAATAACAAAAAAAAAACATTTTTTTTCCATACTCTAAGATGTAACTTGGGTTCCTTAGTGACATAAATCAAAGAGGATCAATAAATTTCTACTTTCATTGTTTGTTGCTATGAAACCAAAACGAAATTAATTTGACAATACCTAAACTGAAACATTTTTTTACATTGAAAATGAAGTTATTGCATTTAATAAATAGTGAATGACTTCTTATTCTGTACTTTTGTTTTGTAATAGTTACCTACCTATCTTCTAAACAATGGGAGAATTCAATCCGAAAGTCAGGTAGGTACATAAAGAAAAAGGTGTAATAAGAATAATTACAGCCGATTCATTTTAATAATAATTATTATTAAGATTAAAAGTGTGCGACCGTTTTTACTTATTTAGGCAGTGCTGTAAGTAGACACTACGCAGTTTTAACCCTCAGTCGCACCACTGGGCATGCAAATCTATTGCATAAAGATATAATTGTGTCCGCATTCCACCTATAAAAACGACATTTGAAAATATATTTGGTTTCGTCTACACCCCACTTGCAAAAGCGACGTTTGAAAATATCATTTCGCAGATGGGTGATCCCGCAGCGGCTGGACTCCATGGCATTTGTTGGTCGCGATGTGCTGGCAGTGGCGCACGATATTTACATCATGTTCATCAACATGAAAACCAACACAGAACTGGTCTACGTCGCCAACAGCCAGAAGACTGGTGATGGCGTTGACGTGATCGCCGGTGCGTAATTGTCACAGACACTTGAAAATGGGAGCGAGAATTGAAAAGTGGTTTCTCGCTCCCACTTCGATAATATATCGGCACATAACACGTTTCTCTTTATATAAGATCCAGTAAGGGTTAGCGCATACTGGCGGACGGGAAGATATTAAATTTATGAGTTATTTTATGCTATTTCAATTGAATAAGGTATAAATTATATGCGCCATAAATTCTCTGGTGTGTGTTTGAAGACACCGGGGACTTTTCGACTGCGTAGTTGTTGCGTAGAGCGACCGGGGGCTTGTCTGAGGATGTCGCGGTTTTCCAGCGGATGCTTGCAGTATCATAAGGGATATCTCCCATCAGTGTGCGTTGACAGGCACAGAATTCTCTTCGATGCTCCCCACCGCCGTTCGCCGCTTTGCGCAGGCCCTAAGGTGCTCACCAACTCACCTTTCAGACGACGTTGTTTTTTTACATGGAATTGTGCTCATTACATATGTACGTGATTTTGAATACGTATGGCATTCGAAGGCTCAACTCACACTGGCGCAGAGTCGAAGCGTCGACGCGCGAACGCTCGCATTAGTGCACCGGGATCTCAGACTCTGCACCAGTGTGAGTTCAGCCTAAATTATGTCGTGCCTGTGACTTTAGCGGCTTTCCTCCCATTGTATAATAAATAAAAAATGTAATAGCAACTCTATATACTTCGAAATCGGCTGAAAACGTCCGGTTTGTACTAAAGGGCAATTGAATAAAACCTGATGACAGCCGAAACACGAAGTTTGCCGGGTGACATTGAGAAAATAGAAGCACTGTAGGTACATGTGGCTTTACTCAGAGTAATACAATATGATTGCAAAACTGCTTTATTATACCAAGGGTTATTATACGAAAATGTGGTTGTAATGTTAATCGTCGAGATCTTTTAGGTTTTCCTTCTTGTGTAACACTAGTCTGGATGTATACTTTGAATTAAATAAGGACCTTTTCTATGTGTGGCAGGTCACAGGTCCTTTATGTTCGCGTTTGCAGAGAAAGTCAAGCATCCTCGGATATTCATCATGAGCTATCCAACGTTCACAAATCTGGCTGAACTAAAAGGTGTGTTATTTTGAAGACATAACTTACTTTTCGGCTTTGAAATGGGAGCTTAAATGCTGAATCTATTATCAACGTTGTCAGTGTTAGAGATAGGTAGCTCTTTGAAAACTTGCAACATGATGACAGACTAAATGTAACTTAATGGTTTTTATATATGTAGAGTTCTATTTCGTCGGTTGCTGCCAAATGCACAAGTTGTGGTCGTGAAAGTTATGATAATTACTTGCGCAATTATAACAGAAGTCAGTATCTACAGCGTCAAGAGTACGTCAAGCTTCACACTTAGATTTAATTAGAACTCTACGTCACTTGTGATAAGAAAGGTCCAAAGTCCAGTGTCACATGTGATTTGTACTTCACTGTACTTGCATCTCATAAAGTAATTAGTTTACAAAGAGAGTTTATTGAACGTATAATAATATTATAATTTAAAAACATAAAACTGTGATCCTAGTACATATGAGCGCCGATTATAGGTCAACCGGCGGCGGCGCGCCGACGACAAAGTGTCGGCGGTGGCGGCATTTCGGCGACGCGAGCGTGATCCTAAAGCGAATTTGAATAACGGTGCTTGTTTTTACAAAAACCGTTATTAGTAAAACCGTTAAAAAGAAAGAAAAAATAAAATAACGTATTTTCTATAGTAATCATATTTTTATCAGTTGGATCAGGCTCTCCGATCGTACGCATGCACACGCTTCCGTATTGTGTAGGCTTAGTGAAAATGGCGACGCTAGAAGTTGACAAATTAATTTTTTAAACAAAACATCTTTCAATATAAAGTCACCAACTCATTTTTGTCACCTATCTATGCCACCTCTACTGAGGCCGGCACTGGCGTATACTGCAGAAGACAAGGCATTTTTTTGCCTCACTCTTTGCAAAGAGTTCGCGTCTGGATCTCATCTTACCTCAAACTGGCTGCACTATAGCGCCAATTCGCATACGCCAAAAAGAGGTACTTAGAACTCTGCGGAATCTAGACGTGAATAAAGCTAGCGGGCCAGATGGAATTCCAGCACTAGTCCTACGTAACTGTGCGCCTGAGTTGTCTCCCGTTCTCACACGTCTACGCCTCTACCGCCTCTCACTTGAGACTGAGCTCCCGGTCGTGGAAGCTTGCAAACGTGCAACCTGTGCCGAAAAAGGGAAGCAGAGCTGACTCTGTCAACTATAGACCTATCTCAGTCACTTCCATACTCTGCAAGACTATGGAGCGTATACTCAACAACCGCCTCCGGTCGTACCTTGAAGACGACGACCTCCTCAGTGATCGCCAGTACGAATTCCGACGAGAGCGATCAACTGGGGATCTTCTTGTGTATGCCTGTCACATATGGAGCGAGGCTATAGAAGAGCAAGGTGAAGCACTTGCAGTGTCTTTGGATATTTGTAAAGCCTTTGACAGGATCTGGCACGCAAGCCTTTTAAGTAAGCTTCCCTCCTACGGGCTTCCTACTGACCTTTGCAATCGGATCTCGGATTTCATGAGCGAACGTTCGATTCGAATGGTCTTAGAAGGCTACTCTTCCGAACATATGGCGATAGACTCCTCAGGGTTCCGTACTGTCTGCAACTCTCTTTCTGCGGCATATCATTGATATGTTAATTCCAGGTACCTCTGCGTATGCTGATGACAACATAGTTGTAGATAGGTACTTGACCAATGCAAAGGTCAGTGGAGAGGAAATCCAGTCTTGTGGAGAGTCCATGGTTAGCCGTTTGGATTTGACACACAAGGCAGTCTCCGATTGAGGCGATGCCAATCTTGTCAAATTTAACGCTACCGAAACGCGGCTACCAAGGCGTGTCTAATATTTTCCTACTGTTCCGACTCAACCGGCGAGAGCAAAACCCGGGGGGGGGGGGGTTTAGTGGGGTAGGCCCTCCAGTCTGGAGGGAGAGTGCCCACATAACCCCTGAGTCTCCTTGGACTCAAGGATATCTATAAAGATTTCCCCCCATAAAAAAAGGCGTGTCTATGCTCCACAAAACTTTTCGTGATATATCCATACCGATAGCAGACTGTCTCCAGTTACTTGGAATGGACCTGTCGTTCAATTTGTACTTCGGCTGATACATTGAATCCATGGCTAAACATGCAGCAAGGAAGCTCGAGATCCTTTCCAGGGTGAGGCGTTACTTCACACTGAGTCAGTTGCTTCAGCTGTACAAAGCACATGTCCAGTTGTGCATGGAGTACTGCTGCCACCTTTAGGATGGTTCTGCTACATACCAACTGGCCACCTTGGATTCAATTGACAACCGTGGCAAGAAGCTTATAGGTGACTCGGAATTAGTGGAGGCGAAGCTGCAGAGCCTTGAACACCACCGTAAAGTTGCCAGTTTATCGGTATTTTGCAGGATATACACGAAGAGTGTGCGATGGAATTACACGATTTAATTCCGCATTCTCCTTTTCATCGCCGGGAGACTAGGTGTAGGCTTGGGTTCCACCTCTAAGTTGTGAATATTCCAAAGAGCCGCACGAAGCGTTACACTTCCACATTTATATACTGAACGTTATAACTTGGGCCTTTTCAAGGCGAAAGTGAATAGGCATTATTTAGGTATGCATACACCAACGTCACTTCCCGTCAGGTGAGATGGAGGTCAAATGCGAACTTACATTTTAATAAAAAAGAAGCGTGCGCGTGCGTACAATCGGAGCGCCTGATCGAACTGAACGTCGCGCCGATTGCATTTGTTGGCGGCGGCGGCGCGCCGGCGCAGCGCTAGATCCTAATATTTCGGATCGCAATGAATATCAACATCATGCATGGTGAAATTGTAGGCACATGGGACTAGTCAACTTATCTCTCAGGGTGACGGGCACAGTGGCAGTCACCCTCAGTTCTTTACGATTTAAAGGTCTAAGTGGCACTGCAACTGTTATGGATAGGTGTGTCGTTTAGCATCAGGCGCACGACGTGTTCGTCCCGTCGCTTGGTATCGTAATAAAAAATTTTAATTTATGCGGATTATCACCAGATGCTGATGCTAATGTTGATATTCGCAACAACCCTGCTTGATATTTGCCTTATTGTACAATGCTGTGACTGATTTGTACTTCATTGTTTTTTCTGACCTTTGGAAACTATTTACGATAACCTGACTAAATACTTTTAATCAAATTACATTATAACCGAATTACGCGAAGAATTAATTTTTTGTCATGATTTATGCTATATTTCCTTAATGCTATATGAATGGTAAATTTTTAATGCAATCCGTTTTTGATTACCAATTTTAACGTAACTTAGAATGGAAAAATAGCTGGAAAAGTTGGAAAAGTAGTAGAAAAATATTCTATAGTTGTAGAAACCTTGATTTAGCTTTGATACATCGTAGTTATCGAAAATAATTGTAGATCACGTAATAAAATTAAAGGAAATTACTTTATGTACCTGTTTTTAAACTGTATTAAACTTAACTACTTAGTATAACTTTTTAAATTTAATTTTGACGTACTTATGGAATCCATGTTATTTCCTAAATTATTCAGACGTCGACGTGAATCGTTACAAAGGCTTGTGCGTGTTGGAGGGTGACCTGGTGGCGGGCTTTAGCGGCTTTCCCAACTACTTGGTTACCGTGTGGAGCTGGCGTTCCTGTCAGCGGCTTATCTGCGTACCCACCGGCGTCAGACGCCGCCGGCAAATTTATATGTAAGTGTTCTTAAGTACCTGTAATTGAAAGAGCTGTATCTGATAGCTAAATGTCTACTAGGCAATAAAAAGGCACTTGTATATCTAGGGTCGGCGGGCTAAAGCACATAAGTAAAAACTAACATCATTCATATCGAGTTCTTAGGTTTTTGCGATAGTTACTCATAGGAAATGAAACTATTTTTCCGGATTTAAATCGCGTACAGTTGTTTTTTCAAACAAACCGACGTTTCGGGCCCTTTACAGGTCCCATGGTCACGGTTGACTCAAGTCAGTCAACCGTGACCGATTTAAATCCGGAAAAATAGTTTCATTTCCTATAACATCATTCATTCAAATTAATACTTTTAACTGCCTCTGTGGCCGAACGGTTACCATGCCGGACTGCCACGCAGAGGTCCCAGGTTCGATTCCCGGGTCGGGAGAAATATTTGTATGGCCTACATTTATTTCTCTCGTGAGTGTAATTTGTGGTTGTCTATGTGTGTGTCCATGGCACCCGCGACACAGGGTTTCCCTAGTGCGGGGCCATGTTGAGTGTGTGCGTTATTATTATTATTATTATTAAATATTTAATAAATCTACCGACTAAAGCACGTAAGTCAAACTGACTGAAAGACATTTGTTAGTTCATTAATTTGTAACTTAAATTCCAGTGACGTCTTTTTCAAATTTATCATTCTCTTCATATCTTCCAACATTATAAACAATACAAAAAAATATATAATTATATATTAAATAATGAAGCACTTTTTTGACTTTTGTGCTAATCCGCCGACCCTAAATATAGGTGTACAGACTGTTTTTAGAACTGGGACCAGAGTTGGGCAAAATTTAATTGTTAATTGCGGTTCTCGCAACTAACAATTGATCAATCGTTAATCGCGTATATCTACAATTAACAATTAATCAATTTTTAATTTTTTCAGTGTTTTTGATTAACAACTTACAATTAAAACTGACAATTATGATAAATTTATAGGGCATATGGGGGTGGGTTAGAGGGTGGGTTAGGGGTGGGTTAGGAAGTGGAATAGGGGTGGGTTAGGAGGTGGATTAGGGGTGGGTTTGGAGGTGGATTAGGGGTGGATTAGGGGCTGGGTTAGAGGACGAGTAAGGGGTGGGTTAGGGGGGTAGGGGTGAGTTAGTAGGTGGGTTAGGGGGTGAGTTAGGGGTGGGTTAGGGGGTGGGGTAGGGGTGGATTAGGGTGTGGGTTAGAGGGTGGGTTAGGGCGTGGGTTTGGTGGCAGTCGGTTAGGTGGTGGGTGAGGGTGTGGGTGAGTGGGTTTGTGTGGGTGGGTGAGCGGGTGAGTGGGTGGGTGAGTAGGTGGGTGAGCGGGTGTGTGCGTGAGTTGCGTTAGGGGGTAGGTCACTCACACCTGACCACCCCCAACCGATACCCCAACCGACGCCCCAACCGACCCCCCAACCGACACCCAACCGAATCCCCAACCGGCCCCCCAACCGGCCCCCTAACCCATATTCGTAATGATACTTTAATTCGGTACTTTCGGTTTTAATTGTTAGTTTCAATTGTTTCTTAGAACAACTAAAAAAATTAATTGCAATTAAAATCAATTCAATTGAAATCAATTGCAATTAAATCAATTGCGACACGTCGCAATTGAGTAGAGTTCTGGAATACGAATCTTAGGGTCGTATTCCAGAACTCTGCTCAATGCTAAACTCAGGACTTGAGTATGATTTCAAGCACTGGAAGTACGACCCTAATAGCAAGGATTTGAATATGATTTCTAGTGCTTTAAATCATACTCAAGTCCTGACTTGAGCATTGAGTAAAGTTCTGGAATACGACCCTTAGAAACCGCTGTCTTTTTTTCTGAAACCTATTTTGGTATAAACAAATTTTTGATCAAGTATGAGTTGTCCATAGAAAGTGATAATTTTTCTATAATTGTTAATTTTTAGTTCTGATCAATTCAGTTTCATATACGGATCATTTTATTATATTGGAAGAAAAAATCAGGACAGCAGAAGTTGGTCAAATTTAATAAAATAATTTTTCGTGCAAAAAAAAGAATAAAATTGACAAATTCTTTTTTAGTGCTGATAGACTCAATGTCTTATAAGAATAGTTTCATTTTATCGGAAGAAAAACATCGGACCATCATCGGGGTTATTAATTTTGTATAATATATCAACATAAATCTCGCGCTTGACCAAAAAATTGACTATGTCAAAATTATTTTCACGAAAAATACTTAATGGTTCCTAAGACAGATTCCCTGTATCTCCCATAGTTTCGGATTTTCCCATACTGTTCCGGTAAAAAAAGACACGCTGTATAATATTCTAATTTAGAGAGGTAGTACGTGTACAGGTAGCACAGCTAGAAAATTACACATTCTCAAAATTCTTTGCGGTAATTGTACACTACATGGTACAACATATGCGTGCATACACAAAAGTGACAGTGTGTATTACTTGATGTGTGGCAGTGTGTATATACACGTAATATAAGTTACACTGCGGAAGTATCATATAGTTAGGTAGGCAAAATTTAGTTCAATCACGTGTGTGGAATGTATAGGCCGAGTCGTTCACACCCACTGGTGTGCGAATGCTGGGGCGAGGGGCTAATCGTGTGGGAGGTGACGCCTTGCTACAAGCACACGTTGATGATGAAGCGCGCCAAGGAGGAGGTCACGGGCTGGGAGGTGTCGTCGCCGCCGCTAGTCGGTGTCTGCTTTACCATCGACGGCGCGCTCTACGCCGTAGACTCCAAAGCCAACCTTTACGCCGTAAGAAGTATTTAATTACGTAAACAAGATTTGTTTCTGACGTAAACGTAATCCTATACCTACCTGATTATCACTAATTTCAGGCTTCTTACCACGGTATGACTTCGTTTTATTTTCCTGATATTTCGGAACGGTTGACAGCTTTAAGAGCTGACATATCTGTCTACCCTCTTGCGCTGTCGACGTCTACTACCTTCATCATCATGCATAAAGCGAGCATTAATCTACTTCATCGTTTGATACGTAATAACCGTTACATATAGGAAATGAAGCTATTTTTCCGGATTTAAATCGCGTATATTTGTTATTTCAAACAAACCGACGTTTCGGGTCCTTTTCAGGTCCCATGGTCACGGTTGACTGAGGTGGTACGGTCTTCAACCAGTTATGTCTATTTATATCAACCAGTTATATTGATGCAAATAATTTTTTCCTATTTTTTCACTATAGTTACCATAGTTATTAATTAAATACCTTATTTTTAATTTTACAAAGAAAACATTCCAATTTACGCTACATTAAGTTTTACAAATTATTTTATTGAATGAATTTTTATTAAGTTCAATTTATTATTAATTAATAATAGAAATTAGAATAAACTAAAACATATTAATTAGTACTGCAGTCTTATGTCTGTTTGGGATTTTTCATTAGAGGAAATACTGGATCCCAAGATGGTGGTACTGAGAAACCATCTTCCCTGTTGAAATTAGGATGTTTTTTAATTTCAATGGCCTCTCGCAGCATCCTGAGTTGATAACGGACTTCTTTTGCAAGGACCTGGGGTTTGTCAAACTTCATTGAATGTGTAGGTTTATCCATGACATGCTCGCAGACTGCAGACTTGTTTACGTGACGGTGGTTGACATCAGCTATATGTTCTTTGACGCTGGTACAAATACTTCGCTTTGTTTGTCCAATATAAGAGAGACCGCACTCACAGTCAAGCTTGTAAACTCCTGCATCCTGTAAGGGGATGTTACATTTCACGGGTCTCGGGAACTGAGAAATCTTCCTCACGGGCTTGAAATAGGTCTTGATAGATGCACACCTGAGGACTCTTCCAATCTTGTCTGTAACACCTCTCACGTAAGGTAAGATGACAGGTCTTCGCTCGACTGTTGGTGGTTTCACACGGGGCCTGCGGCATTGGCGTAGAATCTTCAACTTATTCGCATGTAGGACTTGCTTTATATGCTGAAGTTCCCCTGCCACATGATTACTGTCGCAGACACCATCAGTCCACCGTGACCATGGGACCTGTAAAGGGCCCGAAACGTCGGTTTGTTTGAAAAAACAAATATACGCGATTTAAATCCGGAAGTATAGTTTCATTTCCTATGTGTAACAATCGCGAAAACCTAAGAACCGTTACATGTTTGAAAAAGTGTCGAGTGATTTATATTTGTTACATTTGGAGTGCAGTGTTCGGTTAAGTAAAAATGATTTTGAGTTATGTGATCGTGTTACATTTCTACAAGCGCAGCGTACTGCTGAGCTACTTGTTTACTTTGATTAGTAAACAACACCCGACACGTACGTGCATGATAACTCGGAAGGAACTCGAACGGTTATAAACCTGTCTAACTAGGTACTGACTGAACCAGCAATTAATGTCCTGGAAAAAGGATTGAATTTCGCGTCTACCCTCACACACATTCCATTTGAAAACGTCATATGTGGTGTTGTAATAGGATACCAGCTAGTGATGCTGAAACCCTACGTCCAGACGTGGCTGTAGTCTTACGACACACTCGTCTACGCAAAATAAAAGCTTCACATCTAACATACAACCCGACTGGCAGAGTGAAACGACATACGGATGCCATTGTTGCTGAATGTAGGAGCGCTATCCCAGTTGATAATGAAAAACAACTATTACGTCTACGTATTATCCAAACGCCGAGGCTTTATGGTTTGCCAAAGGTCCACAAAGCTAGCGTACCATTACACCTCTAGTAGTCACAACGACCTCTTTTGGAAAGGACTCCAGGCATTTCATTGAGATTCTAAACAGTACTACATTTAATGAGAATGAGACAATGACTAGTTATGACGTTGAGTCTCTTTTCACACGTACCAATAAAGGAGTGCATTGCAATCTCCCAATGGAGATTACTAAATTACTTGAACATTGCTTAAACACGAGCTACTTCCTGTCCAATGACCAATACTACATTCAGATTGATGGTGTAGCGATGGGTAGTCCCGTTACTCCCATTGTTGCCAACATTTGGATGGAACACTATGATTACGCCGCCATTCTGTCAGCACCATCAATAATAAAACTATGGAAGTTCGATGACGTTTTTTGCGTAATGGAAGGAAAGGAGCAACATATACAAAATTATTTAGCACGTCTTAACAACACCCATAACAAAATGAAGTTCACTTGTGAAATGGAGAAAAATCGCGCGCTTGCATTTTTGGATGTATTGGTCAAAGTCCGACATGACGGTTCACTTGGTCATTCTGTGTACAGAAAACCAACTTACACAGATAAATATTTACATGCCACTTCACATCATCACCCAAAACACCTACATTCGGTCGTCAGGTCATTAACCAATAGAGCTTATGTGATCTTTGTGATACACACCACCTGTCACAGGAACAGGAGCACGTTAAGACGATTTTCCGACAGAATGGATACGAAATAAAAACATCTAAACCAATACACAAAAGGAAGAAGCAAATTGACGTACAGAGACTACCAGTTTTTCTGCCCTGCTTTACAAAGGGTGAGAGATAAAATAGGCAGGTTGCTAAGGAAGTTTTCCATAAAAACTGTTTTCACCCCTTAACCAAAATAGGAAAACTACGTTCACCAAAAGACCACCTTCCTTTACAAACACCGGGTTTCTATAAAGTGAACTACAGTTGTGGGAGCTCGTATATCGGTCAGACTAAACGAACAATTGTCGATCGTATGAAGGAACACATCCGAGCAGTAAAAAACAATGAAGCACAGAAGTCTGCTATAGGACAACATCTCACACAGACTGATACTAACCACTGGATCGAGTTGCATAGCCCCCAGGTACTGTCGACAGAACGTCACTATATGTATACCACGGTTGGTACGAGAAGCCATCGAGATCACGAAGTACAAAACGTTTAACCGTGATGATGGTTTTAAACTGTTCAGTGCATGGAATCCGGTCCTTAGTGCGGCAGTAATAAAAACAAAAACACCTCGTGTGCACTTTTGCGTGTGTGTACAGTGAGTGTGGCTTGTGGGAAAAAAGTGAGTGACAATGGTAATACCACAACAAATCGCGATGAAGGCAGTAGTCGTCGACAGCGCAAGAGGGTAGACAGATATGTCTGCTCTTAAAGCTGTACCATCTGCCGCCATCCAGTTAACCCGTGACCATGGAGCGTGCAACAGTTCCGAAATATCGGGAAAATAAAAAGTAGTCATACCGTGATACGAAGCCTGAAATTAGTGATAATCATTTAGTGAATAACCACGAAAACCTTAAATCTATATCTACCTAATAAAACTTTGTTATTCAAAATAATATAAATGTCAATACGAGTTTCATGAATGTATATATCAAAATATAAGTCATTGTGTACAGTCGATGCCCTAAGATGTACTACTCAACAAAGTCTAGGGAACAAAACAGTTATTAACTTACTCAATAGCATCTCAATAGGTATTCTTTTTAGAAAAAGTACTAGCCGTTGAAAATTATAAATGTAAATTATAATAATCTCAGTCCAGAGTACTAAAAAAACCGACCTCAAAAGTAGGTAGAATTACCAAGTTTTATTGTAAATCGGTTACTGGAAAGTGCGCAAATCCGGATTCATTCCCTAGTTCACCACTATACGGGACTTGACACAAGAGATAATAAAAATCAACTCTCAGTACTCAAGTATATTGAGAGAAAAACGCCTTTAATTGGAGAATAGCAAAATCAACCATTGAAATAATTGCTCCTTATAATAAAATTTAGGCGCTATCTATAAAAATGAATCTTCATGTGTGAACAGCCACCCTCAGGGGTGGATGATTTTCTTCAAAATTAAATAGGACCGCTACACATGGTAACCCTCTTTCCAACAAAAAAAGAATCATGAAAATCGGTTCACAAATGCTATTTTACTTATTACTATCTATAATAATTTCTATTCTTATGTTGGATTTAATAGACACTTCTTTAATAGTTCTTATTATTTGTAAAATATAATCGTAACGTAACGAGTAATGCAACGTGTAACGCTATGCAACGCCGGGATTATTAAATTGAAACCGTAAAAGGGTCGCCACAGGACAGGCTTAGCCTAGTGTGGAACCACCTGTAATGCACAATGTTTTCAGGCATGGCATCACGTTATCAACGCATGTTTTTGTTAATGTTTAACACATATTTATTGTTAATTTAGCATTAGTCTCTTGTTCTTTCCTTAATAATGTAAATATGTTAAGTATTTTGTTTTTCTTTGTGATTGTGATGCCAAATAAACATATTCTATTCTATTCTAAATACCGGAGTTATTGCGTAACATATATACAAAAAGAAACAGTTGAATTGAGAACCTCCTCCTTTTTTGAAGTCGATTAAAAACTCTATTAAATTGTGGTTCGAAATTTAAAAAAAATAAAACAATAAGCAAACGCGTTTTGAAATTAGGAGGGAAAACCCTATATGGGTGTCATGTAGCGCACAGGTTTTTCTAATGTAAGCAATTGCGAGTTTATGATTACTATATGTTTGTTTATCTTGTGTTAAACAATTTTTCATTGCTTTCATTACTTTTGTGATTTTAAGCGTCATGTTACATCATCATTTAACACGGGACGAGATTCTTAGGACTGTGGATATGTCGGTATCTGGACGCAATCTGTGTGATGTTGCATCCGCTGTTAACTCGCAACCAAGCGTAATTTGCCGATTGTGAGCACACTAGAGGGCTACAGCAGATGTAACCGAACGTCACTGAGGAAGATGCAGGGTCACTATCCAGAGACAAGATTGTTTTTTGAAAAA